AAAAGTAATTTTATTTATATAGCACATTTTCACCAACAAGGCAATAGAAAGTGCTTTACAGGATTTAAAAGGAAATACAAACAAAATAAACCAAAGGAAAGAGCAAAAGAAGAAAAAGCTAATAATGTTGATCCAAAGTAAATAAACTAGATACTCCTATTCAGGGTTGGTTAGATAAGTATAAGTAAGTATCCTGTGGTCTAATTCCTTTTCACGGTTGGAAGAAAAGGAGTCTAAAAAGTAGTTGCTAAGGTAGTTCTAGATTCCAAGTTCTAATCCCTGTTTTGGGTTGCTAAATAAGTGTAAGTAAGTATTCCTTGGACTTCCTAAGTAAGTTCTAAATTTGTAAAAGTAATGAGTACTCCAAGTAATAATAAAAACTAAGTGTTCCTGTTTTGGAAGAATTTTTTCAAGATTCTAAGTTCGTTCTAATTCCTTTTATGGGTTGCAATAAAGCCCTTTTCGCACTGCAGCGTCCGGCCGGCCCGGCCTGGCTCGACCTGGTCCTATTGGTGCTGTGGCCCTGGTCGTTTTGCACTGAGCAGGATACGTCACGTAAATCGACCCGTTGCTAAAGCTACCGAGGCGATCTCCCCAGCGACTGCAGAACAGTTTTCTTCTCGAGTCTCCCGTCCCGCTTTTACTGTATGCGCTCATGAGCGTGAAAGCTGAGGGAAACATTTACTTCAGCTTTCAGTGATTCTTGAGAATAGAGACAAAATGGGTTTAAATTTTCCCAAATTTTTAAAAAATTATGCCTCAACCTTATGTATGCAAATATGACAAATAATGTTTAGGAAATGTAAAGATGCTAAGGTGCAGGCTCCCAGTTGCAACATTTTTTAAAAAATTACATTTTTAATTGACCTGACCCAGAACTTTGTCATCACCATCTGACAAAAATAAATAAAAAATGATTTTTAATGACCCTATCAGTGATATTTTTACTCAAGTTTTACAGACAAATGATTCTCAAGAAACAAAAGAAATATTATTTAAAACAAAAAACACCATAAAGTCCATCTGACAGAGTTGACGCAGAACTGAAGGTGGTGACAAACTAGTAAGTAAAAAGAAAAACTAGGTCATGTGAAGTAATGCAATTTATATAAAATACATTAAAATGAATTAACTGCACATTTAAGTGAGATTTGCCGCTTCTTTTTTCCTAAGCTTTGAACCAGGGGTCACCAACACGGTGCCCGCGGGCCCCCGGTCGCCCGAGGGGACCTTGTCAGTCGCCTGTGAGCAAGTTCTAAAAATAGCCATTGTTAGGGAGCACTGCCAAAAAAATATTCAATTAAATGTTTTGTACCCACTTTTAAAAAAAGAAAAGAATAATATGATTTTTTTTATTATCTAACCCTCTTTACTACGTCTTGTAGTAGCGAGTCTATGGCGGTGGGTACGTCAAAGCTAAATGTCACTGGTCAGTTTATGTTTATTTGGCAGCTTGGCGCTTTTTCTGTAAGCTACAAATGAATGAGCAGAGTTTGATCCCACTCGTAGTTCTAACAGCAGTCATTTGGATCCCGGCTGAGCTTTATTCCTTGTGCGGTTCTGGCGGGTCACATCTGCCACCCTGAGCGTCTCAGACTGCGGGTTAAACAATTTAATCTAGTCCCCAAAAGAGTAAAGATTAAGCAAACAATGTTGCATCACTTTCTCCTCCTCTGGATGTCTGACACCACCTGAACCTGGGAATCAACATCCCCTTATTTCCATGGATCAGACGGGTAGGCTTCGCTTTCATGTCTATTATTTCACATCGTTTGTAAAAAAAAATAAAAAAGTCCGCTGCTTTTGTGGTTTAGGTTTGTGCTGGTTAGGTGCAGACAGTGATAGTTTTGTTCTCCCCCCCAACCTTTTTTTCTTATTTTTTTTTTTTTTTTTTTTTTTTTTGACGGTTGACCCGTCAGCTTTTCAGTTCGCGAAACCACAAAAAGGCTAATAAACCGGCGACCGTCAGAACCGCGCAGGGTAAAAAGCTCAGGCAGGATCTTAGGACAACGGGAGGAGCTCATTCATTTTTAGCTCACAGAAAAAGCAAAAAATTAACAAAAGTAAACTGACCAATATGATTTAGCCTTTTGCGTGCCCACCCCCACAGACTCACACTGATGTGCGCTACGTACAAGATGTTTTGACACAAAATGTTTTTGTCTCCACAATTTTGTTAATAGTAAAGAGGGTTAGATAATAAAATATACAATAACTATTCTTTTCTTTTTTATTTAAAAGGAAAATCTCAAGGAACTCAAAGTGTAAACGGCTGTACAGCTGCAGCTGCAATAATCCATTCTGTCGGTCACTTGGAGGAAATTTAGAATCACACAGAAAAGCTCCAAAAGGGACTCAAACTTAAAACTCTGAACTAATAACTTCTGATCACATAATAGCAATTAACTATATCTGCCATGGTAAATCATTACTGACAGATATAGTGAGTAATCCCTTACATTAATATGATCATACCACATGTAATCAAATGCATTATTGTTATTAAGAGTGAGCTAAGAAAATGTATGTCTGTATCAAACAAGTAGCCCTTCGTGTTACTCTGTACCCATGAAGTAGCTCCCAGTCTCAAAAAGGTTGGTGACCCCTGCTTAGAACCATGCGGCTTATAGTTCGGTGCAGCTTATATGTGGATTTTTCTTCAACCACCAGGGNATATGACAAATAATGTTTAGGAAATGTAAAGATACTAAGGTGCAGGTTCCCAGTTGCAATTTTTTTTTTAAAAAATTACATTTTTAATCGACCTGACCCAGAACTTTGTCATCACCATCTGACAAAAATAAATAAAAAATAATTTTTATTGACCCTATTAGTGATATTTTTACTCATTTTACAGACAAATGCTTCTCAAGAAACAAAAGAAGTATTATTTAAAACAAAAAACAAAAAGTCCATCTGACGGAGTTGACAGTGCATGACGGAGTTGACACAGAACTGACAAACTAGTGAATAAAATGAAAAACTTGATACATGTGAAGTAATTAAATTTATGTAAAATACATTAAAGTGAATTAATTGCACAATTAAGTGAGATTTGACAACAATTTCACTGAAAGAGTCAGAAAAACTCTGATGGAGTTGACAAAAAGCCAAACTACCTCAATTTATATGATGTTATTCTGAAGGAGGTCATATTGTAGCTCGTCAGGTCCATGAAATCTTTACAGTTTACCAAAATTAAGCTTTTATTTCACAAAATTTCATCAAAGTTTTGAAAATGGTCAGTTATGGAGTTGACACATCATGATTGTGACAAGCAACTTAGGAATGAAACAGAAGAAAAAACTAAAGAATAACATAAGCTAACCAGAGCTAACTAGCCCTCTTAGCAAAGGAAGAGAAAAGACGACGTCATGGGGTCCTCAGAAGTTCTGGTGTCCCCCAATAATGCCTGATTTTTTTTAATTCTTTTCATTTCTGACGGTGTTGACAAAAACTAGGGACAAATTTCAACGGAGTTGGAAAATATCTAAAAATTATTTTTAATTCAATTTATCGATACTTTTATAATTATTTATATGACTACTTATACTTAATTGTCATAATATATAATTTTAGTATTTCTTTAATTGTTTTAAACTATTATAGTGTGTTGAAATCTGCTCCTGGACAAGGGATTTTACAGGCATCATCAACCGACTACAATGTTTAAAATAAAAAAATTATTCAGCAAACACAAGAAAAATATACATTGTTGTGCTCACGTGACCCAGGTTAGTTGAGTCAGATATTTGAAAAAAATATATTTTGTGTATATTTTATTCAAATTTGGTACTTTATCCATAGGACATGTTTTGTCCCTATTCTCAAGAATCACTGATATGAAAATTCAAGTTTGTACACATAGTTGTGAATACGCGGAAAAGCAATGCGACACAAGAAAATAGAAGAATGTTCAACTTTTGTCGTTACCATTGCTATTGCGTCCCATTGCTATCATGTTTCTTTGCTATTACATCCTGTTGTTGCATTCCGTTGTTATCGCGTCCCTTTGCTATCGCGTCCCATTGCTATTACGTCCTGTTGCTATTACGTCCTGTTGTTATCGCGTCCCTTTGCTATCGCGTCCCATGTGTTGTTGGATTTATCCCCAATGGCCAAAAACTCATTTGTCGCTCCCCGTGCGTCGAGCCCATTAGCCAAAACTTCCTCAAACATGTCAACAGTTTTCACAAATCCAAAGAACCACGGATGTGCACAGGCACATACTATAGTCTTTGAGGAGTCTAAGATTGATTGCAACATTGCTTCTCTCAGAACCTGTACGGTTTACAAAGAAACTGGAGGATGTCACTCATCAGTTGGGCAACCCCTTGAGACAAGATTGCACCAACGGGTTCATGTCACATGGAAGAAGCATGACAAGCTCATCTGGGCCTCTTACCTATACAGCGTGAAAACTACAGACTCGTTCTGCACTCTGGAAGTGCTCAACAATGACAGAATCGCTGCTGCAGGGAAATACACTTGTGAAATTTCCAATGCAGAAAGAACGGACACATGTCACGCTCATGTTAAAATAGGGAACCCACTAACCAACACATTCCATCCCATCTCTTTGTTTGGTGTAACTGCTACTAACATGCAGTCCAGTTGATCCCTGTGGATTTATGGGTAACACTCTGTGCATTTTGTATCATCAGAGACCATGAATGTTGTCATCGTCAGATTTTGGGATGGTTGGTTCTCTGTAAGGCAGGTTTGAAATCAGACATGGTGTTACAGAGTCACTATCAGAAACGTATCTACTTTTGTGGATAGGTCATGGTTAGTTGGACTGTTTGCTCATATTTATTGATGATATTGTTCGTTTCTGTTGCATTTGCATCACAATTTGTGCTCCTGTTGTCTTGTCATCTATGGTGGATTTTATTTCCCGGTGCTGTGGTAAAGGCCCAGTGGCCTGAAGAAGAATACATGTTAAATGACTTGCTTACTCTCCCAACATGACCTGATTTTCTGAAATTTATCCCCCACAGAACGTAAAGTGCCTCCAAACTTCACTAAGAGGCCGTCTGAGTCCATCGTGGATTCAGCTGGTAAGGTAATAAAGATGGAGGCTCGGGTGTCCGGCTCCCAGCCACTGACCATCACCTGGTACAAGGACAACCAAGAGATCCATGCCTCTGGAAAATATGACATCAGCTTCAAGAACAACATGGCTGTGCTGTGTATCAAAGACTCTGCAGTTTCTGACAGCAGTGTCTACACCTGTGAGGCTTCCAACGAAGCAGGGAAAGTGTCATGTCAGGTGTCCCTCACAGTTTCAGGTAGGGAGTCCAACCCTAACATAACCTATACCAGATTGGCTGAATGTTGTGCAGAGTTTTCTTTGTGAACTGACGATTAACTATTCTTTGGTTTAGATAAATACACTAGTCTAGCAAATCTAAATTGTTCTGTATGAAATTTCCTTTGTCTCCTAAAGTCTAGAGGTTAGTCTTCCGGAACATGACCTATCATACAAATTTATCTTAATTAGAGTGTCCTCATAAAGTTTTTTTTTTTTCAACTTAAAAGGGCAAGCTCACTTATTTTAAGTGTTTATTTCTGTATGTGTGGATGGTTATGACTTGCAGGTAATAAAAAACATGATCAGTTTCTCAGAAAATGAAAAAAAATATGTTTTTATTCATTCTCTCCACAAAGAGGTAAGTCAGAAAAGGTAATTGCTGAAGACATTGTCTATTCAAAGAGGGCGATATCCAAGCATATAAATGGAAAGTTTAGTGGAAGGAAAAAAAAATGATAGAAAACAGGTACACAAAATACATAAATATCTGCAGCCTGTACAGGATTGTGATGGACAGTCCATTCAAGAGTTTGAGGGTTATTCACAAGGTGTGACCTGAAGCTGGAGTAAGACCTCAAAGAGTCAGCACAAACAGAAATACCAAGGACATGAGCTACTAATGTGCTGCTTAGATAGATTCTCTATGGACTATTGTCAAGGGAAAGATGAGAGACTATTTTAATTTTAACAAATACTGTAAAAGTATTCTGTTATGTTATTATGTTAAAGGCAAGTATCTTCATTTATTCAGCCTCTTTCTCACCTTCAGAAACTGGTCAACCTCCTAAATTTGACGTCCCTCTGGAGCCGGTCACAGTGAACGAGGGGGAGAAGCTGAGCCTCAAATGCCATGTTAAAGGCTCCTCTCCTCTGACCATCCAGTGGATGAAGGACAGGAGGGAGCTGAAGTCCAGTGATAAAACCAAAATCACATTTGTTGGTGGGACGGCCTCCCTTGAGGTCAGCTCCGCATCAAAGGAAGATGCAGGGGATTATCTGTGCAAGGCCAGCAATGCAGTCGGTAGTGACTTCTGCAAGGCCAAGGTCACTGTGAAGGGTAAGCAGTTGAACTTTCTGTAAAGTGTAAACAAGTCCAAGGTTTGATGAAAATCTAACCACCAAATTTTAATCTTTAAGTGTTTCCTATAAATGGAAACATTTATAGGAAACATTTGTATTTTGAAAGGCTGTCAGAAAGATGTCCAACCTCATAAAAACCAGACTCAAATTGTTAAAGTAACTCTTCACTCACCGTCTCAGTTTGGTTTCTATGTATCTTCAGACAAAGGAGCCAAGCCTTCACCCACCGAGGCACCGACCCCCGCTGCAGCTGCCCCAGTCAAAAGACTCGACAACCTTTTCTTCATTGAAGAACCCAAAAACATTTCAGTCACAGAGAGTAAGGACAACATTCCTCTCCTTCCTCAAAACATTCCCATTTGAAGTTAAGGCTTTGCTCATTTCTTTACATCTCCTTCTCTTCAGAGGGCACTGCAACCTTCATCGCCAAGATTGGAGGTGATCCAATCCCCAGCGTGAAGTGGATGAAGGGCAAATGGAGGCAGATCACCGCTGGTGGTCGTATCTCCATCGAGCACAAGGGCCAGGATGCCAAACTGGAGATCAGAGAGGTGACCAAGTCCGACTCTGGCCTCTACAGGTGTGTCGCCACCAACAAACATGGAGAGATCGAGTCCGGCGCTGAGATGGAAGTCACCAAAAAGGAAGAAGGGGAAGGCATTGGAGATATCAGAACAAAACTCAAGAAGTAATACAAGTTCATTTCTATATTCCACCACTGACTTTGAATTGTGTTAATGGAACAAATGTCTCTATCTGCTCAATGACTTCATGTATGATATTTTCAGAACTCCCTCCAAGCAAAAGAGCCCAAAGAAACTTGAAAACATCAGTATTGTTGACTTGCTCAGAGGTCATGACCCCAAAGACTATGAGAGGATCCTCCGGGAACATGGGATCCATGACTACAGGGCCATCCTGCAGGCCGTGGAGTTCCTGAAGAGAGAGAAGGAGATGGAAACTGGCAAAGCGGTACTGGGGAAAACTGATTGTAATAGTGAAGCTGGATTGGTTTGTAATAGCACAGATTTGAAGGACAAATCTGCTCTGTATTCTATTTGTATTATCAGTTTTCCTTGATTGGAAAACAACCTTTCAACAACAATTCTAAAAGATATTTATTATATCGTAAGGTTTAGCTTAGAAAACTAAAAGGATTTTGCACCTTTCAGGTAAAATATTATGACAATGTAATATAATTGATTATGTGTTTCATGTATTACCAGTCAGGAGGTATCTGAAGTATCTGTACCATTCAGGGTCACTACATCTCACAATAGTGTCTTTCTGAAGTGGTTTCAGCTGATGAAACTGTTGTTGCTGTTGTGGGAAACAATTTTTGTTGCAACAAAATAAATTGCGATGTTGCATATCTTTGATATTGACTACTGAAAGATTGTGAAGGTGTTGCATTAATAGCCTTATACCCTGTGGCAGGAGGTGGAACATGGTGGTCGGGTTGAAGAGGAGGACATGGCCAGACTGATCCAGCAGCTGGAGGGACGTGTCGACACAGAGGTAAACGCCAACACTTATTTTAGAGCAAATGGCTGTTTCACTCCACTACATGACCAAGGTTCCATGTAGATGAAAACCAATAATAAATAAAAATTATCATAATTGATGTTTTGTCCTTAGCCTGTGTCTGTGATGGAAGACATCTCTGACCAGACAACCACAGAGAACCAAACGGCAACGTTTGAGTGCGAGATCCAGATCAACTACCCAGAGATCTCTCTGACCTGGTACAAGGGAACGCAGAAACTGGAGAACAGTGATAAATACGAGATCAGCAGTGTGGGCAACCGCCACTACCTGAAGATTAAGAACTGCCAGGTCAAAGATGAGGGCAACTTCCGTGTGGTGTGTGGTCCTCACATCTCCAACGCCAAACTCACCGTAACAGGTAAGAGCGTTTTCCATGTCCTCTCCTTGCTGGAGCCCATTCTATGTGTTTGTAGTGTATCCTCATGCGCCGATACTTTATTTCCACATCAGGAGGTGATTGCAAACCAGGTGAGTCAAATACAACTAGACTAACCTCTTTAAATCTGCTGGATGTCCTGCAGTTTTTCTTTCTGTGTTGTCTTGTTTGTAGTATATTTTCCTTCAGAGAAGAAGAAAAGATCAAATGTGACACTTTGATAACTTCAGACAAAACACAACTCTTTAAAATTAAATGTCATCTTTAATTGTCTGATTTTAGCCGACCAAATTCAGTTTACTAAACGCATCCGAAACATCGAAGTCAGCGAACGTCACTCCGCCACCTTCGAGTGTGAGTTGTCCTTTGACAACGCAACCGTTTCGTGGTACAAAGACTCGTGGGAGCTCAAAGAAAGCCCCAAATATAACTTCAGGACAGAAGGCCGACGGCACTTTATGACGATCCGCAACGTGACAGCAGAGGATGAAGGTTTGTCAAAAAGATTTACCTTCTTTTTCCTCTGGAGGGACGTTTCTGACAAACAGAAATACAGAAGTTTCTTCTGTTCGTACCTACTCAATCAGAGCCAAGAGTTCTTATTTAACCCTGTTACAAAACACTGTAGAAAGTACGCAATCTCTATGCAGCATTAAACCAAAATTGTTTGAATCAGTTGTTGAACCTTAAATAAAACAGAACAATAATGTCTCCACCCGCCAGGCGTTTACTCCGTGATCGCTCGCCTGGAGCCAATGGGAGAAGCTCGAAGCACCGCCGAGCTTTACCTCTCAGGCAAAGGTCTGTTTTAGCCGACAGCAGCAGTCAGAGACGTTTACACCCATTCACAGATCTAATTACATCCGTCTACCTGTTTTTTCACAGACGTTGGTTTAGGAAAGGTTCCTCAGGGTGAGTAGTTTCAAAATAAACTCAGGTTTATTTTCACATCTTATATCTTGGTAAAGCTAATAATGCACAACCACACCATTCTGGTTATATAGTGGTATGAAAAAATGCGTTCTCCCACATTAAAAAAATAAAATCTAAGTTAACTTTAAATTTAATCACACTTTCATTAATGCACCTTCAGACATCCCAGATTCGTCAGTTCAGCTCCCAGACATGGGTTCCATGATCATTTCCCAAGGTGAGTCTGGGACAAATAGGAACATTTTTCACTTAGCGTCTGTTTCGCCTCCTTCATTCACCCTTTTTTTTTCTCTGCCAAAAGAATCCTCTGAATTTTATCACCACGAGGAACGATCTGAAGTCAAAGGTACAACAATAACGGAGCTTTAAATGAGCGCTACTGTTGTTTGAATCTATGAACCTTCATCAGTTCCATCAAAACATTTCATCGTTACATTTAACCATCAATATCATCGTCATCTCCATCATCTCCATCCTTTAACTTTCCTCCCAAATAACAGTGTGATCCTGATAAACTCCCAGATTATTAACTATTTCACTTCATCCTCATGTCTGAAGTGCCGTGGAATAAATTTAACTCGCAAATAAATAAATAAATAAATAAATAAATACATACATCTCGAATTTAACTGAGAACGATCTGTTGTGCAGAGGAGGATCATGGCTGAGTTAAAAAATCTGCAGATTAACCTCGATATTTGCAACACAAATGATTTCAGTTCAATTCGGTATCATTAATACAAAGCCCAGTCAGTAAAAAGATAATGAAGTACAAATCGGTAAAAAGAAATGATCAAGTATTAACTGTTGTCAGATAAATTTGGATTCATAAACGTAGTAATTTGAGGTTAAACATTAAAAATAAATTTGGTTGTGATTTTTTATACAATTATAGGGATTATTCAAAACTATTCAAAACTAAAATTTGAATCATAAAACCCAGAAATGCAAAAAAAAAAAAAAAAAATTAAATTAAATTAGTACAGAAACTTTTTGCCATGGTCCTCATCTGCACAGAAACGTCTCAGTGAACAAACCTGTGATCTGTAACAGCTGATTATCATTTAATGGTTTCCTGTAGAGTTTAAGAGTCTGACGGTTGAAGAAGAAACGGTTTCGGTTCTGTACTCCTCCGTCTCAGGTATCAGCGTTGTTCACTTCTTCATTTATACATCAGCTGTCTTTTGACTGTTTGTCTGTTTTCAACTGGTTTTGGCCTTCATGTGTCGTGCCATTCTGTTACTCTGTTGATTTCTTGATCATTAATGCCACCTTGTTATTAAAGCAGTGCTATAGTCAGGTCTTGTTTTCTGTCTAAGTTCCCTTTTCTCCTCTGCCAGAAGAGAAAAAAGCTGTGGAAGAGTATATTGGCCGGACTGAAGTCAGAGAGGAAATCACTTCAGGTATATCAGCTTTAAAGCTATTCTGCAATGAGCTCTGGCTGAACCAAAAAAACAGATCAAAAGCCGCTAACCCCAATGTTCACCTTATTAAACCCAGCTGCTGCTTGCAGAGGCTTTCCTTCTTCTGTAGATCTTAACTGTAGCTTTAACATCTGGTCTGTGGTGTTTGTGGTAGATCTTCAGTCTGTTTTTGTCTCCTCTTATCAATGTTTTGTTCTTCTTGACACGCTTCTCCTCTTACGCTCTTATTAACCCAAACTGAAGCTTTCTGCTCTGTAGACAGCAGAAAGCAGACTGCACAGCCTAACTGTCTGGCTTTTAATCCAAACTTTCTTGATCTTTTAAAGTTCATGAGGTTTACAGGAAGCCAGAAGAGAAACCCTCTGAGCGCGAAGCTCCACACCCACCTGCCGTCACAGGTATCTGTAAATACCAAACTCTTTATTCATCATTGTTGTATCTCATTTCTGTTCTGTGTTCTCATGTTGGTTTATGAGACTTCTTTAGTTGTTTGTGTGTACATGAAAAGATCTTCCTGTTGGTGTTTGTTGTGGTCAGAAAACTGAACTTCATAATAATGTCTTAAAGAACCTGAGGTAAAGAAGCCATGGCCTGATACTTTCACAACTCCTCAGCGAGAAGAACCGACAGTTCCACAAGGTAATGTTTATGACTGTGTTTTCTTATAACACTTCTTGTATCATGTCTGGGTGAGTCTTTATTGGCTCTAATTCTTCATTGTTGGGATAAAAATGGCTCAGAATACTCTTTAATTCTACAAACCTACCAGAAACACACCACATTTTAAACACAATAATTATAGACAAGATGATTAAACATAGGGAATTTCTTAAGTAAATGACTTCCAGCACTTTTGGAATTACTGATATATTTAATTTATTTAATTAAACGAGCCATACTTTTAGATGTTTTTCTTCTTGGCTCCTTGAATACATTTATTCATTGTTCTTCCGGTGCTTGAAGAGCATTGTGTTCTTGATATTGTCCATCAGTCAACTGTTTGTTTGTCTGTATTTCATGTGCTTGATCAATTGTCTTTTACTTCCTTCACTCTTTAAACTCTTGAATTAAGGGTATTTTTTGTGACTTAAGTGTTTCTTTGTTAAATCTGAAGTATTCACCGAACCAAAGCCTGAACCCAAGCCAAAAGAACCAGAAAAGGTTCCTCCAGAACCAAAACGACAGCTTCAGAAGCCAGAAGTACCTGAACCTAAAGTGACCGAAGCACCAGAAGTAAAACCTGCCAAGAAAACTCCTGCAGTTCCTGAACCGAGAGGTAAAGGAGTGAATGTTCGAGCAGAAAAACCACGTAACCCATGTCTTGTTTATTTTCATTTTGCTCTTAACATGATTTTGTGTTGAATATTATTTGCTGCTAACCTCTTGATTAGATCTTTAACATCTTCTCTAGTGTTGTCCTCACACGGGTTTTCAGATTTCAACAAAACAAAACTTCTTCCTCTCTTTGAGATACTCTCTTCTTGGTTTAAATAAAACTTTTATAATTAACTCTGTGTAAAGATGGGAATATTTTTAATGTTCTCTAAAGTCCCAGCTGTAACCAAACCAGCAGAGGCCAAAGTCCATCCAGTCACTGAGAGGATTGCTCCTCCAAAGACTGAGGAGATCTTGCCAAGAGGTACTGGAACCACAATGTTTTGTCCAGTTTGAATTTCTTATAAATGTGTTGAGATGGGAATCTTGTTTTGTGAAACTGGCTGTCCTGTTGGTGTCTCTGCTTAATGCACTCAACAGAGTGTACTACAGTCTTTAAAGCTGTTGTTTAAATGTTCTTTAAAGCACCAGTGCTACCAAAGGCAGAAGAACCTTTAGTCCAGCCATCAGCAGCTGTGGTTACACCATCAGCACCAGAACGCCGACCAGCTGAAGGTATTCATCTCCGACCTTTTCTTCTGCTGTTATCTCCTCTTGTGTTTAGGTCTTTGAATTCACTCGCTTAGAGTGTAATCTTTGACAGCCTTGATTGTTACGTTTGTACTAACCAAGAGAAATGTTCTTTAAGTAAAAGATGTAACCAGACCAGAGAAAGCAGTCGTCCAAACACCTGAATCTAAAATCCTTCCAGTCTGGACTGAAGCTGCTCCAGTTAAAGGTACTGCAGAGGTCATATAACAAACTGCTTGTTAAATGATCTGCTAGTTTTCTCTTTTACTCTCTTTTATGGTAGTTTCTCTGGTACGCATAGTCTTTCAAAATACTTAGCACTCGTAAGAGTGTGACTTAAACTCTTTAAAACATTTCTCTTGTAATTACTGTTCTTCTAAGTTACCTCAGAAAGGAAGGAGCTTGAAGTTACTGGAAAACCAGCCCCATTGGTTTCCAAGAGTGAGCCAGAGGTACTCGAGTTTACCCCTCAAACACAAGAAGAACCAAAGTTTGGAGAAAAAGCTAAGAAGGCTTTTGAAGAAGTGGAGAAGGTCATTAAGTTTCCTAAAACGGTTGATGAAGCCAAAATGCCAAGAGAAATTGAGAGGTTCCCTGATGCAACAAAATTGGTTCCAGAAACACAGAAAAAGATTCCAGAAAAAACAAAGATGATTACTGAATCACCAAAGGTGGTTTCTGAAGCACCATCCAAGGTTCCAGAAAAGTCAAAGGGGGAAATAAAGAGGGGTCAAGAGGTTCCCAAAAAGGTTCCAGAAACACAGACTAAGATTCCAGAAAAAACAAAGATGATTACTGAATCACCAAAGGTGGTTTCTGAAGCACCATCCAAGGTTCCAGAAAAGTCAAAAGGGGAAATAAAGATGGGTCAGGAAGTTCCCAAAAAGGTTCCAGAAAAAACAACGATGATTACTGAATCGCCAAAGGTGGTTTCTGAAGCACCATCCACTGTCCCAGAAAAGTCAGAAGAAGAGATAAGATGGGGTCAAGAGCTTCCCAAAAGGGTTCCAGAAACACAAAACATGGTTCCAGAAAAACCAAAAGAAAAGAAAGTTTTACAGGAACCAGAGAAGATTTTGATGGTTCCCAAAAAGGTTCCTGAAACACCAAAGAAAGTAATAGAGGAAATGAAGGTTAAGGAGCCACCAGCAGACCTAAGGAGTAAAACAGAAGCTCCACAGGTTGAAATAGTGAAGACCCCTCCAGGTTACAAAGCCCCACAGCAACAAGAGAAGGTTGAAAAACCTCAGCAACAAGGTAGATATGTCTACTTGAAGGTTTCAAAGATCTTATCAACTAATCTTTGCACATCTTGATCTTCTAATGTGTTATATCTTAAGGTTTCTTGTCAGAGGTTTGTTAAATTTGTGCTGCATCTTTTAGCTGTTATGTCTGTAAAGCTCATGGAAGTTATCAAAAACTAACCACACCCAGGCATAAGGTGTGAACAGTAACTAAAGACGTTGACCAAAAATGTTACCTGTTAGACTTAAGTGTAAATGCATAATCAGACATTAATATACTAATATCTATGTGTTTCTGTCCTGATCTTTTTTTATATGTTTGGTTCTTCTTGGCCACCGCTTCATGGTGCATTTCTTCAATCTTGGGTGACGTCTCCAAAAATATCAGTTCGTCTGGAGAATGACCTAAAACAACAAACTGTTGTGGTTGAAGACATTAAGAGGTTTGTTCCTGTAGAAAGTTTCACTCCAATAACTGTTGAACTCAAGCAAGAAGTTCAAAGATCTGAAAGAAGATCCAAACACGAGGAGTCAGTTGTAAGAGATGACAGAACTTTATATGGGAGGGAAGAACAAATGGAGGAAACAGAAGTTCCTACAACGTCCAGAGAAGATCATGAAGTGACAAAGTCTAAATATTTGAGGTACACTGAAGAATATGAGTATGAAAAACTGGAAGACGTTAAAGTTTCAAGGGAAATGAAAATTGAATCTGTGATCTCAGTTTCTCCACCTCTAACTGAAACTGAGCTTTCATCAAAAGAGCCCAGAACCCAACCTGCAGTTACTCCAACAGACATAGACGTTTCTCTAGTTAAAGATGATGTTTCATTTAGCTTTTATTCAGGTACAGAGGATAGAAAAGACACTTTTATTTTAGCAAAGCATCTAGAAACCAAAGAAGAAATTACAAAGAAGTATGATGAATCTCTTTCCGAAATTGAGAAAGTACCTACAGAGAAAGTACCTACAGAGAAAGTACCAACAGAGAAATCTCAAGCTGGACCGGTGAAGACATTTCGAGTCCCTGAGCATCAAAGTCTGTCATCTACAAAGCCATCACATCCAAAATCAAAAGAAATCTTTTTTGAGACTGATTATTCAGAAGAAGCTACAACCACTGAAAGAAAAACTCAAAGAAGAGAAGATATGAAAGAGGAAAACCTTACACAGAAGACTCTGCAACCTCTTGAGAAAGGTATTCTTGTAAATTTGATCGCTTAAGATCAAACTCTTGAAATATATTTGTTATATTTAGCCTAGTCCAGCATAATGTTGGCAGGGAACCTGTTACACTAATCTAACCTTGAAAAGATTAGATTAGTTTGTGTGTCCTGTTTTTTGTGTGTCCTGTTTTTGTATTGTTGAGAATGTATGTCTTGGGAAAAACTCTTTTTTGTTTAAATCTTTAGTTTTTCTTTTTTATTTTACACATTCTTGCTGGTGCAGATTGGACTTTCTAATATCTGCACCAGCTCCTTGTCTTAGTCCTTTGTGAACATAATGATGCCTTAGTTGTGATCTTGGTATCTTTTATTTCAAAGTGTCGCCTCCTGAAGTGAAGAAACCTTCTGCACCAGCACCAAAGCCTTCATATCCTCCAAAGGTTATACCTCCTGCAGGTAGTTCAATTGGTTCTTGCTGGCATTTATGAGTCAGCCATGTTTGTCTTGTATGTGCTTGTATAAGCTTAATGTTTTCTTGATCATGACTTGGGCATATTCCCAAATTATCTCCTTCAGAGGAGAAGAAACCTTCTGAGCCAGAACCAAAGTCGACACATCCTCCTCCTCCCCCTGAAGTTACTGCTCCTGCAGGTAGTGCTTCATTTATGTTTTTCTTGATGGCATCCATGAGTCAGCCATGTTTGTCTGTATGTCCAATTGTGTTGATGCCATCACTTAACCTGTTTGATGATGGCCAAGCTTAATGTTTTCTTGATCGTGATGATCATGACATTCCCAAATTATCTCCTTCAGAGGAGAAGAAACCTTCTGCACCAGAACCAAAGCCTTCACCTCCTCCTCCTCCTAAAGTTACTCCTCCCATAGGTTGGTTGGTTCACGTGTTTCTTGCTGGCATTCATGAGTCAGCCATGTTTGTTTTCATGTCCCTGCCGTCTCTTAATTAATGTCCATGGATTATCATGTTTTAAGTTGTGCCAGTACATGATGTCCAAGATTAGTGTTTTCTAGATCATAATGGGTTGGTTTATTCCCAAATTATTTCCTCCAGAGGAGAAGAAACCTTCTGCACCAGAACCAAAGCCCTCACCTCCTCCTCCTCCTTCTCCTTCTTCTCCTCCTAAAGTTACTCCTTCTACAGGTAGTCTAATTTCTTCATGTGTTCATTTTTCTTGCTGGCATTCATGAGTCAGCCATGTTTGTCTTCATGTCAATTTATGTTGATACCAGATACCATCTCCTAACACGTGCTCTAATTGTCGAGTTTAAGTTGTGCCAGTTTGTGCTTTCCAAACGTTTTCTTAATGATGACTCGGGTGTATCCCCAAACTATCTCCTTCAGAGGAGAAGAAACCTTCTGCACCAGAACCAAAGCCCTCACCTCCTCCTCCTCCTAAAGTTACTCCTCCTGCAGGTAGTCTGATTTGTTGGTGTCTTTCTTCTTGTTGACATCATGAGTCAGCCATGTTTGTCTTTATGTCCATTTATGTTGATACCATCTCTTAACATGTCTTTGGATTGTTAAGTTGTGCCAGTACAGGCTTTCCAGGCTTAATGTTTTCTTGATCATAATGGGTCTACTCCCAAATTATCTCCTTCAGTGGAGAAGAAACCTTCTGCACCAGAACCAAAGCCCTCACCTCCTGCTCCACCTAAAGTTACTCCTTCTGCAGGTAGTTTAATTTGTTCATGTGTTTCTTCTTGCTGACATCACGAGTCAGCCATGTTTGTTTTTATGTCAATTTATGTTGATATCATTTCTTAACATGTCTGCAGGTTGTCTTTTAAGTTGTGCCACTATGTGCTTTTCAAGCTTAGTTTGTTCTTGACCATGACTTGGGTGTATTCCCAAATTATCTCCTTCAGAGAAGAAAGCAGCACCAGAACCAAAGCCTTCACCACCTGCTCCTCCTCCTCCTCAGAAGGTTACTCCTGCAGGTAGTCTGATTGGTTTATGTGTTCATCTTCTTTGCTGACCTTAAAGGTCATCCATGTTTGTCTTTATATAAGTTGGTGTTGACACTGTCTCTTAACTTGTCGAGTATTTTTTCATGTTTTTAGTGGTTCCAGTATTTTCTTTACAATCTTAATGGTATTTTCATTATGATCTGGATGTAATCCCAAATGATCTCCCCCCAGAGGGGAAGAAACCATCACCAGAGCCAAAGCCCTCTGTTCCTCCTCAAAAAGTTTCTCCTCCTGCAGGTACTTTTTTTCTCTCTTAACATTTTATGTTGTCTGCTTTTTTATGTGTCTGGTTCGTTTCTTGGGTGGAGGATAAACAAGACTCCTGTTTTTCTTTGTTTTCGTTGTATTTGTTGTCTTATCTTATGCAACTTTTCACTGCTTTTGTCAGTGTCCTTGTAGCCTTGCTATTGTCCTGGTCGTGATCTTGCATCTTATTTATTATTTCCTCCAGAGGAGAAGAAACCATCTGTATCTGAACCAGCAGCTCCGTCACCCAAAGTTGCTCCTCCTGCAGGTAGTTTATTCAGTCTTGGGTCTCTGAACTGTTTTCTTAACTCTTGATATGTCAGCTTTTGTAATGTGTTGTCACCTTTACATCTATTGTTATGTTGGTCTTTACGTTTTTTTGTGGTATCTTGTGCTCTCAAGTGTCTCCTCCAGAAGAAAAGAAACTGCCTCCAGTATCAAGAGAACAACCAGCAGAAAAAGTAGTTTCTCCAGAAGGTAGTTTCTTCTGTTTGTCATTCTTATCTTTGTTTCTCTTCATCCTAAGTCAAATCTGTTGGTCATAGCAGCAGTGACATCTTTAAGATTGTCTGTTTTATTCAGTTGTTGTTTATTGAGTGGATCATTGTCAGTGATTTAATTGAGTTGGCGTTCTTGTAGCTCCAGTTGCACCAGTGGAGAAGAAACCTTCTGAGCCCGGTGTAAAGGCTGAACCTACCACCGTTTCTGAAAGAATTTCTCCTCCTGAAGGTAAAATTTCTTTTCTTCATCTTCATTTATCTGTGTTTGACTTTTTCCTCCTTTGATTCTGAAAATGTCAATGTTTGATTTGTTTACTTTAATGTCTTTACTGTTTGATGTTGTCAGCACAACTTTTTTAGTCTTTCACATCTTAAATATCTGTTTTATGAGACCAATTTATGTAATAAACAGTGCATTTATATTACAGCAAAAAAGGATGTTCAGTGGACCAAATCTGAGATTGTTTTTGTCTTCCTCTGTCTTTGGCTTTAAATGTGGCTTTTGTTTGTGCAGTGTTTGCTTATAATTGGTCTTGTTTAAATTTTTGCAGACAAGGAACCAGTTTCAGCTCCTGGACCAACTAAAGGTATAAAAAAGTGGATTTATCTTAACAGTAAAACCACTTAACTTGTTATTTTAAAGGTTTTACTCATAAACCTTTAAAAATAATCTTTTCAGTGTTGTTGTGATGTGTGATGTTTGTGTTGTAAAAAACAAATGTTTCATCCAAAGGATGTTTCTGTGTTTAAATGTGAGTGTCATAAAAGATGTTTTTACTCCCTCAACCACAGTGCCAACTCTTAAGCAAAAGGGTAAAATTCCCATTGAGGAGGAGAAAACTACCGAGGTTCCTAAACTAAAGAGTAAAATGACCATAAAACCCAAAGAGAAAGAGCCAGAAATGGAGACCATTCAGTTGAAGAAGGCTCCGGTAAAATCTCCAGAGCCCGAGAAACAGGTTATAACTCATAAAGCAGAAATGATAAGACACCATGATCCAGAACTATCAGTGCGAGGACTCCATGATAGAGAAGAGCGGGAGATCATAACCCTTGGAAGAACTGAACGAGTCTTTATAGCAGAACAGGAAACAATTCAACTGAGTCAAATTGAGGAGACTGAAACAATTAAAATTGTCCAAACAACAGAGAAAGAAGTTTGGACAAGAACCACAAAACCCAAGAAAGAAGAGGAACCCGAGGTTCCCAGTGTAGATAAGAAGAAAATAAAGAAACTACCGAAGACAGAGGAGCAACAAGAATCTGTGAAACTAAAACCATTTGAAAAGCCTGGAAAGTTAGAACAAGAGCAAGAGCAGATCAAACTGAAACAGGTTCCAAGTAAGCCTAAAGAACTTGAAAAGGAAATTTCAAAGGATAAAACTGAAACGACAAAACAACGTGACACAGAACCGAGAGTCCAGAAACCTCAAGAGAGAGAAGATCGAGAGATAATCCCACATGGAAGACCTGAAAGAGTCTCCGTTCTTGCCGAGGAGCCATCTAAAGCTGGTCAAACAGAAAAACCTGAACAGCCAGAGGAAGACGAGAAATCTAAGTGGACGAGAACCACAAAGGCACCAAAGGAAGGAGACACGGAGCCAGATGTATCGAAGAAGAAAATCAAGAAATTACCAAAGAAAGATGAAGAACCAGAAGTTGTGACATTGAAACCTTTTGAAAAACCCACAAAACAAGAAGCATCAGAACAAGCAAACACTAGAGATGAAGGTCGGGCAAAGACAGATACTGAGCGCTCTCCTTTTAAATTGGGTGAGATGTTGCTCAAAGATAAACCTACATCAGCTCTCAAAGACAAAGAAGACAAAGATGTTTCTTTGACAAGTTCTGACACAAGTCTAGATATTATCAAATCCCAACCAGAACCACCACAAAAGAAAAAGGTTGATCAAGTACCTAAGGATGAAGAAACTACAGCAGCAGATAAACCTAAAGTTAAACCTAAAGTGATTCCCAAACCAGAGGAAAAGGAAGAGCAGGTTGTGTTGAAGCCTTTCACCAAAGTCACTAAGCCAGAAAAAGTCCCTGATGAAGAGATAAAGAAGCCCGTAGACACAAAGGTTCCAGACAAGACAACCAAAGACATGAAAGATACAGAGAAACAGAAACCTGTGAAGAAGGAGGAACCGTCTGTTCCAGCCAAGAAACCAAGTCCTACAGGTCTTAAAGAGAAGATCTCACCTACTGAAGCAGAGAAGGTCCCAGCAAAACCATCCGATGTGTTAAAGAAAGATGTTGAACTCAAAAAGACTCCTTCTCCCACGGTCAGTACAGAGAAAGCAGAAGACAAAAAGCCCACAAAGCCTGTTGAGGAGCCGAAGACGGCTGAGCTAAAAAAGACTCCACCGTCTAAAGTGGAGAAGCAGAAAGACGTGGAGAAAGTTCCAGCTGAGAGAAAGCCAAGTTCTGAAAAAGTCAAAGAGATCCCTAAAGCTGTTTCCCCCAAAGACTCAGTTGAAGCCATAACACTCAAAAAAGTTCCCAAGAAGCCATCAGAAGACAAGGTCTCAGAATCAGAAAAGCCTGATAAAGGTCGGATCCCCCTTTCAAAAGAGATTTCTCCTGGAGCTGTGCAAATGAAGAGGGTGACAACTCAGCCTGAGGAGGAGGTCTTTGAAAATGAGCCTGACGAAGGCGAGGTTGAGGAGGAATCCTGGGGCTGGGATCTTGTTCCCTCAGAGGACTGGCAAGGTGAAGAGGTGGATGGGGCCGTTGAGACTCCGGGTATGCCTGGTGCCAGACGAGGTGAGACGAGCGAACTCTTCCAGCTGATTCTGGAGCCCCTTCATCCCATCCCAGATCTCTCATCTAATCCTCATCACATCTTCTTTGATCACTTTATCCATTTTCTTCATCTCATGCTGATGAATTCATCTGTGTGTATGTCAGTTGTGTCGATCCATCATCCCATCTGCTGTATTGTTTCCATCTTTTCATTCATCATATCCAGTCTTCCCAATTGCAGAACAGATATTTGTCTGTTTGTCTTCGCTGCTGTGGATTTCACTTGTCTTTGTTGTCTAAGCAAATGTCCTTTCAATCATCTCATCATCTCAGTATGTTTCCATTTCATCTTCCAGGTCTTTCAAGTGTCTGTTCATATGTGACGTCTCATATTCCCATGTTTGCTCTTGGAAATACTTTCATGTTTTTTCTTTGGCGTCTGCTGGAACTGTACTCTCCAATAGGAGATCAAAGAAATGGTCTTAAAACTTGTCTTATTGTTTCTTGTTCAGATGGGAAACCAAGTGACGAGCCTCCGAAAGGCAGAGGCAGAGGATTTGGGGGTGAGGATTTTACTGATAAAAACCCCACTGGTGCAAAAAACAGCATGAGCTGATGTCTGGAGCAAATTGTCTTTGTTCCCTCTGCTATCGTTAACCAGTTTGGTGTTTTGTCTCAGTCATTGTGTCTAATAATTATCGCTTTCTGATGATAAGAAAAATGGCTGGAAATTAAACTAGCTTTTCTTCATATGCAAATCAGTCAGACAGGGAAAAATCTGCAGCACATACTTGTTAGGGTATTGACAGATGATGACTGATGATGAACGACTGCTGGTGTTGACAGGTAAAATAATTTAAAATGAAAAAAACTGCAATGAATCCAAAGTACTCTGTAGCTAAAGGTAAGTAAATGAGTGCATATTCAGGTGGACATTTTAAGATTTCCTTCATCTAGTGGCTTCACCTTTCATTTAAGGAAGACAATGCATGGAAATCAGCTGTTAGGTGAACTTCCTTTAATATTTTTGCTATCTTTGTGCTTTGGTTGACCTGGTTCTGTCATTCATTCTGTGTTTGGACTCTTCTCTAAATTCTGGTTGTCATAACTGATCCTGCTTCATCTTAAGTCTTAACAAGAACTTTTCTGTGTTCTTCTAACAGTAGGACTTTAAACCTACAACTTATTTTATGTCTGAAAAATGACTTTGTGTCAAATGTTTTGTCTTGTTCTCTTTCGTATACTGAAACTAATTAATTCTGCTTCATCTTAAGTCTTAACAAAACTTTTTGTGCTCTTCTAACAGCAGAACTTAAAACCTACAACACATTTTATGTCTGAAACATGACTTTGTGTGAAATGCTTTGCTTCGTTCTTCATCCACTCCAACACCTGAAACTAACTGAGTAAGTTTTTATTTCTGATTCTGCAGCAAGACAAACTCCCTCTCCTGGTGATGGGGGAAGGGGTCGGGGCATGAAACCCGGTGGAAAAGGTCCAACACCACCAGAGGAACCGTTTGCAGGCTTCAAGCTCAAACCTGTGGCTTTGAAGTTTGTGAAGAAGATTCAAGATATTGTGCTGCAGGAGGCCGAGTCCATCGGCTCCTCGGCCGTGTTTGAGTGTGAGGTCACACCCTCTACGGCCGTCACCTCCTGGATGAAGGATGACAGTAACCTGCGTGAGAGTCCCAAGCATAAGTTCACCTCTGATGGCAAAGATCGGAAGCTGCACATCATTGATGTCCAGCTGTCCGACACTGGAGAATACACCTGTGTGGCCAAGAATGCTGGAAAGGAGATTACCTGCACTGCTAAGCTCATAGTTGAAGGTAAGCTAAAACCTGTTCAAACTCGGGTAGCTTGAAGAACTTGCCCTCATTGCATTGGAAACACTTTCCTCTCTCCACAGAGCTCCCTGTAAAATGGCTGAAGGAGTTGGAACCTGAGACCTCATGCATGAAAGGTCAACCAATGTACCTGATCTGTGAACTGAACAAAGAAAGAGACGTGGTGTGGAAGCGGAACGGAGAGCTTCTGAAGAAAAAGGCTGGAAAAGTGGCCATTAATGTGATCGGTATGCAGCACGCTGTGACCATCCAGAACGTCACTGATGAGGATGCAGGCCTCTACACCTGTGAAGTAGATGGTCAGGCAGACGTCAAAACCTCAACCACCGTCAAAGTGATTGGTGAGCAATCAGCAGCATGAAGGAATCATCAGACACAAACACATCAACTGCAGACAATGTTGTTACCGAACTAATCAGACGATTTGTGTTTGCAGGTAATCTTCCATACACTAACATGACAGTTGTAGGAGAAATATATCATTTACTGTAGAAGGCTGGTGGTTAAAGTATTGGACAAAAAAAACCTACATACAAACAAGCATGCAAAATCCAAGAGATTTCTGTCTTTATAATAAGATTGTAAAGAGACTGAAACCAGAAAAAGTAAAAAATCTAATCAACCAATCACAAACCTCCAGTTCTTGGTACTCAAAGTTTTACTAGAAAGGTTGCTGCATACATTACCAGATCGTTATTTCTCTCCATACAAATTGAATGTAGGTGAAATGCAAGAACCGTTTGGTATAAAAAGAAGGAAAAGCAGCTTGTCTGTGAATGAAAGAGAAATCTTGATCTAAACTAATCCCAGAAGCACTAAAATATAAAACATTGTATTTTAACCATTCTTTGTAGTTTTAGAGACAAAAATGTCCTCTGTGTTTCCTGAATTCAGTATTTGAAATTACAGGTCAAATAGGTTACTAAACTTTCCAAGACAGAACTTTAATTTCTGTGAATAATTAGTGTTTTTTCAGGTTTCACACAACAAACCTGGACGTCGTCAGCATACCAAGGAATGGCAGTAATTATTCCAGATGATTTTAAAAACTGGACACACAACACAAAAACAACTTATCCAACATGGTTATCTGAAACCCAATATGTTCAAGTCTCTGTAATACATGTTTAAAATGTCTTTTTAAATGTGGGCGTTTTTAGGTATGACCTATCTTCCTATAAGGTGACCCTTCCCTTTGCAGAAACCATCAAAGACTGGCTGGTGAAGCCTCTGAGGGACCAGCATGTGAAACCAAAGTCCAAGGCCACATTCAAATGCGAGCTGTTCAAAGACACTCCCAACTGGAAATGGTACAAAGGCGAGAACGAACTCGCTCCTTCTGACAAAGTTGAGATCGACAAAGATGGAAAGGACATGAAGCTCACCATCAACAACTGCCAACCTGACGACGTGTCAGATTACACCATCGAAGTTGAAAATCGAAGATACACAGCCAAGCTCACACTGGGAGGTTTGTTCATGGAATCAACATTCGAACAGTTTGAAAGTTGTGAATGAACGGTTTTGTTGAACATTTAAAAACTTCTACATCTTCAGAGCGTGAAGCAGAGGTCCTGAAGCCTCTTGCCAGTGTTGAGGTGGTTGAGAAGGAGGAAGCTCACTTCGATACTGAAATATCTGAGCATGATGTTCCTGGTGAATGGAAACTCAGAGGCCAGGTGTTGACCAGGTCTCCGGTACGTTATTTGAAAAAGGTTATGTTGTTGCTTTCAATAAAAAGCTCTCCAGGATTTTTGATGTACCTACTTTATTTTCTCAGACATGTGACATTAAAGCAGAGGCCGGAAAGCGCTTCCTTACACTGAAGAACGTGCAGCTGGATCAGGCTGGAGAAGTGTCGTACCAGGCTCTGAACGCTGTCACCAGTGCCATGCTCACCGTTAAAGGTACAAACCCGTCTCAGACACACTGACTCGGTTTGTCTATGTTTGTTTCAAGTCCCTGCATCTATTTGTCTTGTGGAATGGAGGCACTGCTGGAAAACCGTCTGTGTTTTGCTTTTGTCAATAATGGCTAAATTATTCGCATCTCCCAGAGATCGAAATGGGCTTTGTTGAAACGCTGAAGGATGTGTCTGTGCCCGAAAAGAAACAGGCTAAGTTTGAATGCACCATCACTAAGGATATACCAAAGGTCATGTGGTTTAAGGGGGTGGAAATCATCACCCCCAGCCCCAAATATGAAATAATTGATGATGGGAAGAAACACATGCTGATTGTAAACAGCTGTGAGTTTGATGATGAGTCTCAGTATTCGATAGAGGTATTGGACAAAAGGTCAACGGCTCAGCTGACGGTGGAAGGTAAGAACGGCCATGCTTCGTGTCTCTGTGTGCTCATTCCATGTTTGTGGCTTCAAAGTGTTGGATGGCATCAAACGCTCCTGTCTGTGTGCACTGACCTGCTGTATTCCAGGCATGAGGCTCAAATTTGTGCAGCAACTTAAGGACCAAACGATCAAAGAAGGTAACTCGGTGCGCTTTGATATCGAGTTGACTCACGAGAACGTGCCGGTGGTTTGGTACCGAAACGAAGTCAAACTCCACGTGAGTCGAACGGTGCTTATGCACGTGGAAGGAAGGAGACACACTCTAGAAATGAGGAGTTTGAGTCTAGATGATACCTGCCAGATAAAGGCAGAAGCCAAGGGAATTTACTCCTCAGCCAAACTGACAGTCATAGGTAACAGCATGCTCTCCTTTACCGGGTTTTCTCTCACTGCCTTTTATGTTACTGTTTATCAGATATGAGATACACAAGTCTGTTTTGAGTGATTGATGTCTAAATATGAAATTTTCTCACAGGAAACAAAATTTATAATAATGACAAAATCCAAAATCTTTAAAATATTATCAAATAAGTGTTCCGTTAACTAACACGATAAAAAGGTGTTAACAAACTGTTCAATATGCTCGTCAGAGGGAGACGCCATCTTCCTGGTGAAGCTGCGGGATTACACCGCCACCGAGAAAGACGAGGTGTCACTAGACTGCGAGCTCAGCAAAGACGTTCCTGTGGTCTGGTATCACAATGAGAAGGAAGTCGTTAACTCCAAGCTGGTGGTCATGAAGTCAGAAGGCACCCGCAGGTCTCTGGTCCTGAAGAAAGTGGCGCAAAACGATCAAGGAAAATACGTATGTGACTGTGGAACAGACAAAACATCAGCCAACATAATGATTGAAGGTAAAGGAGGAGCTGCTTTCTGCTCTGATTCATTAAAGAGAAAGAGCATGATCTGATATTTGAATAAGAATATCTTTACAAACCATTATAGTTAATATTTTCTGTTGTATTTTAGACACATGATCTAAAATCTGTGAAAACACAGCAAAAAATAATTGGAAATGATTCATATTAACACGTTTAACCCTAAGTACCTGTATCCAGAAAAAACAACAACAAATAATTCTAATTATAGAGAAAATGATAAAAATATATCTAATTTCAGGATAAGTTTTTTTTATTTTTACAGTTTTCTTCTATTTGCATCAATATTTCTAGTTCTTGTTTAGTTTATAGCAAAGTTTTTGCTGTGTTGTCACTCACTACTTTTTATACTCCTTTTTTACTGTCGCTGGTTTTTGGCTTATCCAGACGATTTGCAATACTAGCTGGTAATTACACAGGTGTTGCATTTGTAAATGTGTAATATAAGGTAATGGTTACATATTTATTATCACAAGTTAAATTTCTTATAACTATTTTTATTTTTACAAACCATTAATAAATATGGTATGAAAAGACTGACTTCTAAATTAAAGATGCAACAAGCAGATCACTTTTAAAAAATAAAAATGTAGAAAAAACTGAACAAATTAAATTAGCAACCTCTCCTTCCTGTTTTATTTAGTTTTCTCTGTAACTTTCCTCCCTATCAGCACGTGACGTTAAGGTTGTGCGGCCGATCTACGGCGTGGAGCTGTTTGATGGCGAGACGGCTCGTTTCGAGGTTGAGATCTCTGAGGACGACGTCCACGGCCAGTGGAAGCTGAACGGAGAAGCGCTCAATCCTTCCTCAGTGAGCATCACTGCCGTTTCATCGCCTCAGATGTTTTAAAATCTCCCAGATCCCGTCTTGACCTCAGTTAAACCCTTTTCATTTGACAGGATGTGGACATCATTGAGGAAGGAGGCAAACACACCCTGATCCTGTACAACTGTAAGGTGTCCATGACCGGAGAGGTGTCTTACTCTGCTGCCAATGCCAAATGCTCCGCCAACTTGAAGGTCAAAGGTAAAATAAACTCACATGTTTTTCTGATCCACTTTATTTGTTCCATTTTCCATGACCTAAAAACAAAACCTTTACTCAAACATTGACTCTCTGCGTTTTCCCGCAGAACTTCCTCTGAACTTCCTGACCCCCCTGAGCGACGTTCAGGTGTATGAGAAGGATGAGGCCCGGTTCGAGTTGGAGGTGTCGAGACCTCCAAAGAGCTTCCGCTGGCTCAAAGGCTCCCAGGAGCTGACAGGCGACGACAAGTACGAGATGATTCAGGAGGGCAATATGTACGTTCTGGTGATCCGATCGGCGGCGTTTGACGATGAGGCCAAGTACATGTTTGAGGCAGAGGACAAGAGGACCACCGGCAAACTCGTTATTCAGGGTAATCGTGACATGTTGGACCATTTAACTAAATGAAGCTTAATTAGCCTTAATAATTATTTTGTAGCAATTACTGCCATAAAAAAGTTAGGATAAAGGTATTTGAATATAATTTTTGGGGAATAGATTGTGTGGTTTTGACTACATATCACTGAAGTCAAAGTGACACAAACACAAATATTATTTTTAAGATAAAAATCATGACCCGCTAAATAAATCTATTTAGCGTTCAACTTTTGGCGTTTTAGAAATAAAATTATGAACATCCCACTAATAAACAGTTGCTATTTTTTTTCAGGTATTCGCCTGGAGTTTGTCAAGCCCATTAAGGACGTAACAGTGAAAGAGAGAGAAACTGCAGAGTTCAGCGTTGAACTGTCTCATGAAAACATCTCGGTGGTTTGGTACAAAAACGACGTCCGGCTGCTTCCCAGTAAGGTGGTCCATATGTCGGATCACGGAAAAGTCCACACTCTGGCCTTCAAGGAGGTGACGATCGACGACACCTCTATGATCAAGGTGGAGGGCATGGACAAGAGCATGACAGCCATGCTCACTGTCGTCGGTCAGTGTCACAAAAAACATTTTCCCATCTTTGATTCAATGGAAATGACTAATTTAAATAAGTGTTTCACTTTTTGTGTGTGTGCAGAGGGTGACTTGTACTTCACCACCAAGCTGCAGAACTACACTGCTGTGGAGAAGGACGAGGTGAAGCTGGTCTGTGAACTTAGCAAGGCTGTTGCTGATGTGAAATGGTTTAAGGACGGGAAGGAGATCACTCCGTCCAAGAACATCGCCATCACCACGGATGGAAAGAAGAGAATCCTGATGGTCCGGAAGGCAGAGAAGGCCAACATCGGAGAGTATACCTGCGACTGTGGCTCAGACAAAACCACAGCAACCCTCAACATTGAAGGTAGCACTCAAAGTCTATAAATTATCAACTTTAAATGAATTTCTAATAAAAGTGTGTCTGAAAACTAGATATTTTGCTAAGAAAAATACAAATAGAGTAAGTGTAGGCTTATTGATAATATTTCAAAAAATCCCTGCATCTTTCAAAGATGATCCTAAATGTTTAATCAGTCATTTTTAGGTTGCCACCTCATAGTAGTTGAGTTAAATTAGCCTATTGGAGAACTTTCTGCTTAAGTTGCTGAAAGGAGAAAATGTCCTTACTGTGATTCTAAGAGACAGAAATGGTTGGATGAGAGTCTCTCCATGGGTGCAGCTCTTTGGGATGTTCACATCTGCAGGGGTCAGCAAAATTAGTTTTATTTTTTAAAACCAGGGGTCTTAAAAATAAAACAGAAGAAGCATTGAAAGTCAAGTAGAAGCCAGGCGTTTGAGTAAAAAACTTGAGAGGTAAAGACTTCTGGGATTTAATCTTAGTTATAAATACAACACATTAAAAAAAAACCTTGGGACAAAATTACAGGGATATATAGATTTTAAAACTTATAAAAAGTGTTTACTGTGTAACAGTTTCAAAATATGCTATTGCCTTCTCTCTAACGGTTTGCTGCTCTCTCTACAGAGCGCGATATCAAGGTTGTCCGTCCCCTGTACAGCGTGGAGGTCACTGAGACAGAGACAGCCAGGTTTGAGACTGAGATTTCCGAGGAGGACGTCCACGGAAACTGGAAACTGAAGGGAGAAGCTCTGCACCAGACTGCGGTAAGGCTTCCAGGAACTGAACGACCTTCCCTGGGATTTTGCAGATAAAGTCTCTGACTCTGTTTGTTCTTTTCCTTCAGGACGTGGAGATTAAAGAGGAAGGAACCAAACACATGCTGATCCTCTATAATGTTCATATGGACATGGCCGGAGCTGTTGACTTCTCTGCAGCCAACGCCAAATCCAATGCTCAGCTCAGGGTCAAAGGTCAGACATTGTTTTTCCATGTTTTACAGCTGCTTGATAACAGCAGCTCCTTCATTAATTTTAGTGATCAAGATCCTTTACCGTTATTCACTTCCTGCAAGTTTAAATAAAATATATGAAGTGATTCATGTCATCTGTGACATGCCTCATGGTTTCAGTCCTCAGCCAATCAGAGCTTGGGGTTATTTTCAGCCTCAGAGTTTATCTCTCTGAAACTAACTGTCCTGCTCTCTAATTGGCTTCTACTTTGTCCTGTTGTCCTGCTTCTCTCCTCTTCAGCTCGCTCCATCACGCTGATGCGTCCACTGAAGGATGTGACAGTGACAGCTGGAGAGACGGCTACCTTCGAGTGTGAGCTCTCATATGAAGGCATCGAAGTGGAGTGGTTCGTTGGAGGACAGAAGATGGAGGCCAGCGACCGGGTCAGTTATAGCCTCTTATTACTCATTATGGACAGAACTAGAGTAAACTAGAGTAGTTTATTTCATTCATTTTATTTCATACAGTTCAAAATAAATATGTCACATGTTGACATGAGCAAAAGTATTAAATTAAAAGGAGTAAAAGGAGGAAAAACATCTACCCCTTCTCTCAAAACATCCGTTCATTAAAATAATTTACTGAAACATATGTTCCAGAGATTAGACCAACATTTCTACACAAAGAACTAGAAGGTTAAAAACTCAGCTAAGTGTTACAAGAACATTAGAAAAGATTTTTACAAAGTTTAGTTTTTAATTTTACAAAACAAAAGTGAAAAGTTTCTAAAGTTTTTTAAAATTAGCATGGTTTCAGTGTATCATCTTATTTAGTTTACTGGTAAAAATTTTCACAGAATATTTTAGTATCATCTTTTTTTCCTTTTTTCTGAAGAAAAGTACATTTTAAAATGAAAAATCTAAGAAACAATAATAACAGAATCATAGCCATACATACTTTATTTGAAAAATTACCAATTTTGTTTGAGGACTATGGCAAGTAGCTTTCAAAAAGAACAATTTATTGTCTTATAAAAGTTGTTTTTTGTTGATTATAATAAGAAAAATAACTTATTTTATTTGTCTAGCCAGTTTAAGCTACATATTCCCTTCAGCTGTATGTAGTTAAATGTCCCACAAAGTTGACCTTTTACAGCTGAGTTAAAAATAAAATAAGATAACAGAGCAGCTACTCTTATCTTCAGCCCTCCAACAGTCCCAACAGCTTTATCTGCACAGGGACTCAGTTTAATCACAGCACACAGACGACATCACTGGAGGAATTCATTAGGTACCTAAAACCAAATTGTTTCCTTTATCCAGAGTACAAACAGCAACTGAAAACAAAAACATAAAATAATATATATATTAAATTAAGAAATGTGAAAGTATATGATGCCTTTTTGTCAGAAGTTCTAAAGTAATGTTGAATATGACAAAAAATATATTTTAAGTGTTTACTAAAGAAATGTAATAAATGAAAGAAGTTTTTGGTATTGCTTAGCACGTATTGGAAACATTAAGTTCTTTTAACCTCCTTCATTTATTGCTGTGGGATTGAGCTGCATTCATTTTAAATCTGTAAAGGAAGCATAGTCAATCAGATGAAAATTGAAGGAAAATGAATTACAGTGTTCATGTTGAACCTGCATCTTTTATTTACTAAGCACCAAACAGGATCGTGAACTCTACTGATCCTGTGAGCTGCAACCAGGTGAGCTATCAATAAATCAGAGTTTTCTGGGTCTGCAGGTAAAACCTCGGGTGGCAGGTAGAGTTCACACTCTGACTGTCCGAGATGTGAAGCTGTCAGAGGCCGGGGAGGTCAAAGTGACTGCCAAGGACTTCCTGACTCAAGCTCAGCTCTTTGTTGGAGGTAAAACACTCAAACATACAAGAGACAGTGAACACACTAAACATGTTCAGACATCACCTGATCAAATGGTTTGGGTTTAGAGCCACCAGTAGAGTTCACAAAGCCTCTGGAAGACCAGACGGTGGAGGAAGAGGCCACCGCCACCCTGGAGTGTGAAGTGTCAAGAGAGAACGCCGAGGTGCGCTGGTTCAGGGAGGGTCAGGAGATCAGAAAGACCAAGAAGTATGACACCATCGCTGACGGTCGCAAGAGAGCACTTATCATCCATGACTGCTCTCCAGATGATGCCAAAATGTACACATGTGATGCTAAAGAGTTCAAAACTTCCTGCTTCCTGGAGGTTACACGTAAGGAGGAGCTTTAATTTCAATCTTTTCAGTCACAAATTGTTCTTGGCTTCAGAATAAGGAATAAAGATGGTTGGATGAGATTTGTTAGCAAAAGAAGAAGTAAAATGTTGGAATAAATGAAAGTTTGTCTTTGTATCCACAGCTCCTTATGTGGAGTTTACAAAACCACTACAGGATGTGGAAGTCAGAGAGAAAGAATCAGCCAGGTTTGAATGTGAAGTGTCCCGCGAGTCTGCCAAGGTAAGATGCTCAATTTTTCAAGGCCTGTTAAAAAGAGTTTATCCTTTTAAAAAAATGCATTTTGGTCACATTTGAAGTGATGTTCACATCCTTGTTTTGGTTTAAGGTTCGCTGGTTTAAGGACGGCAGCGAGATCAGGAAGGGAAAGAAGTATGAAATCATTGCTAAAGGAGTGCAGAGGATCCTCATCATCCACAAGTCAGTGTTTGACGATGAGGCAGAGTACGAATGTGATGCCAGAACCTTCAAGACGTCTGGCATGCTCACTGTCATCGGTAAGGACCACTGGGGCATTTAAAACTGGTCTGGCTTCATATTATGTAAACTTTGTTGTCTTAATTTGACATAAACTGAAAGCTCCAGATTTATTAGTTTTCTGTGTTAAAACAGAGCCAGAGTGGCAAAGTAAAAACATGAATTCATAACTCTGTTGCTCTGTGTTTGCTCAGAGGAAGCAGCCACATTCACCAAGAACCTGTCCAATGTGGAGGGAACAGAGACAGACAGTGTAAAGATGATCTGTGAAGTTTCCAAGGCCAATGCTGAGGTTACCTGGTTCAGAGGAGATGAAGAACTGCCAGAGGGCGGACGCTACGATCAGATCATGGACGGTCGCAGGAGGATCCTGATCATCCAGGACCTGAGGATGGAAGATGCTGGAGAGTACAACTGCAGACTGAGCCCCACTGTCAGAACATCTGCCACCCTGAAACTCAATGGTACAAAAGGAGATGAGATCATTTAACATTTAGTGGCTTTAAGCTCTTTACCCTTATCCTGTCCTTTCTGTCTTCATTTCTTCTTCTGCTCTGAAGAACTGGCAGCGGAGTTCATCTCTCGCCCTCAGAACCAGGATGTGGTAGAGGGTGAGCAGGCTGAGTTCTCCTGCACCGTGTCCAAAGAGACCTATGAGGTGAAGTGGTTCAGAGGTGAACAAGAGATCCAAGCTGGAGACAAATACACAATCATCAGTGAAGGAAAGAGAAGGGCTCTGATTGTGAAAAAATGTGACCTGAAGGATGAGGGTGGCTATGTTGCTCACATCGGCAGCGTCAAAGCTTCTGCTGATCTCTGTGTCATAGGTAAGATTTTCATTGTCTTCTTAGCATATGGTTTTCATGACCTTCTAGCTGGTATTAACTGGTTCCTGTCCTACTGCAGAAAAACTGAGGATCGTTACACCAATTAAAGACACAGACGTGAAGGAGGGAAGCGAGATTGTGTTTAACTGTGAGACCAATACTGAGGGAGGCAAGGCCAAGTGGCTGAAGAATGAGGAGACCATTTTTGAAAGCAGCAAGTACATGATGGTTCAGAGAGACAACGTCTTCTCTCTGAGGATCAAAGATGCCCAGAAGGCCGATGAGGCCACCTACACTATCTCTCTGACTAACAACAGGGGAGAACAAGCCAAGTGCTCTGCCAGCGCTAAAGTTGCAGGTAAAAACATTTTTAATTGTGTCATCTCTGTTGGTCTTCTTCATGAAAAGTTGATTCTGTAATCATCCATTAACGTTCACAGAGGAAAAACTCAAATTCCTGGAGCCCATTGAAGACATTGAGACTCAGGAGAAGAAGACCATCAGCTTTGTTTGCAAAGTGAACCGGTCTGAGGTGACCGTAAGATGGATGAAGGCCGGCCAGGAGGTGACCCTCAGCAAGCGCATCGTCTACAGAGCCGATGGACTCAAACACACCCTGACTATCAAAGACTGTGCCATGGAAGATGAGGGCGAGTACACTGCCATGGTTGGAGACGACAAGTGTGCTGCTGAGCTGATCATCAGCGAGGCGCCAACTGACTTCACAGGACAGCTCAGAGATCAGACTATTACTGAGTTTGAGGATGCAGAGTTCACTTGCAAGCTGAGCAAGGAGAAGGCTGCTGTCAAGTGGTACAAGAATGGACGAGAGATCCGAGAAGGACCAAGGTATCTTTCCTACTTTGCAAGCCATGATATGTAAACAGAGCAGCAGTCAAACTCAGCACATCCTAAGCTCTGCCTGAGCTGCAACAGTACAAGCCAGGTTTTTAATTATTTTTATGAAAACCTTTCCATGTTATTTTTGCAGATATCATATGGAAAAAGAAGGCAAAACATGCAGATTGATCATCAAGGTGTGCAGACCAGATGATGAGTGTGAATATGCCTGTGGTGTGGATGAGAGAAGGACCAGAGCCAGGCTCTTTGTAGAAGGTCAGCTTTCTGATTCTGTCTCTAGTCACAGAAACTCAGAGAAACTGTCTAATACTCACTGTGGATCTGTCTTTATTTCCTGAAGAGACCCCAGTGGAGATCATCAGACCACCACAGGACATGTTTGAACCTCCAGGCTCAGATGTCGTGTTCGAGGTGGAGCTCAACAAGGACAGAGTGGAGGTTAAGTGGATGAGAAACAACATGATCATCGTGCAGGGAGACAAGTACCAGATGATCAGTGAGGGGAAGATCCACAGGTTACAAGTCTGTGAGATCAGACCCAGAGACCAAGGAGAGTACCGCATTGTGGCCAAAGACAAGGATGCCCGGGCCAAACTGGAGCTGGCAGGTAAGTCCGGCCTGACAAAACCGTAAGACATTGCTGGAAAAACATGGCATTAATCCATTTTAAATTATATCAACGTAAAACAATGTATTCTTTAAGACAGAGGTATTAATATCACTTCCCAAATGTCTTACATGTTTGGATTTTTTTCTGGTTCAACGTTCCTGAATCCAACAACTTCAAAATATTTTAAACTGGAATTACTCAAAGCTTTGCACTCCTCAACAGTGAGTTGAAAGATAAAATGGAAAATAAAATCTGTTCTAACTATTTTAATACCTCTGCAGCTGTTCCAAAGATCAAGACCACTGACCAGAATCTGGTGACGGACGCTGGAAAACCCTTCGTCATGTCGGTTCCTTACGATGCCTACCCTCGTGCTGATGCAGAGTGGTTCTTTGATGGCAAAAGCTTACCTGTTCAAAACATTGATACGTCGCTTGACAAAACCGAGTACCGTCTTAAGAGCCCTACCAAGGAGGACCAGGGTCGGTACAGAGTGGTAATCAAAAATAAACATGGTGAGGGTGAAGCTTTCATCAACCTGGATGTGGTTGGTAAGTCTGTGGGTCAGAGGAGGCAAGATAATCTGCAGACTGGGGCTATAGGATTTCTAAGTGTTTTTTTGTGATTTTCAGATGTCCCTGGACCTATTAAGAACCTAAGAGTGGTCGACACTGCTGATGGTGAGGTCAGCTTAGCCTGGGAGGAGCCCGAGAGTGATGGTGGCAGCAAGATCATCGCTTATGTGGTAGAACGACGCGATGTAAAGCGGAAGACCTGGACTCTTGCTACAGACCGGGCTGATACTCCAGAGTACTGTGTCAGTGGTCTCCAGAAGGACTCCCTGTACCTGTTCAGAGTCTGTGCTCGTAACAGAGTTGGCCCCGGTCCCATTGTTGCAACTGACGATGCCGTTCAGGCCAAGAACAAGTTTGGTAAGCAAACACTAACAGTTCCTCAACTGCTTTTACAATCTCCACAGTTTATAAGAAGCTTTTTCTTCTATTTGTTGCCAATCTCCAGATGTTCCAGATGCTCCAGAAAATGTTGGCATTGGTGTGGTGAACAAGTTTGGAGCCACTGTCAACTGGGAGCCTCCTAAGTTTGATGGGGGCTCAGAGATCACTGCATACGTGATTGAGCTCCGTGACAGAACCTCTGTGAAATGGGAGGCGGCCCTGGTGTGTGGAGCCAGTGATCGATCGGCTACTCTGAATGACGTAGTGGAGCACAAGGAGTACATCTTCAGAGTCCGAGCTGAAAACAAGGCCGGAATTGGACGGCCTAGTGCTGCAACCAACCCAGTCAAGATCATGGATCCCATTGGTGGGTGGAAGTCAGCTGCTCAAATGTTTGGTTCATTTCTGTTCTGTCATGTATGGGAATGAAAAAAAATTATTTTTGTCATAACAGAGTTTGGTACAATCAAAATCAGTCAACAATCAATGAACTGCGTTATTTTCTTCAAATAAGAAATCAGTTTTAAAGAATTTCGCATCCTGTAAGGTAGGGTTAGGGTTATACTAAGAAATATTCTATGTCCTGCAGAGAGGCCAAGTCCACCTCTGAACCTGAACTACAGTGACCAAATCAACACCGCTGTCACTCTGACCTGGGAAACCCCGTTAAGCAACGGTGGCAGCATGATCACCGGGTACATTATCGAGAAATGTGATGAGGGCTCAGACAAGTGGTTACGCTGCAACGCCAGACTGTGTCCTGACCTCTCCTACCGGGTACAGAGCTTCCCAAAAACTCACTCAAGCTTTACCAAATAATCCTGTTTATCTCCCCAGTGATCTCATATTTAGCTGTGAAAATTCATAGACTCTGTGTGGTTTAACACAGGTTTCTGGACTGAAGCCTGGTCAGAAGTACCTGTACAGAGTGTGTGCTGAGAATGCTGCTGGTGTCTCAGATCCAACAGAGCAGCTGGGACCACTGCTTGCCGACGACCCACATGGTGAGACTCAGTTGGCTAGTTTTTCTCTAAAAATTTAAATGTCAAATTCTCCACTGAACCACAAACTGCTATAGTAATTATTGCTATTGATATTTTGAGTCAAAACTCTTCCAAGTGTCAATGAAGAAAACATTTTTCCTTCCACAGTTGGTCCAACCTTTGATCTAAGCGGCTTTAGGAATGGCCTGGAAGTTATTGCCCCTCAGCCTCTCACCATCAGGGTCCCCATTACCGGATACCCCACTCCCACAGCAAAGTGGAACTTTGGAGAAAAGGAGCTGACCACAGCAGAGGAGCGTGTCTCCATGGTAACAAAGCCAACGTTTACAGAGCTGACAATCTCTCCAAGTGTCCGTCCTGATAAAGGCACATACACCCTGCACCTGGAGAATGATGTCACATCCGTCTCTGGAGAGATTGAGGTCAATGTCATCGGTAAGTTCAGCCCTTATGTGTTCATATACTGTGTTTTTGAAGGAGTACTGAAATGTTTTTCTCAAACCCTGTTTCTTTTTACTTTCCCAGCATGTCCAAGTGCACCCAAAGACTTTAAGGTAGCTGAAGTAACTCGGCACCATGTCCACCTGATGTGGGAGCCGCCAGAACACGATGGAGGAAGTCCAGTTACCCACTATCAGATAGAAAAGAGAGAGGTTTCCCGCAAGACCTGGGCCAAGGTACATCTGAGAAGAGTATCTGATATTATTATGAGAGGTAAAATCGATGGATTAATTGATGGATTAATGCACAATATAACATTTTCTCCAGGTTGCTACTGGTGTCATGGATCTGGAGCACACAGTAACAGATGTGATTGAGGGAAAAGAATATCTGTTTAGCGTTATTGCCTGCAACAAGTGTGGACCTGGAGAACCAGCCTACATAGATGAGCCCGTAAACGTCTCCTCACCTGCCAGTAAGTATGATCTCTCTTTGCGCAAAGGAAAAACTTTCAACATTAGGTCTAATTCTTTAGGTCTAATTCTTGCAAATGCATGTCACTCACATATTCTTACATTTGATCAAAATCTATTTTTCTTCTAGCTATTCCTGATCCTCCTGAGAACCTGAAATGGCGTGACAAGAGTGGCAAGAGCATCTTCCTTTCCTGGGAACCTCCAAAATATGACGGTGGTGCTCCGGTTAAAGGTTACGTGGTTGATAAGTGTCAACGTGGGACAGACAAGTGGGAACCCTGTGGTGACCCCATTCCTGAACTCAAGTAAAATTAAACTTCTTAATTGCAAGTGTCAGCAATCTGATCTGGGTAACGGTATAATTTAAGATGTTTTTGTGACCACAGGTTCCAGGTGACAGGGCTGATCGAGGGCCAGTGGTACGCCTACAGAATCAGAGCAGTGAACAAGTTGGGGGCAAGCAGACCCTGCAGGGCCACCGATGAAATTCAGGCTGTAGATGCTCGAGGTGCGGCGGTTTGTTCATCATGCTGATTCTGCTAAATGGGATTATTAAACACAAACAGGAGACAGAAAATCATCCCACAGTTTTAAACATTTTTATAATTTTTCAAAGCACAGATTATATTATAAAAAAAAAAAAACAACTGACTTGACTATATTCTTTAAAAAACTTATACAGAACCTCCAGAGATCCAGCTGGATGTGAAGCTGCTGGCAGGCCTGACTGCCAGAGCAGGCACCAAGATTGAGCTTCCTGCAGACGTCAAAGGACAGCCTGATCCTCGTGTAAAATGGACCAAGGCTGACTTGGTCCTACGGGCTGATGACCGTATAACCATTGAGACCCAGCCGGGACACTCCAAAGTTTCCATAGGCAACACCACCAGAGAAGACACGGCCACTTACATCATAGAGGCGGTCAACATCTGTGGACGCGCCACTGCCACCATTGATGTCAACATCCTAGGTACAATCTTCAAAACTTAACCAACTGAGTTATTTCTGTGAGGGTTACTCCTCTAAGGAAAAACTGAGAAATGATTTCTCATTTCTGGTCAAATAGTTAATGACAGCCTTTCCTCTAGGCATCTGTTGCTACAATCCATTAGCATGCCACCACTCATTGGGGTCAAATGACTGAATGTAGTCCGAATCTCTTTGGGGTCTTCTGGGCTTGATAAGCGTTATTACATGCCATTTACCATTTGTTTTTCAACTCAGATAAACCAGGCCCTCCAGCTGCCTTTGATATCTCAGAGATCACCAACGAGTCCTGCGTTTTAGCCTGGAACCCTCCCAGAGACGATGGTGGCTCACCCATCGCCAACTACATTGTTGAAGCTCGTCAGACAGACAAAGAGGAGTGGGTCAAATTGTCAGCCACTGTGAAGGACACCACCTTCAAGGCCTGCAAGCTTATTGCTATGAAGGAGTACATCTTCAGGGTCAGTGCAGAGAACCAGTATGGCATTGGCATTCCTACAGAGCACACACCAATCATTGCTAAGTACTCTTTTGGTAAGTTGTCTCATAGCTCAACCCATCACTCAACAAACTGAAGATGTGACTTCTGAATTTTTGTATAAATCATTTTCCTGTCCAACTATTTCAGATCCACCTGGTCCTCCAACCAGAGTCACTCCTTCTGACATTGCCAAGGATGCGGTGACACTGACCTGGTTTGAGCCAGATGAGGACGGTGGCAGCCCCATCACAGGATACTGGATTGAGAAGTTTGATCAAGAAAGCGACAAGTGGATACGATGCAACAAACTGCCCATCAAGGACACAACTTTCAGGTATTTAGCTCAGTGATGAGATTTCCAAAGTACTGAGAAGTATTAATCAGAAGAATTTTTTTAATACTACTAATCTCTTTGGTTCCAGGGTAAAAGGACTTCCCACCAAGAAGAAGTACAGCTTCCGTGTGTTGGCAGAGAATCTGGCTGGACCTGGAAAACCAAGTGCAGAGACAGATCCTGTGCTTATTAAAGATCCCATTGGTATGTCACAAGTCTATCAACATCATTAATCTGTTACTTTTGAGGGTTTAAATTGTATCACGGTTCATTATCTTCGCATTTGTAAAATGGATTTTCTAAGATTCATAATAAATACAAGAAAACCTTCCAAAGTCAGGGTTGGGGTTCAGTTGCTACTAACAGTCAGCAATATAACAGTTAGCAAATGATGCTTGTTAAAGGACTTCCAACTAGAGGTGCTCAGATAATGTAGTAATTCATAACCAATTCGTTTCCAACTTCCAGACAAATTGAATTCACCTTAAATAAACAAAGTAATGTGAAATCATAAAACACTGAACTCTTTGTTAGATCCTCCATGGGCACCCGGAAAACCTGTTGTCAGGGAAGTTGGCAAGACCACTGCCTTGTTAGCGTGGACACGACCGGAGCACGACGGCGGGGCAAAGATTGAAGGTTACATCATCGAGTTCCAGAAGACTGGAAGCGAGGAATGGATCCGTATTGCAGAGGACGTTCCTCAGACAGAGCACCAGCTGCAGGGTCTGATGGAGAAGCAGGAGTACTCATTCAGAGTTAAAGCTGTCAATAAGGCGGGCGAGAGTGAACCCAGCGAACCCAGTGACCCCGTGGTCTGCAAGGAGAGACTCTGTAAGTTCTGCTCAGACACTGGCAGCAGAGGATTCTCTATGGAAAGGAATTACATCCTGGACTAACATTCTGTGTTTTCCATTTGCAGACCCTCCATCTGCTCCTCAGTGGCTGGAAGTCGCCAACATCACCAAGATCAGTGCTGATCTGAAATGGCAGGCTCCAAGCAGTGATGGAGGTTCACCCATCACAAACTATGTGGTGGAAAAGAGGGATGTGAGGCGGAAGGCCTGGCAGACTGTTGACACCACCATCAAGGAGCTCAAATACTCAGTGACTCCTCTGAATGAAGGATCCCTCTACGTGTTCAGAGTTGCTGCTGAAAATGCCGTTGGAATGGGAGAGTTCTGCGAGCTGGAGGATGCAGTTCTCGCCAAGGACACATTCAGTAAGATTCATGAATATTAATTACCCTCAGTTACCTGTTCTTCACTTTTTTTCTAATATAACTCATTATGTGTTTTTTATTTGCAAAATATCACACTAATATACTGATGTTCTTTAGAAAATATTAAAACAAAGCCAGTTCAGGAAAAACTGTTTTTTTTAACAATTTAAAACTCCATTGCCCTTTTACAGCAACTCCTGGACCTCCATACGCCCTAACAGTGATGGAAGTCACTAAGAGACATGTGGAGCTCAAGTGGGAACCTCCAAAGAGCAATGGTGGAAGACCCATAACCAAGTAAAATGACTCTCAAATATAGCATTTAGTTAAACAACTTAAGGATAACATTCTATTTAAATAAGGACTGACAAGTGTATTACTTGAGGCTAAGCAGGATTTTTTGTTTTCTTCACAGGTATGTGATTGAAAAGAAAGAAAAGGTTGGAACTCGATGGCTGAAGTGCTGCAAGACTCCAGATAAACAGACACAGTTCAAGGTGACAGATGTTGATGAAGGATCAGAGGTGCAGTTCCAGGTCAGAGCTGAGAATGAGGCCGGAGTGGGAGACCCGAGTGAGCCCACTGTCATCCTCACCATCGAGGATCCAACAAGTAAGAAACCTTCAGGTTCTAATTACAACAAACCATACAGTCAAGCCCACTATTATGACTGAATCATTTTCAGAATGTTGTTTTTTTCTAAAACTTAAAAATGATAAAGGGTTTGTTGAGGGAACAGGGGAGAGAGATGTCCTTCATGGAACATTTTCAATTTAACACTGAATTAAATTTCCTCCAACTAATTATCTTTGAACCGAAAGGAACACATTTAAATTCTGTTTTAAACATTGCATAATTTCTGTCCAGGTCCTCCATCTCCTCCTCTGGAAGTGGCCATTGTTGATGCCAGCAGGGAACACATCAATGTCACCTGGAAACCACCAGCCAAAGATGGCGGCTGCCCAATAACTGGATACCATGTTGAGGTGGCAGAGGCTCGTCCAGAACTCAAGTGGCTGAGGGTAAATGCCCGGCCCATTAAAGAGCTGAAGTTTAGGATTGATGATGGAATCAAACCAGAGAAAAAGTATGTGATTAGAGTTCGTGCCATCAACTCTATTGGTGTCAGCGATCCCTCTGAAATCTCCGACAAAGTTGCCACCAAAGATCCTGACTGTAAGTATTGACAGACTTTACATTTTAAAGCGTTACAGAAGACAGAATGAATCCTCAATAATTAACATGTCTTCTGTCCTGCAGGTGCTCCAACCTTGGATCTGGATGGACAGGATGTGATTGTGGTTGAAGGTGAGAAGCTGCACCTGAACATCCCCTACAAAGCAATCCCAACTCCCAAGATGGTTTGGCAGAAAGACACAGTAGAGTGTAAAGCCGACGACCGGCTCTCCATGACCGTTGAGATGAACAGCGCTCACCTGGAGATGCTGAAGTGCCAGCGTGCCGACGCTGGTGCCTACACCATCACTCTGGAGAACACTCTGGGCACTGCTACTGGCACCATCAACGTCAAAGTTATCGGTATGATACCCCACCTCACCAGTCCAATCATTATCAACATATCTGCTGTGATTTCATATTAGCAAAACAATTATTTTTATTGAAACAAACTTGCAAGCTAAACCCAGCTTTAAATACATTTAGAAAGCCAGTCAGGTCCATTGTCTCAGTCATTTTTTCTGGCCTCCTGAACCTCACAGGGCTCCCTGGTCAGTGTAAAGACATCACCTCCAGTGACGTCACTAAGAATTCCTGCAAGATCAGCTGGGAAGCTCCAGAAGACGATGGAGGCACACCCATAGTCAGCTACACTCTGGAGCGCCGAGAAGCATCCAAGAAAACCTACATGCCCATCATGTCAGGGGAAAATGTCCTCACCTACAACACGAAAGACCTTTATATCAACTGTGAGTACTACTTCAGAGTGAAGGCTGTCAACAAGGTCGGAGCAGGAGAATATTTGGAGCTACGTAACCCGGTTCTCACCGAGGAAATTAAACGTAAGTTCTGGTTTTTAATAAATGTCAACAGATTTTTAAAAATTTGGATGACAGTTTGGGATTTTATATTTATACCTGTGTTTATGGTGACCTACTAATAAACTGTGTTCAACTAAGCCTGGTGGAAATAGATCAGATACAAGATCAGCAATTTGCTTCTCCGGTTTACACATCATGGTCCCTATGTCTGACAGTCATCAACCATTGTAAACGTATGTCATTTAACACAGAGAAACCAGACCCTCCCATCCAGGTTGAGGGTCATGACCCCACATCTAAGTCCATCACAGTCACCTGGAAGGCTCCAGACTACGATGGCGGCTGCCCAATACAGGGTTACATAGTGGAGAAGATAGAGAAAGATGGTGACCGCTACGAGAAGGTCACCCCAAATCTGGTTCCCGGGTTCTCCTACGTGGTGACTGGCCTGAAAGAAGACATGGAGTACCAGTTCAGAGTCCGAGCAGAAAATGCCGCTGGGCTCAGCGAGCCTTCCCGCAGCACGCCGCTTATAAAGGCTGCAGACCCTGTTGGTACGTAAAGCTGTCTGGGTCTGTTTTCACTGAAGGAAAAGTTTTTTCTGTTAGATACTACATCCCTTTATTTTTACTTTCAGATAAACCAACAGTCACACTGCATGCACGTGTGCAGTCCGGCCTCTGCATTAAGAAGGGCGAGGAAATCCGCATCGATGCTTACATCTCTGGCTCTCCGTATCCCAAAGTCACCTGGCTGAGAAATGAGGAGGATGTGACCAAGGAACCTGCCAAAAAGATTGTTCCTGTGTTAAAAAAGAAGAAGACCAAAGCCAATGTTTGTTTCCTTTAAAAAAAAAAAAACTTCAATGATTTTCTTCTATATTTGAAATTGTTTATTTACTCTTCACTTTACTTTCTGCAGGTTCCAGAACCAGAGGAGGAGTTTGTGACTCCTCTGCGTGAACGTCTTGGTCTGGATAAAACCACCAAAGGCCAGTCTGCTCTGATGATCCGTGACTCTGTCAGGGTTGACCACGGCAACTACACGATCAGGGTGGAAAACACGCATGGTGCTGCTTCTGCCACCTGCTTCGTCAATGTCCTGGGTAAGGACATCTGCATAGATGTTTAGCCTGATCCTCCTTGTTTCTGGTTTCCTCAGTACAAACTTACATCTTACAGCTGTTTCTGTTTTGCTCTTGAACTTGAAGACTAATTTCACTTACTTATTCAACAGACAAGCCTGGCCCTCCAATAAACTTCACTTTTGATGAGATCAGGAACACCTCTGTCATCTGTAACTGGGAGCCTCCGGCGGATGATGGAGGCAGCGAGATTCTGAACTACATCCTTGAGAAGAAGGACAACAAGAATGATGAGATTGGCTGGATCACTATCACCTCCACCCTGAAGGGCACCAGTTTCCCTGTCACCAAACTCATCGAAGGGAAGGAATACATCTTCAGAGTAACAGCTGAGAACAAATATGGCTGCGGTTTGCCATGCATCTCTGATCCACTTGTCGCCAAGAACCAATTCAGTGAGTAAAGGCACAAAAATATATCTATCTGATGCACAAATCAGACAGTAATACTTCAGTGGCATCTATTGTATTACTAAACTCATCCTTCCCAATCAGATCCTCCTGATGCTCCCAACACTCCCAGAGTGCATGAGGTGACAGCAAACTCCGCTCACATCTCCTGGCATGAGCCAAAGGACAATGGCAGCCCGATCCTGGGCTACTGGATTGAGAGGAAGGAGGTGAACAGCAAACACTGGACCAGAGTCAACCGGGCCCTCCTCAATTCTCTAGATGTGAAGGTCACCGGACTGATGGAGGGACTCACCTATATCTTCAGAGTATGTGCAGAAAACCTGGCTGGCCCTGGGCCCTTCAGCGAGCCCACTGAGCGCATTGTGGCCATGGACGCCATTCGTAAGTTCCTGCAAAACAATCAAGTGAAAATGTGGGAAAATTATTTGGTGATAGTTTGAAAGTTTGTTAGACTTTTTTCAGCTTGAGATATTGACTTTAGCAGATGTCAGTCTGCTAATTTTTATATGTTTTTTGTTAAACAAGAATCTTGTCTGTGTTACCACAGTTCCTCCTGGGCCCCCCACTCCACGGGTTGTGGACACTGGCAATGATTCTGTCATCTTGGCCTGGAAGCCACCATTGTACAATGGTGGAGGCGAGATCCTGGGATACCACATTGAGAAGGTCCTGAACAAAATCTGACTTTCTACATTTGCAGCCTTTAATGCAATGCTAAGGTCTTACATGCTGAACTCTGGTCGTACAGGTTTTGGTCGGAGAGAAAGAATGGAGTCGCTGCACAGAGTTCAGGTGTAAAGAATTAACATTCACAGTGACAGGCCTCACTGAAGGAGCAGACTATTACTTCCGGGTCCTTGCTATTAATGATGCTGGCCCAGGAGCTCCTGGTCTCACTGAACCTGTAACCGTCAAAGAGCCACAAGGTATGATTTGTTCTCATATCACCACTGTAAATTAATGGCTGGAAACAAAATTTTATGTGGGTGTGTCATGAAGAACATTAACTATTTAAACTTTCTTGAAATTATTTCAATTCAAAGAGTTTTACAGTTGAGGTAAAATGTCGGAGCCTTTATAAACATTGCTGTCATTTCTTCTTTACTGAACGTGTCCTACAGAAACTCCTGTTGTGGAATTTGATGACTCTGTGAAGAACGGCGTCATGATCAAGGCTGGTGACTCCCTGAGGCTTCCTGCAGTGGTGACGGGCCGACCTCAGCCAGAGGTCAAATGGGCCAAAGACGAGGCAGAAATTGACAAGGAGAGAATGATTGTGGAGACGGAGGGTAAGAGGAGCACTCTGTTCATCAAGAAGGCTGTGAGGGCAGATCATGGAAAATACCAGATCACCGGCACCAACAGCAGTGGCACCAAGACCGCAGAGACCAGAGTGGACGTCATGGGTCAGTAATTCAAAATTATATCATGAAACATGTTAATACTATTGCCATACTGGGAGGACAGTTAAAGCTGAAACTTATGTCCTCCTTTGTTTCTGAAGATGTCCCTGGACCAGTGGTTGACTTGAAGACTGTCCTGGTGACGAAGAAGAACATTGTTCTCACCTGGTCAGACCCTCTGGACAATGGAGGCAGTGACATCATTGGCTATGAAGTGCTGAGGAAAGACACCAAGATGAAGCTGTTCCGTCAGCCCATTGAGGTCGCGTCCTGTAAGTGTGATGTTCAGGGCCTGCTGGGTGGTGAAGAATACGACTTCAGAGTCATCGCCAGAAACAAGTATGGTGACGGCACACCAGCAGATCTGGGACCCATCCTGGCTGAGGATCCTAAAGGTGAGATATTAATGCATGGCACCAATCCTAATTGAAACTCAAAGAGTTACATGATAATACTCCATAAAATCTTCCAGGGACTCCATCTGCTCCTGAGAAACTGCACTACACTGACCGGAGCAAGTCAACTATTACTCTGGCTTGGCTGCCCCCTCGCACTGATGGCGGCAGCCCCATCAGAGGGTACTACGTTGAGAAGATGAGATCAGATAGCACAGAGTACGAGGTGGCCAATCGTAAGATCTTTACAGAGTGCTGTGGAACTATTGAAAACCTCTCTGAGAACCAGGAGTACCAGTTCCGTGTTAAAGCTGTAAATGAAGTTGGAGAAGGCGATCCTTCCAAACCAATAACTGCCAAGATCCAGGACGATGAAGGTATGTACAAGAGCTACGGGAGGTTGACTAAAAACTTTGAGACCAGCTTTGCTGATTTTTTGTTTGTTTTTGGCCACAGTTGCTCCAGTTATTTCAATTCTGAAGTTTTTCAAGAGCAATGCCATCAATGTGAGGAAAGGAGCAGCCATAGACATCCCGGCAGAGGTGATTGGACTGCCTTTGCCAACATTCCAGTGGATGAAGGATGATGTGGTGATTGAGAATCCTGATGAGGAGAAGATGACCATGGAGTCAGAGGAGGTGAGAAGCAACTTGTGAAGTAGGGTTTTGATTAGGTGATCTGTAACCAATAAGTGATAAATTCAAGTTTGGATTCATGACAAATTTAACTGAAGGTTTGAGAAAAAAACGCAAAAATATATCTTTGCAGTACTTTGCCCATGTCTTCACCATCATATATCAATAGTAAATCTGAAATTTTAGGAAACACAGAAAATCTGGCTTATATCTTGTGGTTTACCTCATTGATCTGTACTTGGACCTTTTCTATTAACTAGCTACCTCCTCCCTCGTGGCAATATTTGTGTAAATAGGGCACTGATTGATATTGTTAAGCAGTTGATACATAAATCATAGGTTAGTGGGAGAAACCCACTTACTTTTTCCCACTAACCTCTCTCTTTGATTGACTCCAAAAATTCAAATTTTAGTTCTCACACAGCATTCTTAAGCTTAAAAGTAATAAAATGGAAGTTTTTCTTGTTGGTATCTAATCCACCCTGAAATAAACAACTTTTCTATTATATTTATAACTTCTCGGTTTTACCTTCACCCAACATTTTGAAAGCACAAAGGAAAATACTCAAGATAAATTTAGATATCTAAGTTTATCTTGAGCAATTGCAGGTTTCAGTAAAGAGTGATGCATCAAGATGAATCTAAAGAAGCATTCAGTTGTGAGATGATGAGGTCACCCACATGATCTCTAATCTCTGTTGGTTCTTTTTTCCAGGTGAACAGAACAACAATAAAGACAAAGATAGCTATCCCAGTGACCGTCCGACAGGACAAAGGAAACTACAAGCTGGTAGCTGAAAACTGTCATGGCAAAGCTCAGCATGTGATCAGAGTTGAAATCCTCGGTGAGAACCAGAACAGCTTTCCTTTAATCTGTTTCACAATTTCAAGTTTGATGAAACCTCCATTTTGTTTTCCACACTAAGTAATCCAACCGTACATCATTTTCAGACCGCCCCCTTCCACCAAGGAATGTTGTTGTGTCGGACATCAAAGCAGACTCTTGCTACCTGACGTGGGACGCTCCGGAGGACAACGGAGGCAGTGAGATAACCAACTACATCGTGGAGCGCAGAGACGCCAGCAAGAAGAAATCAGACTTTGATGTTCTGACCATCAATCTGATCGACAGAAGATATGGGGTTTGTTGATGCTGCTAACTTTTAAAGTTTATTATGTTGGAACATAAAGATTAAAACATGTTGTTGGAATTAGAATCTCCTGAAATTGACTGTAAATTACAGATTGTATTGGTCTTAATATAAATATTCAGAAAATAGCCTTAAATTCAACTTTACTTCATTTTCCATAATATGCTAGTTGTGTAATAATATAATGAAGCCACATTGGTCAGGCAATAGAGAATCCCCACTGTTAACACATAATCAAACAAGTGTTTAACTTTTTATCGTGTTTTAATCCTTCAGGTCTACAAATTGGACTTGAATGGAGTCTACCAATTCAGGATCAAAGCTGAAAACAAGTATGGTGTCAGTGATGGCTGTGATTCAGAAAAAGTCCAGCTTAGGGATCCGTTTGGCCTCCCTGGACCTCCACGTAACCCTAAAATCATAGCTGCAACAGCAACCACTATGACGGTCACCTGGGATCCCCCTCTGGACAATGGCGGCTCCACCATCCAGGGCTATTGGCTGGAGAAGAGGGAGCGCGGTGCCGTTTACTGGGGTCGTGTTAACCGAGCTCCAGTCACCAAACCAGCGGTTAAGGGGCTGGAATACACAGTGTTGAGGCTCATAGAAGGAACAGAGTACCAGTTCAGGATTGCGGCCTGCAACGCAGCAGGAGTCGGACCACACAGCGAACCCACTGAGTGCCGCTTCGCCACCGATCCATGCAGTGAGTGATTCTGTTATCCAGAATGGTTCTTTACTGTTTTATGAACTTGTTTAGGCATCAACACTCAGGAGATACTAGCTTGATTGTTTAATTTTTAAGTAAACTGAGTAACCTCAAGACAGAATTGCAAACAGAATACTATTAGTTTTCTGTAAAGCAGAAAGACATTTAGCCCTTCTTTCTCCTGTTCCTTAGATCCTCCAAGCCCACCTGGCAGCCCAGAGGTTAAAGATAAGACCAAGAGCAGCATCACACTCACCTGGACTCCTCCAGAAAGAGATGGTGGAAGCCCGATCAAGGGTTACATTGTTGAGGTTCATGAGGAGGGCTCTCCAGATTGGAGAAGGGTCAACCCAGCCGACAAGCTCCACCCATCCACTGAAATTACCGTCCCTGACCTGAAAGAGGGCAAGAAGTGCAAGTTCAGGATTTATGCAGTGAACGCCGCAGGAAACTCAGAGCCTGCTAGGACGGGCGATATCCTGGTTCAGGACATCCTGAGTAAGAGCAGATCACATTAGTCAGACTTTCAAACTGCACATGATTTAATGTATGTAGTGAATGTAACTACCTGCTGTTATTTTTATCAATCCTTCTCTGAACTATTGCAGCTAGAAAGAACATTTTATTGTAACATGATACCAAAGCTGAACGTCCTCCATTCCACTGAACATATTGAATGTCATGTTCTGCAGTCGAACCCACAGTGACTCTGGATGTGAGTGCTCACGACCTGCTGAACTGCAGAGCAGGAACCACTGTCAGAATTCCTGCCACCATAAAAGGACGACCCATTCCCAAAGTCACCTGGACCTTCGTTGATGGAACTGCCGAGACTGAAAAGAAGAACGACCTTCACACGCTGCCCATTGATTCAGAGGTCATATTTCAGAAATATCAGCAGACTAGCATTTATTGCACAGCCGACTTAATGTTTGTAAATGAAAAGTGGTTCTCAAAAAATGTTACCACGTAACACAAATAAAAAAAAAAATGTATGAATTGTTAATAGTGATTCTGACACAATTATTTTAGGATAAATTTAAGATGTGAAATATGCCTTTCATGAGTCAGTCAGTTATATTTTTCTCCATATTGCTGTTTTATTTTAGATCCATTCTACTGACACAACTTCATTGGTGGTGATCCCAGAAAGCAAGCTGAGCCACACCGGTCGATTCATCCTCAACGCAGAGAGTCCAGCTGGACACAAAGTACTCAAAGTCAGAGTCAATGTACTCGGTATGTAGAGGCCTGGTGTTATTTTACAAGATTTCTAAAGGAACATTAATTAAAAATAAAATAAAACCCACATATATATAACAGTGATATGTTAAGGTAGATAATATATTGTTCCCAACCCTTTTGTTGATCTGCAGACCTTCCTGGACCTGTTAGAAATCTGAAGGTGAGTGATGTGACCAGAGGAACCTGCAGACTCACCTGGAAGCCTCCAGAAAGTGATGGAGGAGAGAGAGTGAAGAGCTACTTCATTGAGAAGAAGACTGTGGAAGGCAAAGCCTGGACCAAGGTAAAAACTTTGGCCTTCAACTCACTCATCACAAACAACTTGGGCAAAATTTCACCCTGACTTTGTTCTTTTAGGTAAACCCAACCTGTGCTACCCAGTCTCTGGTGGTTCCAGACCTCATTAATGGTGAGGAGTACCTTTTCCGTGTCAAAGCTGAAAACCGCTTTGGCTTTGGCCCATTTGTTGAGACTCCTGAAGGAACCAAAGCTAAAGATCCCATCCGTACGTCTAAATTTTCTTCATTTATTTAGCCTTTTAAACTTTTCAGTGAGATTCCAGGCAAACACTCTTACTCTGAGCTCATTTTAAAATCATCTGTATATGCAGATCCTCCGGATCCTCCAACAAGGCTCAAGATCCACAACATAAGAAAGGGCACTCTCACTTTGACCTGGAAGGCTCCGAAGAACGACGGAGGTTCGCCAGTCACGCACTACAGCGTCGATCTTCTCTGCTGGGATTCCAGTGGTGCCCAAAAGGAGTCTTGGAGGAGGTAATTGTTATGAATCAAATCCTGTTGAATTCAAATTCTAGCCTTACTATTGTGGATCACATCAAACATTTGACTTTTGAGGCTTTCAGTTGCTTTGATGAAGAACTAAAATGCTAAAATTTCAGGACAACAGCCTTTAAAAAATCACTGAACTTTAATTGAGCTAGATAACTTCTGTATATTGTAGTTTTTTTGTTTGTTTGAATTTGATTGGTGATTTGTTGTCGGCTACTGTTAAGCGTTCAGTGTTGTATCTCTTAGATGCAACAGGAGAGATGTCGACACCACAAACTTTAAGGTGGAGGACCTGACAGAGGGAGATGAGTATGAGTTCAGAGTGATAGCTTACAATGAGGCCGGACCCAGCCGACCATCAACCACTGCTGGACCCGTCATCATCCAGGACCAGACCTGTAAGCCCAACACTTTGAGTAGTTCAGTTAAAGAAATGTGGGATCTAGCTTCTAAAATTATATTTTGCTCTATGTAGATAAATCATAGATACACAATGTCATGTTTAAGTGCACTTTTGCTTTTTATTTTCAGGGTCTGTATTGACACAGAACCTTAAGAGTAAAACCAAGCAAACTTCTTCAAGAATAAGTCACAAACATTTATTTTTTTTTCAGGTGCTCCATCCATTGAGCTGGAGGAGTTCATGGAGGTGGAGCAGGGCTCTGACATCAGCATTGTGGCGAAGCTTCGTGGCTGTCCCTTCCCAACACTCACCTGGTTCAAGGCGCCTCCCCACAAGCCTGACGACAAGGTCGAGGTCCAGTACAACGAGCACATCAACAAGATTGTGTCAGATGACAGCTGCACGCTGCTCATCCAGCAGGGCAAACGCCACGACACTGGCCTCTACACTCTGGTGGCCTCCAACAGTCTTGGCAAAGCATCCAAGGAAATGAGGCTCAACGTTCTCGGTAAGGACACAGCTAACTAACAAACAGGACTGCAGAAGTAATTGGGATTTAACAAACCGAATGTTGTACTCACCATAAAAGTATCTTTTATTTATTTATTTTCATTTATCTTCATGATTAAGTTTTATGCTTCATTCAGATCCTTCTTAAAATCCCTCGGAGATTTTTCTTATTTATCCATTCTTTCATTTGTCCCTTTGAAGCACTTCTAACTAATACATGATACATATCAAAATATTTAGCAGACTATCAGTTTTGTGCACCAATAAGTTAGTTTTAGGCAAGGCCAACAACAACAAAGACTAAAAAAATGAATTGCAGTTGGAACCTTTCAGACATTTCTATAAGTAAAAAACAGGTTCAAATTCCAAGTGTTACTGTTGCACCAGGAGTAATATTCCTGAACAATTTCCACATTGTTATAAAATTAATATACAAAATAAAATACAATGGTATTCTTATAAAAAGCTAAATTATTTCAAAGATGAAGTATCATATATATGCAAAAGCATACATATGTAAACACAAAATGTTAATCTATTACTTTTATGAAGAAATGTAATATTTATACAAACCAAGAATACTAAGACAGTGCAGTCAAATTTTATAATTACTGACAAATTATCAGCAAACATGGCAGAAAGCTTTATGCATGGCAAAGACATAAACCAGTCATTAATGGTTTGATTGTGAATAGTCAATAGTACATCAATGCCTGATTAAATACACCCAAATAGTCTTTACTTCCTAACTGGAAAACTGCACCAGACAGCTCTAGAGCTTTATTTTCCCTCTCTTTGTCAACTAAGTTCAGTAAAATAAACCTAAAGGAAATACATTTTGATGTGATAGCTATGCCTTAGGGAGTTTCTTCACACAGATAGACATATATGTTGAACAATTACGTTGAGGACATATCTTCTTCATTGGAAAACCTCTGGGTGACAGATGATGTGTAAATAGGGGCAAATAAGTAGAGATTCTGGGCTTTTAGATGGTCCAGAACCAGCCCTTTCACTGATTTAATATTGTGGAGATTTGACTGAAAATGTCAATAAATGACAATATTAATGCACACACATATTAGCCATCCTAAAATTTGTTTTTGGGGGTTTTTGTGCTTGCAGGTCGTCCTGGTCCTCCCTCAGCTCCTATTAAGTTTGAAGAAATTGGCGCAGAGAAGATTACGCTCTCCTGGCTACCACCAAAGGATGATGGTGGCTCTAAAATCACAAACTATGTCATCTGGAGGCGTGTGGCTAATAGGAAGACCTGGGTACCTGTGACAAATGAGCCCAAGGAACGAATCTGGACAGTGGAGAACCTCATGGAGGGCCACGAATATGTGTTCCGCATCATGGCACAGAATAAGTATGGAGTTGGCGAGCCACTGGACAGTGACCCTGAGGTTGCCCGAAACCGTTGCAGTAAGTTTCAATTTCTGGTAATGATTTAGTCAAATAATTTATTACAACTCCAGCTTCAGAATATAGATATAAGCTGATATATCTACATTAACCGCGTCATTCATGTTCTGAATTGTGGTTAAAATACTGTGACATAAACTGTAAACTAGTTCTACAAAAGATTTTTTTTCAACAATTCTTATATCTGGAGTGAGTTAGACCAATAATGATGTTATGCTCCAGGTCTAAATCTTAATATTTCTGTTCATGTTCAGCTGTTCCTGGTCAGTGTGAGAAGCCAACAGTAACCAACATCACCATGGATTCAATGACCGTCAACTGGGAGGAGCCTGAGGATGACGGCGGCACCCCGATCACTGGCTACTGGCTGGAGCGCAAAGAGACCACAGGCAAACGTTGGGCTCGTGTTTCCAGGGACCCTCTCCGTCCCATGGGCCTTGGCGAGTCCTTCGTAGTGAGTGGACTTGTTGAGGGGTCTCAGTATTTATTCAGAGTTTCTGCCATCAACGCTGCGGGTCCAGGACTTGCTAGTCCTCCAACAGACCCTGTCTTTGCCAGAGACCCTATCTGTGAGTATCATGCATGTTTATGAAACATTAAAAGCACGTAGACCAGGTTAGTAACTAGCTACCTGTTGCCCTGTGAAGCTCCCCCGTCTCCTCCGACCCCGAAGGTTTCTGATTGGACGAAATCCACAGTAGATCTCGAGTGGATTCCACCCTTAAAAGATGGAGGATCCAAGATAATCGGCTACTGGGTGGAGTACAAGGAGGAGGGCACTGAGGCCTGGGTTAAGGTGAGAGAAAAATGGTTACTTAGTCTAAACATGATGATTATGATTATAGAGTAATTCATATGCATTTGCATGAATTTGCATATTGTTTTCCAGGCTAAGGAAACTGAAATTCGAGGGACACGTTTTGTGATCAGTGGTCTAAAGACAGGCGGTCAGTACAGGTTCAGGGTGATTGCCTTCAATGCTGCTGGTAACGGTGAGCCAGGTGAAGTCCCAGAGGTGCTTGAGGTCAACGACAGAGCCAGTAAGTTAAACATTAATCATAAATGGGCACCAAAAAGACTGAAACTGGGTGTAGCAGACAGCCAGTAATGAGAGCCTTCTTCCTTCCAGTTGCTCCTGAGGTGGATCTGGATGCCTCGATTAAGGAGAGGATGGTGGTCCATGCGGGTGGTGTGATCCGTCTGATTGCCTATGTGTCAGGGCAGCCGACACCTGAGGTCACCTGGACCAGAGATGGTGCTGGACTGCCACCAGAAGCTAAAGTGGAGACCACCGCCATCAGCTCTTCGCTGGTCATCAAGCCCTGTACAAGAAAACACCTTGGTGTTTATACCCTGACCGCCAAGAATGCCAGTGGGGAGAAAACAAAGAATGTCACGGTAGAAGTCCTAGGTGAGTGATAGTTTCATGTTAAATGATAAAAATGTCTATATATAAAACACCTGTTAGGCATGTTTGATTTCTTTTTTTTTTTTTTTTTTTCCCAAATTTTTTTTTAACTTAGATGTTCCCGGACCTGTTGGCATCCCATTCCTGGCTGAAAACCTGAGCATCGACTCCTGCAAGCTCAGCTGGTTCTTCCCTGACAATGATGGCGGTTCACCCATCAGCAACTACATCATTGAGAAGCGTGAAGCTGAGCGTAAAGCCTGGACATCACTGTCCTATAGTGCCAGCAGGCAGAATGCCATTGCTCGCGATCTCACCCTCGGAAAAGCCTTCTTTTTCAGAGTGGCCGCCGAGAACGCCATTGGCATTGGACCTTTTGTTGAGACAGCAGCTCCGATTGTTATCAAGGAGCCGATGAGTGAGTAAAAAAAAACTTTTATGTTCACTTTAAATAAAGGGGTTTGGTAGATGACAGTAAATGAAGGAATGTGACTCGTTACTGTAAAGCCCTACTTTCCATGTTAAGACATGCTATCATCTTTTTTTAAGGTGTACCGGACCGTCCCGAAGAACTGGAAGTCACCAAGGTTACCAAAAATTTGATCAGCGTCACTTGGAAAGCGCCCAAATATGACGGTGGCTCTGAGATTACCATGTACATTATTGAAGCACGTATGATTGGCAAAGACAAGTTCACCAGACTTACCAAAGAGAAGTTGATGGACAGGAAGTTCACATATGATGGTCTCAGAGAGGGAGATACCTATGAGTTCAGGGTGATTGCCGTAAATGAAGTTGGACAGAGTAAACCATCATTCTGCACTAAACCAATCACTTGCAAGGATGCACTTGGTGAGTTATTTTTCAAACTTAATTCAGCTGTTAATCAATATCAAAGGAAATCAGAGTAGCTTCACATTTAAAGTTTAACATTTGAGGGTCCGAATTTAACCATTTTAAATTGCAAAACACACAGGAAATTATTATTTTTTGTATTTGCAGAGCCACCAACCATTGAGTTGGACTTCCGTGATAAGATCATTATACGTGTGGGAGAGAGCTGCCTACTTCAGGGACGCTACACAGGCAAACCAGCTCCATCCATTGTTTGGTACAGAGATGACGAGGAGCTGAAGGCTGACAAACACGTAATATTCAAGAACACTCCAACCATGCTGTCGCTTGGCCTGGTGAAGGCAGAGCGACAGCACAGTGGCAGATATGTGGTGGTTGTGGAAAACAGCACCGGATCCAGGAAGGGCGTCTGCAACATCACGGTCGTAGGTATGTAGAATGCTGAAAAAACTTGTGCCAAGACAAGCAGAAACAATCATGAGTACTAAATATTTTGCTGTTTCTTTATCCGGTCAGATCGTCCAACACCTCCTGTTGGCCCTGTGGTGTTTGAGGAGGTGCACAGGGAATATATGGTTATCTCCTGGAAGCCTCCTCTGGACAATGGAGGTGTTGAGGTGTCAAATTACATAATTGAGAAGAGAGATGTCAACAGAGAGATCTGGACCACAGTAACATCTGCCTCAACCAAGACCACATGCAAGGTAGTTTTGGTTCACTTATTCATGTTGTCTCAGGATCTTCAGAACTCCACTGGACGGAGATTGGCAAAGTTTACCAATGATTTAAATATGATTTATGTTCTCAGATTCCAAAACTAACTGAAGGCAGGGAGTACATCATGAGAATATCTGCAGAGAATATGTACGGTATCAGCGATGCTCTGGAGTCTGAGGAGATGAAAGCTAAAGATCTGTTCAGTACGTTTTCCCTATCATGTTAAAGCTCCAATAAATTATATGCCCAAATAACTGTATATATGTCATGATATTTCCAAATAAAGGAGTCCCTGAAGCCCCTGAGATGCCAACAGTCAGAGAGGTATATGGTACCAATGCTTTGGTTCTGTGGAACCGACCGCGTGATGGAGGTAAACCCATCACCAACTACATCCTGGAAAAGAAGGAGCCTGGAGCCAAGAGGTGGTCAAGAGTCACCAGAGACCCACTGTACCCAGCCACTCAGTACCGTGTCCAGGACTTGGTTGAGGGCTGCGAGTATGAATTCAGGGTGATGGCTGAGAATGAGTTGGGAACTGGAGATCCTAGTCTCCCATCCAAACCAATCCTTGCCAAGGATCCCATTGGTCAGTGTAATGCTTCTTAACTTTTTTTTTGCTGCATCAAATTTGAATTTCAGGATGTTGTGTTTTTGTATTTTAGAAAAAAATCAAAATTATTCAAATGTTTATATGTGTTATGTTTCTAGGTAACATTTTAATGATTTTCAGTGTTATGGTTGCTTCCTCTAATCTGAGCATTAACCCCTCACAGTGCGTCCAAGTCCTCCAGTTACCCCTGAAGCTTATGACAAGACCAAAGACTCAGTCAGTCTGAAGTGGCAGATGCCACGCCACGATGGAAAAGGGCGAATCTTTGGCTACCTTGTGGAGTATCAGAGTCCTGGTGCCGTAGAGTGGATTCAGGCCAACACGACTCCAGAGCAGTGTCCTGACCTCCATTATGTGGTGACAGGTCTGACTGATGGACAGGAGTATTCCTTCAGGATCTTTACAGTAAATGCAGCAGGCAAATCCGACCCTGCCTTTGTCAAACAGACCATCAAAGTCCATGACAGGCTAGGTAAGGAGATCATTTAAGAACAAAAAGTTTATTGTATGTATTGTATCAATAATGCGTAGCATTCATTACACAGAATAGTTCATTTCTTTTTTTGCCTCATATTGAACAACTTGACATTTTTCTGTTATTGGCTTTTTTGTTCTAATAATCATAACAACCAGTTTGCTTTTCCATTTATGTTTCCACAGAGGAGCCAGAGTTACTCTTGGATGCCAACATGGCTCGTGACCACTTAGCCATGCTGGGCACTGATATCACACTTAGTGCCACAATTAAGGGTGTGCCGACACCAACAGTCTCCTGGAAGAAGAATGATGGAGATGTTCCTTCTCACATCACTGTTGCAGTTACGGCCACTGGTAGCAAAGTCTTCATTCCCAAGTGTGTCCGTGCAGATTCTGGCAACTACACTCTTACAGTTGAGAATGCTGGTGGAAAGAAATCTGCAACCGTTGCCGTGCTTGTGCTGAGTAAGTGAAATGTAAACTAAAGCAAATTAGCTTAACTTCTGAAATTTGAATTATGTGAATGATTAACACATTGTTTCCATCAGATAAGCCTTCTCCTCCAAGAGATCTTACGGTGTCTGAGGTGACCAGTGAGTCTGCTTATCTGACATGGAAGGCTCCAGAGGACAATGGCGGTGCAGTCATCTCCCATTACGTCGTGCAAAAGAAGGATGTGGCTGCAGATCAATGGGTACCAGTTGCTCCAGCCAATAAGAAGCTTAGTCTGATGGTGATGTACCTGATGGAGGGAATCCAGTACTTATTTAGGGTGGCTGCTGAAAACCAGTTTGGCAGGAGTGACTTTGTCGTGACCAAGACACCTATCAAGGCTGTTGATTCTCTTTGTGAGTAAAGGCTATGTAACATTATTGCTGTCTAATTATATATTCAGTAAGATATAAATCATTATTATAACATGGTATTTCCAGAAAATGGTTGGCTGTTTAAACATTTGGTATGATTTTTTAAAAATACATAAATGATCAGAAATTGATTTAACTTTTATTACCATCTTTAAGATCCACCTGGCCCACCCAAAAACCTCCACCACACTGATGCAGACAAGACAGAGGTGTGGTTGGCCTGGGAATGGCCCGATCGCACTGGTGGAAGTGAAATTACTGGGTTCATTGTAGAACACCAAGAAGAGGGCCAAACTGACTGGGTTACCTTCAAAACTGTGAGCAACAACCACAGCCATGTAACAGGTCTGGTTGAAGGCAAGACTTACCGCTTCAGGGTCAAAGCTCAGAATGCTATTGGTGTTAGCCGCCCTGACACCAGTATCCCTATTACTTGTCAGGAGAAGACATGTAAGACACATTGAGTATTTCTCACAACAATCTCTTTCATGTGCTTAGTTAGATCTTAAAAACCTAATGCATTGTTGGTGTTTTCTTCCCTTTTAGTACCACCTACTATTGAAGTTGATGTGAAGCTTATTGAGGGTCTCGTAGTCAAAGCTGGCAGTACTATTACTCTACCAGCTAAGATGACAGGAATCCCTCTTCCCACTGCCAAATGGATCAGCGATGGCAAGGAGATCACTCCCGAGGGCCGACTTAAAATTGAGTCTGCTGGTCCTTCAACCACCCTAAGTATCACAGAGTGCCAGAGAGGAGATACTGGAGAGTACATAGTCACTGTGTCAAATCCTGCAGGTAGTAAGACCGCTGCCCTACATGTCACTGTATTGGATCTACCAGGACCACCAATCGGGCCCATCAATATCTTGGAGGTCACCCCAGATCACATGATGATACAGTGGAGGGCACCTAAAGATGATGGTGGCACACCTATCACTAACTATGTGGTAGAAAAGAAAGATGTCAAGAAGCCATGGGAGCCCTGGTCAGTGGTGAGCTCTAGCGGCACCAGTACAAAGGCCAAGGTGACAAGGTTGGAGAAAGGTCGTGAGTACATTGTCAGGGTTCGAGCAGAGAACAAGATTGGGATCGGTGCTAGTCTTGAAAGTCCTCCTACTATTGCCAAGCATATGTTTAATCCTCCTGGACCTCCAGGCTTTCCTGAGTGTTCTGATATCACAGAAAACGCCGTAACAGTGGAATGGGCCCTACCTGACCATGATGGAGGCAGCCCCATTAGTGGCTATATTGTTGAACGCAGAGAGATGACAGGAAAGTGGATTCGTGTCAATAAAACCCCTGTGCTAGACCTAAGATACAGAGTCTCTGGTCTGTTTGAAGGCAATAGCTATGAATTCCGAGTGTTTGCTGAGAATATTGCTGGCATCAGTGAGCCTTCACTCACATCTGACCCAATCAAAGCCACCCGTGCCATCACAAAACCTGGACCTCCTGGTAACCCCAAGCTTAAGGATTGGAGTAAATCTTATGCAGACATCTGCTGGACCAAACCCACAAGAGATGGAGGGAGTCCAATTCTGGGCTATGTCATTGAGATTCAGAAGTCAGGATCTGCCCAGTGGGACAGAATCAACAAGGATCTAATAAAGATCTGTGCTTATAGAGTGCCTGGGCTGATTGAAGGAATGGAGTACAGAATACGTATCAGAGCTACAAACAAGGTTGGAGACAGTGAACCCCGGGAGGTACCCGAGACCATTTTGGCAAAAGACATCCTGGTGCCTCCTGAAGTTGTGGTTGATGTCTCCTGTCGTGACTCTGTGACAGTCAGAGCAGGACAGATAATAAGTTTGATTACTAGAGTAAAAGGCAGACCAGATCCAGAGATCACATGGACCAAGGATGCCAGAGCCTTGTCTCAAGAAAAGCGCCTTGAAATGAATAACAACTACCCTGTTTGTGAACTAATTATCAGTGATTCTGTCAGGTCAGATTATGGAAAATATGGTATTGTTGCAAAGAACAGCAGTGGACAGGCTCAGGCCACTATTTTGGTCAATGTCTTGGACACACCAGGACCTTGTCAAAATTTGAAAGTGGCTTATGCGACAAAGAAATCTTGCATGGTCTCCTGGGAAAACCCTGAAGACAATGGAGGAACGGAGATTATTCAGTATACAATTGAATGCCGTCAGCCAAGTCAAAGAGGGTGGACAGTGGTCTCCAATGACTGGACCAAGCGCTTGATAAAGGCTCCTCTTACTGAGGGCTGTGAATACTTCTTCCGTGTGAGTGCTGAAAATAAAATAGGAGTTGGTCCATCCACAGAGACAAAGTCACCTGTCTTGGCAGTTGATCCTATTGAAAAACCTGGGGAACCCATAGATTTCCACATATCTGAGATCGGAAAGACCTTCTGCTTCTTGAAGTGGAAGAAACCTGATTACGATGGTGGTAGTAGAAACATAGCTTATCATATTGAAAAGAAACCAAAAGAAGCTGAAGAGTGGGAGAGGCTTCACAAGGGTGCTATCAAGGAGACCTACTTTATGGCAGACAGGTGTATTGAAAATCAAATCTATCAGTTCAGAGTTCAGACTAAAAATGAGGGAGGCGAAAGTAATTGGGTGACAACAGGAGAAGTACTAGTTAAGGAACAACTGGTAGTGCCCGAGGTTAAGATTAAACTGGATGGAACTCTTGTTGTTAGAGCAGGAGATTCTTTTGCAGTAGAAGCAATAGTCAAGGGCAAACCTCAGCCGGATGTCAAATGGACAAAGGATGAGACCACAGAGGAGATTAAGAAAGGCCCCAGACTGCAACTTGAAACTGGTGCAGACTTTTCCAAACTGTTGATTACTGGTGCTAGACGCACAGACAGTGGCAAATATGTTGTCACAGCCTCCAACAGTGTAGGAACCAGCTCCGCTAAATGCAGGATTAATGTATTAGACAGACCTGGTCCCATCAGGGACCTCAAGGTGTCTGATATCACTATTGACAGGTGCAACCTGGCCTGGGAAGTTCCTGAAGATGATGGTGGCTGTGATATTTACAATTACATCATCGAGAAATGTGAGACAAAGAGAGGGGTTTGGTCTGTACATTCTAATGCTGTCATCACCAATAAAGCTAAAGTAACACGACTTATTGAGGGTAATGAGTACATCTTCAGGGTTCGAGCTGAGAATAAAATGGGCCCTGGACCTGCAGTTCAGAGTGAGGCTATTGTTGCTGGCACACAGTTCAGTGTACCTGATGCCCCTGAAGCACCAGAGGTCACCAAGATCGGAAAAGAGGAGATGACTGTGCAATGGTCAGAGCCTGACAGAGATGGAGGAAAACCAATCATAGGCTATCTTTTGGAGAAGAGAGAGGAGCATGCAGTCAGGTGGTCCCCTGTCAACAAGGATCCAGTCCCTGGAACTCGTTTCACTGTCACTGGACTATTACCTCTCCATGATTATCAGTATAGAGTTAAAGCTGTCAATGAAATTGGTGTTGGTACTCCAAGTAAGGCTTCTCGTGCCATCACTGCAAAGGATGCAGTTGGTAAGTGCCTCAAAATAATGTGTTGTATATGTCATGTTTTTTTTTTTCCATAACCAAGTCCACTGCCTCATACTTCATTATATGCACTTACAGAGCCTCCTGCACCACCTACCAACTTAAAGGTTGTGGACAGCACAAAATCCACAATTACCCTGAGCTGGACAAAGCCTGTGTCTGATGGGGGAGCCCCTCTCATTGGCTATGTTGTGGAAATAAGGGCACAGGGGAGTGCAAAGAAAGGAGATGATGGCTGGAAGAGATGCAATGTGGCAGCACAACTTATTGTCTGCGAGTTTACAGTCACAAGTCTAGATGAGAAGCTAGTTTATGAATTCAGGGTGTCTGCTCAAAACCAAGTGGGTATGAGCCTGCCCTGTAACCTGGAGGGTGCTGTGATTCCAAGGGAAATTTTAGGTAATGAACACTGTATAGAGTTTGTAACAAGGTTTACACAAAAAACCAAAGCTGGATTTCAGGTTCATATTTAACAAAAATAACTGTTTATCCAACAGAGGCACCAGAGATTGACTTGGATGCCAACCTGAAGGAGGGCCTCACAGTTCGTGCTGGTTGTCCTATTAGACTTTGCGCCACCATCAGAGGGCGACCACATCCAACAGTCACTTGGAGAAGAATGGGTATTGACAACGTTATTAGAAAGGGCAAAGTCGACCTCATCGACACAATGACCTTCCTGGTCATTCCTGACAGCACACGTGATGACTCTGGGAAATATTGCCTGACTCTACAGAGCCCTGCAGGAGAAAAAGCTGTGTTTGTCAATGTTAAAGTTCTTGGTAGGTCAATGATTTTTTTTAGTAGTAGTTTTTGCTACCTGAAAACTATAAATATGTTTTTCCAAGCAACCAGAAAAGACAAAGATTCAACTGAAGGTTAACAAAACTAATAATAAACTGCACTGTCATTTTTCCATATAGATACTCCTGGACCAGTACTAAATCTTGAAGGTACGGACATTAAGCAGACCTCACTCACGTTGTCTTGGAATCCTCCAGAGATCACTGGTGGCAGTGAGGTGACACACTACATAGTTGAAAAGCGAGAGATTGACCGCAAGACATGGGCAACTGTCAAGACTGAAGTTCAGCCTGATAAGATTCCTCTCAAAGTCAGTGGTCTGATACCTGGCACTGAATACTACTTTAGAGTCATAGCTGTCAACGAGTATGGTGCTGGAGTTCCCAAAGTGACACCTACTTCCTACCTGGCTTCCGATCCTGTCAGTAAGTCTCATTCAATAATCAGAATGTCACAAGAGAAAAGACATTTCATTTAGGATCAAAGATTAGCTCTATCTTTAGATACATTTTCATTAGAATTAAGAACATATTCACACATTGAACTCCTTTTTTTTAAGGCAAACCAGACCCTTGCCAGAAGATTGAAATTCTGGAGATAACCAAGAACAGTGCAATAATTGGCTGGGTGAAGCCTGAAAGAGATGGTGGTGCCAAAATTGATGGCTATGTGATTGAATACATTGAAGTCAAACCTCCACCAGAGCCACCAGCCCCTGTTGAGGTTTGTAACCAAATTGTTATTTTGCTAGTGTAATTGTTGAAATATAAGCTTCAACAATTACACTGGATATATCCAATCATACTGGTATCTTTACAGATATATGATTTTGGAATTCAGACTATATGTACATATTGAGAGATTTACAAATTAATATGTGCTTATTGTTCTTTCTGTTCTACTCAACTACAGGTGGTTGAAGGAGAGGGAGTTCCTCCACCACCTCCACCTCCACCAGTAGTAGAGGAGGAAGAAGAAGCTGAACCAGAAAAAGAAGTGTGGAATGCCTACACAACAGTTAAAGGTTTATCAGTCAGTGTCAGTGGCCTGAAGGAGGGGAAAAGGTACAAGTTCAGAGTGGCTGCCAAGAACATCATGGGGATGAGTTCTTTCACTGAGACTAGAGAGCCGACCGAGATCAAGGAACAGATGAGTATGTTTAGATGCATGGCGATTGTTTTTAGGATTATCTTTCTACAGCTTATACTTTTAATAACACCATGTATTTCACAGCCATATTATTTTAAAATTGACTGTCATCAAAACAGCAAAGGAACTCAGTTCAGAGATTCAACATGACCACAGTTTGATATTTAGAAATGTCTGTGTCTAAATGTTCTATTTTTCAAAGTAATAATCAGCCAGTTTTGTTCTTTGAACCACAGTTGAGCCAAAGATTGTTATGGCAGAGACTGCAAGTGCTAGAGCTGGAGCCAAGCTTAGAGTGGAGGCACTGGTTTCAGGAAAACCTGTTCCAACATGCAAGTGGATACGTGGTGAGAAAGCAGTGGTCCCATCCAGTCGCTTGGCTGTGCATCAGTCGGGCAACTTGTGTGTCCTGATCATCAAAGATGTGACAAGGAGTGACAGTGGAGATTATAGTCTTGTTGCTGAGAACAGCACTGGACAAATTTCCCAGGCAATAAAGATCATTATTAGAGGTGTGTAATAATATGTTTTAATTTCTGAAGAAAAATTATGTTACACATCTGTCATCTGACCAACAGCAAAATGACGTGGTAAACATCTGTATATTTCAGACATCCCTGGTCCCCCTGAAGGCCCTGTGGAGATCAGTGACATTGATTCTGATGCTTGCTCCCTGTCTTGGAACAAACCTCTGGAGGATGGCGGCAGCAATATCACAAACTATGTTATTGAAAAATGTGATGTGGCCAGAGGCGATTGGGTGACCGCCCTTTCCTCCTGCGCAAAAACCAGTTGTAGATTGGGAAAACTTATTCCTGGAAAAGAATATGCATTCCGCATCCGCGCTGAAAACCGTTATGGTGTGTCAGACTCATTCATTCAATCAGACAGAATGGTTGCAAAGTTCCCTTTTGGTAAGTGTGGGTAAAATATGTCCAAGACTAAAGCCTGGTTGGCCTTGGATGCTAGTTAATAGAAATTCATTTACAAAGAGAGTGTATTTATTTCAGATTATGAAAAATGTTTTTTTTTTTTTTTTTTCCACTAGATGTTCCAAGTGAGCCCCTAAATTGTCATGTCAACAAGACCAACAAGGATTGTATGTTCATTAGCTGGGATAAACCGGAGAGTGATGGCGGTAGTCCCATCACAGGGTATTACATTGAGCGCAAGGAGAGAAACAGTCTTCTGTGGGTGAAAGCCAATGACACTGTGGTCCGCACAACTGAATACCCCTGCGCCGGCCTTATTGAAGGCTTGGAGTATACTTTCAGAGTATCAGCCATTAACCGTGCTGGTCAGGGCAAACCAAGCAAGAAAACCGACTTTGTAACAGCAAGAACACCTGTTGGTAAGTTGAAAGCCAATGCCTATATACAAAAGGATTTTTTTTTTCCCAGCAAGATTTCTGCTATCACCCATTTCTATTCTTGTCTTATAGACACTCCTGGTAAACCTGAAGTTTTGGATGTAACCAAAAACTCTGTCTCTTTGGTTTGGGCCCGTCCTAAAAATGATGGAGGAAGCAAGATCATAGGTTATTATGTTGAGGCTATGCGGGTTCCAGGAGACACTTGGATACGTTGCAACACCAGCAGTCAGAATGTTCCCAGGGAGGAGTATACGGTGACAGGACTTGAAAGAGACCTTCAGTACCAGTTCAGAGTTATTGCTAAAACTGCAGTGAACATGAGCAAGCCTTCAGAACCAACAGATCCAATCCTGGTCTGTGCTGAGAATGGTAAGACATAATTCTTCAACACAATCATGAAGACGTTAAAAAATAGTAGGAAAAAAAATATTATATTTGATGTTTACTGAAAGTCTTTGGCCAGTTAAAATGTTTAATTATTGATGTTTTATTCAATACACACAGTTCCTCCAAGGATTGAACTTAATGCCAAGATGCAAAAAGCTTTAACAGTTAAGGCTGGAGTCACAATCTTGCTGGAAGCAGATGTGTTTGGTAAGCCTATGCCCAGAGTCACTTGGAAGAGAGGTGATGATACTCTGAAGTCAGGTGAAGGCCAGGTCATTACACAGCAAAGACAACATTTCCAATTAGAGATACCAGCTGTCACCAAAGAACACACAGGAACCTACACTGTGTTGGCTGAGAATGCAAGTGGCTCAAAGACTGCAGAAATACAGGTCAAAGTACTGGGTAAGGATTTACATTTTTAAATGTAAGAATTGAAACTCACCCAAAACTGAATTCACATTTATTCTACATACTCCTTTTCTGTATTTCATCAGATGTGCCTGGGCCCCCTGCAAGTGCCACATATACAGAAGTGTTAGCCTCCAGTATCAAGTTGACATGGCAGCCTCCTTTGAAAGATGGTGGTGCCCCTGTCAGCAACTACATTGTGGACAAGCGTGAAACCAGCAGAACTAACTGGGCACAGGTGTCAGCAAAGATAAAGGGTGACATATTAGAATTTAATGTGGAAAAACTAATCGAAGGTCGTGAATACCAGTTCCGAATTCGTGCTGAAAATACATGGGGAGTTGGAGACCCACTTATCACAAACCCAGTCATCGCTAAGAACCCTTTCAGTAAGTCATCACATCCTTTTGTTCAAATTCATACTTTAAATTTGTCATTAGTGCTGCTGTTTAAATCCAACATGCAACTGTGTGTTATGTGTTACCTCACAAGCTGAGTTCAGATTTAGCAACAATTAAAAAAAATTGAGGCATGATTGTAGTTTCTAATGCAAGATGTTGACTTGCGCACTACTTTTAGCTGTCCCCGGTCCTTGTGAAGCCCCTGTAATCACCAACGTGACCAAAGACAAAATGACTGTGAGCTGGAAGGAGCCTGTTGATGATGGAAAGTCTACCATTCTGGGCTACGTGGTGGAAAAGAAAGAGACCAAGGAGATGAAGTGGACCAAGATTAATAAAAAACCCTTAACAGAAAGGTCTCTTGAAGTAACAGGTCTAACAGAGGGAATTGAGTACGAGTTCCGAGTCATTGCTGTCAACATAGCTGGGCTGGGAAAACCCAGTGAACCCTCTGAAGGCACCACAGCACAGGATCCTATTAGTAAGTTTCAAACACCAATACACATAATAAAATTTACTATTTTTTTGGTTAGCCCAAAAATCAAACTTCTGCATGCTGTCTAAAGTTAATCACTGTGGTTATCTCCAGCTCCTCCTGGACCTGTTATAAACCCGTCCGTGACAGATACCACCAACAGCACAATCAGTCTCACTTGGACTGTACCAGCTAACAACGGTGGAAGCCCCATTATCGGTTACTTAGTGGAATGCAAGAGAGCCAACACAACAGACTGGATCCGCTGCAATGTCCCCAGGAACCTACAGGACACCAACTATGTCATCCAGAACTTAATTGACAAAGCAGAGTACCAGTGTCGCATCACTGCTGTCAATAAAGTAGGCTTCAGTGAGCCAGCTGAAGTCCCAGGCAAACATGTCGCCAAGGATATCATAGGTATGCTTTGCTTTATTTTTCTGTACAAAAATTACACATCCACTCAATAAATTAGGATACTACTGAAAAGCCCAATCATTTCAGGAACTTTAACATTAACACACATTATTAATTAAACACAGATTGTTGTTTCCATGATTTTCCATGTACAAGAAATGAAAACATGACATTTAGAATTAGAATATCACATTGTTCATTAGGCCAGGCATGAAGTAATTTGTATACCAATTCACCAAGTCCTTGCAAATATCTATCATATTAAGCTAATAGAATTTTAATAAAACCAGATATAAACTAGAAAGCAAATTAACTATTATGTTTTGTCTTGAAAATAAAATAAAATGTTGAAATTTGATTTCCAACACTGTCAATGACAAATACTCCTTTTGTATTTTTATTCAGTTGCTCCTGAGGCAGAGCTAAGTGCTGAACTGAAAGAGCTCCTTGAACTTACTGCTGGCAGCAATATGAAGTTGTATGCAACCATCAAGGGTCGTCCCACTCCCAAGGTCACATGGGCAAAGATGAACACCAACATTAAGGACCGCCAGGGCATTGTCATCAAATCTAGCAACATTGACACCATGGTTATGGTGGAGAAAGTCAACAGATATGATGCTGGCAAATACATTCTGTCTCTAGACAGCTTGGCTGGCATGAAGATGTATACCATTGTTGTCAAAGTTCTTGGTTAGTACAGAAATTAGCTTACATCCACACACCAATCAATCCATCCAGTCACCCACCCATCAATTCATACATGCATATATCCATATATATACTCTATAAACACCATAAATATAATGCACTTGACCATTTCAAATTTAAGGTCTTATTTTAAAAGTATTGTTCACCTTCCAGATACACCTGGTCCACCAGTAAACCTGATGGTGAAAGAGACATCCAAAGACAGTGCAGACATCCTCTGGGATGCTCCTCTGATTGATGGGGGTTTTGAAGTCACTCACTACATAGTAGAGAAACGTGACACTGAAAGAAAGGCCTGGTCTATTGTCTCAAACAACTGCACCAAGACTTCTTTTAAGGTTCCAGACCTAGATGCTGGGCGGTCCTACTGCTTTAGAGTGTCAGCAGTCAACAAGCTTGGTACTGGAGAATCTTGTGAAACAGCTGATTCTGTCAGGGCAACAGGTGGGTTAAACATTAATTAATGTATTTTTTTAGTTTTATTGAAAGAAAATGTTCACTGTTTCATTTATTCACTTTCAGAGGAGCCTGGGCCTGTCATGGACTTCAAAACCTTGCTGGTGACCAAAGACTCATGCACTCTAAGCTGGAAGAAACCTCTCACTGACGGAGGCAGTCGCATTATCTGCTATGTGCTAGAGGTTCTCAATGGTGAAGACAAATATAAAGAACTTATGAGGTCCAAGAACATGCAGTACAGTGCCAAGGACCTTGTGGAGGGTAGAGAGTACAAGTATCGGGTCAAAGCTGTAAATGATTCAGGAGAAAGCTCTGCTAAGGAGCTGACTGTGATTGCTAAGGACCAAATTAGTGAGTGCACACATTTATAAAACTTTCCTGTAAAGGAATTTTGGAACTTGAGTGTTCACAAAGAGATTTTAAAATTCTTGTTTTTTTCTCTGAAGTTCTTCCAAGCTGTGACCTAAGAGAGTTGCCCAACATGTGCTACATTGCCAAAGAGGGCAGCACCGTTCGTTTAAAGATTCCAATTGTTGGGAAACCTACACCCAAGGTCACCTGGAAAAAGGGAGATGATGAAGATTTGACAGATACTGGCAGGGTTTGTGCCGAGTCATCTGCAGTCAACACCACCCTCCTAATCAGGGACTGCCAGAGAACTGATGCTTCCAAGTACACCATCACCTTAAGAAACAGTGCTGGCACCAAAGAATCCACCATCTTCATCAGGTAAGTCACAAGACGATTTAGAGATTTAAGTACTAATAAATCATTGGCAATACATAAATAAAGATTAAAATGTTTTGTTTTTGCTGTTTTAGGGTGGTAGGAAAACCCGGTATCCCTGTTGGACCAATAAAATTCAAGGATGTTACTGCTGATGGTGCTACATTAAAGTGGGGTGTTCCTAAGGATGATGGCGGCTCTGAAATCACAAACTACATCCTGGAAAAAAGGGACTCCATCACCAACATGTGGGTGAATGTTTCATCCACTGTGGAGACAAATACAATGAGGGTGACAGGTCTCCATGAGGGCACAGAATATATCTTCAGAGTCAGTGCAGAGAACAAATATGGTGTTGGGGAGGGACTGAAGTCTGACCCTGTTGTTGCAAAACATCCATTTAGTAAGTCATTTTTCTTTAGAAAAACTGAATCCAATATTTTACTTATGCTAACTGTATAACACTGCCCTGTACTGTTTTGTTTCACAGATGTACCTGATGCACCTCCGCCTCCTCAAATCATGAGTATGCGGCATGATTCTGCATATCTTGCCTGGTCTGACCCAAGAAAGACTGGAGGATCTCCTATTACAGGTGCAGTCTGCTTAAGATTTGATCAGCACCATTTTAACAGTTTAATTGTTTTACCAATACGTTATCTGAAAATTAAGTGTTTTCATTAATGTAAAGTGATCTTACACTGAATTTTGTTCCCAAACTTTGATTGAATGTTCAGGATACCATGTTGAATTTAAGGAGAGGAACAGTATGTTGTGGAAAAGGGCCAGTCCATCTGCCTTAAAGATGAAGGAACACAAAGTCACTGGACTAACTGAAGGCTTGGAGTATGAGTTCAGAGTAATGGCCATTAACTTGGCTGGAATTGGCAGACCGAGTGCTCCAACTGACCCACAGGTAGCCCTAGATCCCATCGGTAAGTTTACAAGAGGTGAAGTAGCACCAACATTGAAAACCCTGAGCATATTTATACCCAATCATGGATTGTTGCTTTGCCCCATGTCAACAGATGCACCTGGTAAACCAGAAGTAATCAGCATTACTAGAAGCACTGTGACCCTCCAGTGGACTGAACCTCAATTTGACGGCGGCCACAGGTTGACAGGATACATTGTAGAGAAGCGTGATTTGCCTTCCAAGATCTGGGTGAAAGCCAACAATGTGAATGTTGTGGACCCTGCATTTACTGTTGCTGATCTACAAGAGGGCTGCAAATATGAGTTCAGGATCAGGGCAAAGAATGCTGCCGGTGCCCTCAGCCCACCCTCTGAGCAGACAGATACCATTATGTGCACAGATGAATATGGTGAGACAAAAATTAATAACTACTCTGAGCACTTTTTCAAGTCAACATGACAAAAGTGCTCATGTTAATGTTTCTAATTTTTTTCCCAACAGCTGCACCAACCATTATCATTGATGCTCAAGTAAAGGAAGGTCTGACTGTCAGGGCAGGTGATACGATTGTTGTGACTGCAACAAGCATTTTAGGAAAACCTGCACCAACCTCATGCTGGTCAAAGGGAGGAAAATACTTCAAACCCTCTGACTTAGTTCAAATTGAAACCACTCCAACATCATCCACTTTATCTGTAAAATATGCTAGCAGAAAGGACTCTGGAGAATATATCATCACAGCCACCAATCCCTTTGGTGTAAAGGAGGAAACGGTCAAGGTCAAAGTTCTGGATGTTCCTGGTTCTCCTGGACCCATTGAATGCAGTGGTGTATCCTCTGAAAAGGTGATTCTTACTTGGACAGCCCCTACAGAGGATGGAGGCTCTCCTATCAAATATTACACCCTGGAAAAGAGGGAAACTAGCCGTCTGCTCTGGACAGTCCTGGAAGAGAACGTCATTGATTGTCACTATGTGGCCAACAAACTCATTCAGGGCAATGAATATTTCTTCAGAGTCTCTGCTGTGAACCAGTATGGTGCTAGTGAGCCATCTCATTCTGAAGCTGTCAAGATGGTTGACAGATTTGGTACGTACAATTAGTTTATTTATTCAGGCTGTAATCTATCATCAGCTGTTCATCTATATGCATAACTATGTATATTCTTGCATTTCAAATTAAATAACATTCCATTATTCCTTTGTTTTTTTTTTTTACTCTCTTCTTTTTAGGTCCCCCGGGTCCGCCATCTAAACCTGAAGTTGAAAAAGTAGATGGACATTCAGTAACTTTGACTTGGAGAAGACCTGCTGAAGATGGAGGAAGTGACATTATTGGCTATAGTATAGAGAAAAAGGAAAAGAAAGCGATGCGCTGGGTTAGGGCATCCAAGAAAACCATTGCTGAGCTCAGTTTTGAAGTCACTGGACTCACTGAGGATGTTGAATATGAGTTCCGTGTTCTTGCTGAGAACAAAGCTGGTTTTGGAGAGCCAAGTGAGCCATCTATGCCTGTCAAAACAATAGTTGCTGCCTGTAAGTAAAACCAACTAGACTAGAATTTTTTTATATATATATATTTGTAGTTCTTGCTGATTTTTTTGTTAACAAACTGTAACCTTTGTCTTTCTGCCAGATGTTCCAGGACCTCCTGTCAATTCAAGAGTAACAGACACAACCAAAACTACTGCTACTCTTAACTGGGGGAAACCTCTGGATAATGGTGGTCTTGAAGTCACTGGATATATAATTGAGCACCAAAAAGAGGGAACAGAAGAATGGATTAAGGATACCCCTTCATCACCACTCAGAATCACAGAGTTTGTTGTCCCTGGCTTGGAAACCGGTGCCAAGTACCATTTCAGGATTAGTGCTGTAAATGCCAAAGGAGCTGGTGAACCTGGTGAAACCCAGGAATTGGTTCAGATTGTAGAACATGCTGCTGAGCCTGATTTAGAGTTGGATATTGAGCTGAGGAGAACCCTTGTTGTTAGAGCTGGTTGTTCTATCCGTCTCTTTGTGCCAATCAAAGGTCGTCCTGCTCCCAAAGTCACTTGGAGTAAAGACGGTGGCCCTGTTCCACGTGCAGTCATTGATAGCACTGAATCTTTCACAATGCTACTTATTCCTGAAAGTTCAAGGATTGATGCTGGTAAATATGAGATTACGCTTGAAAACTCTGCTGGAAAGAAAAGTGCAGACATTCATGTGAGAGTTTTGGATTCACCTGGACCTCCTCTTAACCTCAAGCCGGTAAAGATAGACAAAGAAAGTATTACACTTCAGTGGGATAGTCCTTTAATTGATGGAGGAGCCAAAATTACAAATTACATAATTGAGAAAAGAGAATCAACACGCAAGGCTTTTGCTACTGCAATTACAAAGTGTCCCACAACATCAGTCAGAATTGGTGACTTGGGTGAAGGCTGTGAGTACTACTTCAGAGTGTCTGCTGAGAATGAGTTTGGCATTGGAGAGGCAGTTGAAACTACTGATCCAATTCGTGCATCTCAAGCACCTACGCCTCCAGAAAGCATTATTCCCACTGACATCACAAAGAACTCTGTGAGCCTGGCATGGACCAAACCCAAACATGATGGTGGAAGCAGAATTTCAGGTTATGTCCTAGAAGCCAAGAAGAAGGGAACAGACCAGTGGGCACATGTTACAACAGTGAAGACCTTGGACTTCACCGTGAAGAACCTTAATGAGAATGAGGAATATATTTTCCATGTCATGGCTGTCAATCAATCTGGCAGAAGTGCTCCACGTGAGAGCAAGCCCATTATTGTCAAAGATTCTACATCACTTCCAGAGTTTGACTTGCGTGGTGTATGTCAGAAGACTGTTATAGCCAAAGCAGGGGATGACATTAAGGTTGAAATTCCAGTTATGGGGCGTCCCAGACCAACAATTTCTTGGCAGAAGGATGGAGCAGCCCTAAAACTCACACAAAGAGTCAATGTAGAAACTACTGCAGCTACTGCTATTATCAGCATCAGTGAATGCACTAGAGCTGACAGTGGTGTTTATACCATGACCGCCAAGAACATTGTTGGATCTGTGACAGAGAACATAATTATCAAAGTGCATGATATACCTGGGCCACCAAAAGGACCAGTGAAGATTGTGGAAATATCACGCACCTATTGTATATTTTCTTGGGATGCTCCTGAGAATGATGGAGGTATTCCAATTAATAACTATGTGGTTGAAATCAGAGACACTACTTCTCAAACATGGACTGAACTCTCATGCACTGTTATTCGCACAGTATTTAAAGCTATTCGACTAACCACTGGATCAGAGTACCAGTTTAGAATAAAAGCTAAGAATAGATATGGTGTTGGACCTCCCATCACCTCAGAGTCAGTGGTTGCTGCCTATCCATTCAAAGTACCTGGGCCACCAGGAACTCCCAGTGTAGTTGCATTCACCAAAGACTCAATAACAATTGGCTGGAATGAACCTGTCTCTGATGGTGGAAATGAAGTTATTGGTTATCATGTTGAGAGGAAGGAAAGAAGTGGCATTATATGGCATAGGATCAGCAATAGTCTTGTGAAAGGCAATGTTTTTAAGTCAACAGGACTTGAAGACGGAGTTGCCTATGAATTCCGTGTCTTGGCTGAAAACATGGCTGGAATTGGTAAACCCAGTAAAGCTTCAGAGCCAATACTAGCCTTGGACCCTGTGGATCCACCAGGTCAGCCTGTGCCAATTTTTGTTAACAAGAACGCCATCACAGTTCAGTGGACAAAGCCTGCCTATGATGGCGGCTTTAAGATCACTGGTTACACAGTAGAAAAAAGAGAATTGCCTGCTGGTCGTTGGATCAGAGCTAACTTTACCAACATTATTGAAACGGCATTCACTGTCAGTGGACTCACTCAGGACATCTCATATGAGTTCCGTGTCATAGCCAGAAACTCAGCAGGAGCTGTGAGCATACCATCCGAACCATCTGACCCAATTACATGTAAAGATAACATAATTGAGCCACGTATTATGGTCGATGCCATCTTTAAGGACACGGTTCTTTTGAAAGCAGGAGAGTCTTTTAAGCTTGAAGCTGATATTGCTGGTCAGCCAATCCCATCTATGGCTTGGACAAAGGATGGAAAGGAGGTTGAGAACACAATGAAACTGGAGGTTAGGTTTACCGAACTGACAACTATTCTGACTAACAAAGACTCTGTTAGATCAGATGGAGGTGAATTTGTTTTGACTGCTACAAACGTTGGTGGATTTGCGAAACATGTCTTTAACGTAAAAGTGCTTGACAGACCTGGACCACCAATTGGCCCTCTGAAAGTGTCTGATGTAACTGCTGACAACTGTGTACTTACGTGGGCTCCACCAGCGGATGATGGTGGTGCCAAAATCGAAGGATATGTAGTTGAGAAACGCGAATCAAGTCGACTGGTTTGGACCAATGTAATTTCAGATTTGCAAGTTACACAGCACAAAGTGACTAAGCTACTCAAAGGAAATGAATATATATTCAGAGTAATGGCTGTGAACAAATATGGTCTTGGAGAATCTCTTGAATCAGAACCCACTATTGCAGACAACCCGTATGTGAAACCTGACCCCCCAGAAAACCCCGAGGTGACAGCTATTACTAAAGATTCGATGGTTGTCATGTGGCAAGCACCTAAGAGTGATGGTGGAACTCCCATCACCAACTACAGTATTGAAAGGAAAGACAGAGCTGGCCTTCGATGGGTTAAATGCAATATAAGAAAAGTTAAGGACCTACAGTTCAAAGCAACAGGGCTTACCACAGGACATGAATATGAATTTAGAATATTTGCTGAGAATGCTGCTGGAGTGAGTGTACCAAGTGTACCCAGTCTATTTTATAGAGCCACTGATGGGCTGTACAAGCCAGGAGCTCCATGTAACCCCAGAATCCTGGACACGACCAAATCCTCAATCACTGTTGCATGGAACAAACCTGTATATAGTGGTGGCTCTGAAATCACTGGTTATATTGTTGAGACATGCATCCCATGTGAAAAAGAAGAAGAGGAGGAATGGACCATTGTTACTCCTAAGGAAGGTCTTCTTGCAACTTCATTTACCCTCACTAATCTTAAAGAAAACCAGGAGTATAAGATTAGTATTTCCGCCATGAATAGCGAAGGTGTTGGAGAAGCAGCATTTATTCCTGGAAATCCAAAAGCTGAGGACAGACTTCTTCCTCCTGAGATGGACGTGGATGCTGAGCTCCGCAAAGTGGTCAGTCTAAGAGCTTGCTGCACACTTAGACTGTTTGTTCCAATAAGAGGCAGACCAGCTCCTCAGGCTAAGTGGTCTAAAGGTGACGGTGAGCCTATAGAGAGAGCAACCATTGACAGCACATCATCATACACATCACTTGTAATTGAAAATGTAAACAGATTTGACAGTGGAAAATATAACCTCACCATTGAAAACAGCTCTGGTTCCAAAACTGTGACAGTTCAGGTAAGGGTCCTTGATACACCAAGTGCGCCACAAAATCTAAAAATTACCTCTGTCACAAACGAAGCTGTCACATTAACATGGGATCCACCAATGAACGATGGAGGAGTCAAAATTAAGAATTATATAGTTGAAAAGCGTGAGTCAACACGGAAAGCATATGCCACAGTTAAAGCCAATTGCCATAATACTTCCTTTACAGTTGACCAACTTCTGGAAGGCTGCAATTATTATTTTAGAGTTTTAGCTGAAAATGAATATGGCATTGGCTTGCCCATCGAAACACCTGAATCAGTTAAAGTGTCTGAGAAGCCACAGCCACCTGGCAAAATCACTCTTAAAGATGTCACCAAAAACAGTGTAACTCTATCATGGGAAAAACCAGAACATGATGGTGGCAGCAGAGTAGGATGTTATGTTGTTGAGATTCAGCCTAAGGGTGTGGATAAGTGGACCCAAGCTACAATTGTGAAAGACACAGAAGCTACTATAAGTGGACTAAATGCAGGGGAGGAGTATATGTTCCGTGTAGCAGCAAAGAATGAGAAAGGAACTAGTGATCCTCGTCAAATTGGCGTCCCTGTGATAGTCAAAGATCTCATCATTGCTCCAGTTGCTAAAATGTTGTTCAATACATTTAGTGTGTTGGCAGGAGAAGACTTGACAGTGGAAGTTCCATATGTGGCACGTCCCAAAGCAGCTGTTACCTGGGTCAAAGATGGTCAGCCTCTGAAAAGAACTACCAGGGTCAACTTTGGTGCATCAGACACAGTGCTGGACCTCAACATTAAAGAGGCAGCTAAAGATGATGTTGGCCAATACACTATTACTCTTGGCAATACAGCTGGAGAGACAACAGTAAATATTGGTATTGTTGTTCTAGACAAACCTGGCCAGCCCAGAGGGCCAGTTAAGGTAGAAGAGGTTACTTCTGATAGTATAACAATCTCCTGGAATCCACCTGAATATGATGGTGGATGCACTATTAAAAACTATGTCGTGGAGAAAAGGGACACATCCACAACGAACTGGATGGTTGTAACTCACAATCTAGCAAGAACAAAAATTAAGGCAGGCAGACTGAAGACTGGCTCTGAATATCAGTTTAGGATTGTGGCTGAAAACAGACATGGAAAAGGCCCAGCTCTTTCCTCAGAATGTATTGTTGCTCAGTACCCATACAAGCTTCCAGGACCACCAGGAACACCAAACATTGCAGCCTGTTCTATGGACAGCATGGTTGTAGCCTGGAATGAGCCTGTGAATGATGGTGGAAGTACTATCTTAGGCTATCATCTTGAACGTAAAGAGAGAAATAGCATCTTATGGGTCAAACTAAACAAGTCTCTCATTACTGACCAAACATTTAAAACGACAGGTCTAGAACCAGGAATGGAGTATGAATACAGAGTTTATGCAGAAAACATTGTAGGAATAGGCAAAGCAAGCAAAGTGTCTGAAGGGCATATTGCAAGAGATCCTTGTGATCCTCCTGGCACTCCAGAAGCAACAAAAATCACAAAAGACTCCATAACGATTGTTTGGACCAAGCCTGAATATGATGGTGGTGCAAAGGTAACTGGTTACGTTGTTGAAAAGAAGGAACTTCCTGAGGGTCGTTGGTTGAAGGCCAATTTCACAAATGTGATTGAGACAGAATATGTCGCAACTGGACTTGTGCAAGATAACCAATATGAGTTTCGGGTTATTGCCAGAAATGCTGCTGGTGTTTTCAGTTTACCCTCATACAGCACTGGCCCTATAACTGCCAGGGATGAGATTGAACCACCACGCATCAGCATTGACCCTGAATATACACAGACTCTTGTGGTTAATGCTGGAGACAACTTCAAAATTGATGCTGATGTTCATGGCAAACCACTGCCCTCCATTCACTGGCTGAAGGGAGAACAGGAGCTTGGCAATACAATTCACAGAGAAATTAAGAACACACCCACTAAAGCTTACATATCTATAAAGGAATCTAAACTTTCAGACGGAGGACAATACACACTGTTGCTGAAAAATCCTGGAGGAGAAAAGGCTACACAAATCAACGTTGTTGTCCTTGATAAACCTGGGGAACCACATGGACCTCTTGTTGTTACAGGCATCGCCAAAGATCATTGCTCTCTTGCATGGAAACCACCACTTCAGGATGGTGGCAGCAAAATATCTCACTATATTGTTGAGAGAAGAGAGACAAGTCGTCTTGTCTGGACTGTTGTTGATCCAAAAGTAAAGAATATTTGTCTCAAAGTAAATAAACTTCTCGAAGGAGATGAATATATCTTCAGAGTTCATGCAGTCAACCAGTTTGGAGTGGGTCCACCACTTGAGTCTGCTCCTGTTCTAATTAAAGATCCATATGTCCTACCTGGATCACCAAAGAATGTAGAAGTTTCCAATGTTAAAAAGGATTCGATGGTGCTCAGCTGGGAGGCTCCTTCTGAAGATGGGGGTAGTCCCATTACTGGATACATAATTGAGAAACATGACAAAGAAGGAGTGAGATGGACAAGATGCAATAGACAAACAGTTACAGATCTGACCTTTAAAGTAACTGGATTACTGGAAACCCATATTTATGAATTCAGAGTTGCTGCTGAAAATGCTGTGGGTGTTGGGGAGCCAAGCACCTCAACCGTTTTCTACAAAGCTCTTGATCCCATCTTCCGACCTGGTCCACCACAAAATCCTAAGGTCACTGACACAACAAAATCATCAGTATTTTTGTCATGGGGGAAGCCTGTATGTGATGGAGGCTGTGAGATTCAGGCGTATATCGTTGAGTGTTGCATTGCCACAGAACCAGTGGTGCAACCTGAAGCACCAGATGCATCAGCCTCTGCCACAGATGCACCTGCTGAGAATTGGATCATATGCACACCCCCAACAGGTGTGAAGACAACTAAATTTGAAGTTGGAAATCTGAAGGAAAACCAAACGTACAAGTTTAGAGTGTGTGCTATCAACAAGGTAGGAGTTGGAGAGCATGCTGATCTCTCTGGAGCTGTGGTTGTGCAGGACAGAACAGAGGAGCCAGACCTTGACATTGACCCAGAACTTAGAAAGATTGTGTCTATCAAAGCTGGTGCTTCCCTTAGATTGTTTATCCCCATTAAAGGAAGACCCAGTCCTACCATTAAGTGGGACAAAGATGAAGAGACTCTCAAAGAGACTGCTCAAGTTGAAATAACCAGCAGTTATACATCCCTTGTAATTGATAAAATGAGCAGAAATGACAGTGGAAAATATACAGTTACTGCTCAGAACTCCAGTGGTACCAAGTCTGCATTTGTTGTTGTCCGTGTTCTAGATACACCCAGCGCCCCGGTTGCTCTTAAAGTGAAAGAAATTACAAATCAGTCAGTGACACTGGCGTGGGAACCACCTCTTTTAGATGGTGGATCCAAGATTAAGAACTACATTATTGAAAAGAGAGAAAGCACACGTAAAACCTATGCTGCTGTTGTGACAAACTGTCATGCTCTTTCATGTAAGATTGAACCCCTTCAAGAAGGCTGTAGTTACTATTTCAGAGTACTAGCTGAAAATACTTTTGGCGTCGGCTTGCCTGCATCAACAGTAGACCCTCTTAAGGTTTCAGAAGTGCCTCAGTCTCCAAAAACTTTGATTGTTACAGATCAGACAAAAACAAGCATCTCTCTGGCATGGGAGAGACCAGAGTATGATGGTGGAAGCAGAGTTCAACAATATCTGCTTGAGGTACAGTTGAAGGGCCAGGACAAATGGTCTGGTGTAAATACATTTAAGACTATGGAGACTACAGTGTCCAATCTGAATCCAGGACAGGAATATCTGTTTAGAGTTACTGCAATCAATGACAAAGGAAAGAGTGACCCAAAAGCCCTTGCTGGTCCAGTGATGACCAAGGATCTGGTCTTTGAGCCAGATATCCGGCCTGCATTCAGCAGCTACAGTGTTCATGTTGGCAAAGACATGAATGTTGATATTCCCATCTTTGGTCGTCCAAAGCCAACTATTGCATGGACGAAGGATGGAGCCCCATTGAAGTTTACCACCAGAGTAAATATTCACAATACAACTACGCACACAACTCTAAGCATTAAGGAGGCAGCAAGTGACGATATTGGTATGTATACTATAACTGCCACTAACTCAGCAGGAAAGAAGGAAAGTGCAATCGAAATAATTGTTCTGGACAAACCTGGACCTCCATCTGGTCCAGTGAGGTTTGATGAAATCACAACACAGAGTGTCACAATTTCATGGAACCCACCCAAACATATTGGTGGGTGTCAAATCTCAAACTACATTGTACAAAAAAGAGATACTACCACAACAACATGGGAGAATGTGACCACCAACTGTGCTAGAACAACCATCAAGGTCACTAGACTAAAGACAGGAGCTGAGTACCAGTTTAGGATCATTGCCCAGAATCGCTATGGAAAAAGTCAAGGTTTAGATTCATCAGCTGTAGTGGCTCAATATCCTTACAAAGAGCCAGGCCCACCAGGAACTCCCTTTATTACTTCTCTCTCCAGAGACCACCAAATTGTTGAGTGGCATGAACCTATAATAGATGGAGGAAGTCCTGTTCTTGGATACCATCTTGAAAGAAAGGAGAGGAATAGTATTCTCTGGGTCAAGATAAATAAGACACTTATTCATGGGACTAGTTTCAAGAGTCATCCATTGGAGGAGGGTATAGAATATGAATACAGGGTCTATGCTGAAAATATTGTTGGCATTGGAAGAAGCAGTAAGATTTCAGAGGGTTGTGTTGCCCGTGACCCATGTGATCCCCCTGGTACACCAGAAGCTGTCCATGTGACCAAGGATACAATTGTCATTCAGTGGACTAAACCAGAATATGATGGAGGCAGTAATATTACTGGCTACATTATAGAAAAACGTGATCTGCCAGAAGGCAGGTGGGTAAGGGCAAACTTCACGAATGTGATTGAGACTCAGTTTACTGTTTCTGGTCTCACAGAAAATGCACAGTATGACTTTAGAGTCATTGCGAAAAATTCAGTTGGGACAGTCAGCAAGCCGTCATACAACAGTGGACCTATAACAGCAAGTGACAAGGTCGAGTCTCCTAAATACTCAATTGACCCTGCTTTTACCAAGACTGTCATCATAAATGCTGGAGAGACATTCCGGTTGGATGCAGATGTCCGTGGCAAGCCACTGCCTTCAGTCCAGTGGTTCAAGGATGAAAAGCCAGTTGAGAATACAATCAGACTAGAGATCAAAAACACAGAAAATCATGCAATGATCATTGTTAAGGACTGTGTTAGAGTTGATGGTGGAATTTACACACTTCTGCTGATAAATGAGGCTGGCAGCGAAACTGTTCCATTTAAGGTTTTGGTAATGGATAGACCTAGTCCATGTGAAGGGCCTCTCCATGTCACTGGAGTAGCTGAGGATAGATGCACACTGGCATGGCGGGCCCCACTACATGATGGAGGTAGTCCTATTACACATTACATCATTGAGAGGAGAGAGACAAGTCGCCTAGCTTGGACTGTTGTTTCTAGTACCTGTAACACCACATGTTACAAAGTTACTAAATTACTGGAGGGCAATGAGTATATGTTCCGTGTAATGGCAGTTAACAGCCATGGAGTCAGTGAGGCACTGGAGTCTGCTGCAGTTACTATGAAGAATCCTTTTGTACCACCTGGTTCACCTCACATTGAAGACATATTCAACATTACCCATGAAGGTATGACAATAACTTGGTCTGCCCCTGAGACTGATGGTGGTACCGAGATTATCAGTTATATAGTTGAAAAGAAGGACAGGGCTGGAATCAAGTGGACCAGATGTAACAGACAAAAAATAACTGATTTATCATATAGAGTTACAGGCCTAACCACAGGTCATGAGTATGAGTTCAGAGTATCTGCTGAGAACATTGTTGGTCCAGGAGAACCAAGCCTTCCTAGTTCATACTACAAGGCATCTGACCCCAAGTACAAACCTGGTGCCCCAGCATATGTCAATGTAATTGACTCTACAAAATCCTCCATCACAGTTTCTTGGGGAAAGCCTCTGTCTGATGGTGGTAGTACCATCCAAGGATATATTGTTGATGTATGCAAGGCTGAAGAGGAAGAATGGAAGATGGTTACACCCCCTACTGGTCTGCGTGTCAACAAATATGAAATTCCTAAACTTACTGAGGGCCAGGAATACAAAATTCAAGTGTGTGCTTTGAACAAAATGGGAGTTGGTGAACCAGTTGTTCTTTCTGGAACGGCGAAGCCAGAGGAAAGGATGGATCCACCACAAATTCATCTTGACTCCGAGCTGAGAAAAGGCATCACTGTAAAAGCTGGTGGATCTGTTAGAATCTATATTCCTTTCAAGGGAAGGCCAACACCTGAGATTAAATGGACAAAGGATGATGGAGACCTTTCTGAAAAAGCTGTGGTTGAGAAAGCTGTGAACTTCACACAGCTCTCTATTGACAGTTCTGACAGACATGACTCAGGAAAATACACTCTAACCTTGACAAACAGCAGTGGCTCAGTCTCTGAGTTTGTTTCAGTAAAAGTCCTGGACACACCTGGGGCTCCACAGAACCTTGTGGTTAAAGATATCAAAAAGGATTCTGTTACACTTGTATGGGATGCACCAGCAATTGATGGAGGTTCAAAAATCAAGAACTATGTCATTGATAAGCGTGAATCAACAAGGAAGGCATACGCAAATGTCTCCACAAAATGCACCAAGACCACATTTAAAGTTGACAATTTAATTGAAGGAGCTATGTACTACTTCAGAGTCATGGCTGAGAATGATTATGGAATTGGTCTGTGTGTAGAGACAAAAACTGCTTCAAAAGCCTCTGAAGTGCCACTGCCTGTTGGAAAAGTGTTTCTTACAGATGTCACAAAAACAAGTGCCACACTGGCCTGGGAGAAACCTGAGCATGACGGTGGCAGTAGGATTGGTGGTTACCTGATTGAGATGCAACCTAAGGGCACAGATAAGTGGGGAGTTGCAGGAAACCCAAAGACTTGTGAAGGAACTGTTACAGGCCTGACAGCAGGCACAGAATACTTATTCAGGATCATTGCTTACAATGAGAAAGGAAAGAGTGAGCCAAAGGCACTTGCTGCACCAGTTATTGCAAATGACATGACCATAGAACCAAGCATCAAGATGCAATTTAATACTTACAATGTGTTAGCTGGAAAAGATCTTAAACTGGAATTTCCTGTACTTGGAAGGCCCAAACCTAAAATCAGCTGGGCAAAGGATGGTCAGGCTTTAAAGGTGACCTCTAGAGTTAATGTTTTTAACACTCCATTAACAACTGGAATTCAGATTACTGAGGCATGTAAGGAAGACTTTGGCAAATATTCTATTACTGCAGCAAGCACTGTCAGCACCATCACAGAAGATGTAACTATTATTATCCTCGACAAGCCTGGCCCACCGAAAGGTCCAGTTAAAGTGGTGGAAGTAAGCAACACTTTTGTCCATCTATCTTGGGAGCCCCCAGCGTACACTGGTGGTTGTCAAGTTAAGAACTACATTGTAGAAAAGAGAGATACCACAACCACAACATGGCAGCCAGTTGTTACACAGCTGGCTAGAACAGCTTTTAAGGTGACAAAACTGAAAACTGGAGCAGAATATCAGTTTAGAATTATAGCAGAAAACAGATATGGAAAAAGTGCACCTCTAGACTCCAAGACCATTGTAGTGCAGTATCCTTACAAACCACCTGGGCCTCCTGGTACACCATATGTTAAATATGCAACTAAGGACATGATGATCATTGAATGGAATGAGCCAGTTAGTGATGGTGGGAGTGCAGTTATTGGTTACCACCTTGAAAGTAAAGAGAGAAGCAGCATCCTCTGGAACAAACTAAACAAAACTCGAATTACAGATACTCAATTCAAGATCTGCAATCTTGAGGAAGGCATTGGTTATGAATTCAGAGTTTATGCTGAAAATATTGTTGGCGTTGGTCGATGCAGTAAAGTATCTGAGTCCTTTGTTGCTCGCGACCCATGTGATCCTCCTGGTGCTCCAGAAGCTGTATATATTACTAAAAATCTAATTAAAATTCAGTGGACCAAACCTCAGTATGATGGTGGTAGTAAAATAAATGGATACATTGTAGAAAGAAAAGACATCTCCTCACCTGATGGTCACTGGGTAAGATCCAACTTTACTAACATAATTGAGACGGAGTACACAGTGACTGGTCTGACAGAGAGTGAGCAGTATGAATTTAGAGTTATTGCAAGAAATGCTGCTGGAGTCTTCAGTGGGCCATCAGACAGCTCTGGACCCATCACTGCTGCAGATGACATTGAAGCACCAAGGGCCTCAATGGACCCCAAATACAAGGATATAATTGTTGTTTATGCGGGGGAGAGTTTGCTTTTCGATGCAGACATTTATGGAACTCCACAACCTGAGGTTGTGTGGCTTAAAGAGGGGAAAGAAATGGAGAAAGCCTTGCGCATTGAAGCTAAAACTACACACAAATGTGCAGCTATGACCATAAAGGATGTTACCAAACTAGATAGTGGCCATTATGACCTTGTTCTCAAAAATATTGGTGGTACAAAAACCTTCCCCATCACTGTTAAAGTCCTTGACAAACCAGGTCCACCAATTGGTCCCATTAAAGTGTCTGAAATCATGGCTGACAGGTGCATCCTTGCCTGGTCTGAACCAGCTCTGGATGGTGGAGCTAGCATCAGTCACTATGTTTTAGAGAAGAGAGAGACCAGCAGGTTGTCTTGGACTGTAGTTGCACCAGAAGTAAAAAGCCTGTACCATAAAGTAAAAAATTTGCTTCCAGGAAATGAGTACATTTTCAGAGTCAGGGCAGTGAACAAATATGGGGCTGGTGATTGCCTTCAGAGTGAACCTATTATTGCACGCAATCCTTACAAGCCACCAAGTGCTCCTGGAATTCCTGAAGCAAGTCAGATCACAAGGGACTCCATGGTTCTGTTTTGGACACCTCCAGAAAACACAGGTGGAGTTGACATCCAAGCTTACCATCTTGAAAAGCGTGACAAAGATAGTGTGAGGTGGACAAAATGCAACAGGCAAAAGTTGACAGAAACAAACTTCAAGGTCACAGGTCTTATGCCAGACCACTTTTATGAGTTCCGTGTTGCTGCTGAAAATGAGACTGGAATAGGAGACCTCAGTGAATTATCCCTTTTCTATAGAGCATGTGACGCTACAACACCACCTGGACCTCCACGCCACCCTAAGGTGACAGACTACACAAAGTCTTCTGTGTCCCTCTCGTGGGGTAAACCTGACTTTGATGGTGGAGCCTACATCAAGGGATACATTGTTGAAATGAGGGAGTATACACCACAACCAGAATTAACTGAGGAAGCAGAAGTAGCGCCAGCAGTACAAGCACCAGTTGAAAAAGAATGGAGCATGTGTACTCCACCAACAGGTATTCAGGTCACTAAACTCACTATCACAGACCTGAAGGATGGCGGAGAGTATCAGTTCCGTGTCTGTGCCATTAACTCAGAAGGAGTTGGGGAAGCAGCTAATTTCCATGGCACAGTAATAACTTCCGACAGAGCAGATCCACCAGAGATGGAGTTGGATGCAGACCTCAGAAAGGTGGTGTCTGTTCGGGCTGGTGGAACTCTGCGCTTGTTTGTCCCTATTAGAGGCAGACCTGAACCTTCTGTGAAATGGGAGAAACTTGAGAGCACTTTAACAGACCATGCTGCAATTGACACTACTTCTTCATACACCATGCTTGTCATTGACAATGTTAACCGCTTTGACAGTGGGAAATATTCTTTAACACTGGAGAACAGCAGTGGTACAAAATCTGCAGTTATTTCAGTAAGAATTTTGGACACACCAAGTGCACCACAAAACTTCACTGTTAAGGAGCTCAAGAAAGATTCAGTAACTCTTGCCTGGGACACACCACTCAATGATGGTGGTGCAAAAATTACAAACTACATTGTAGAGAAAAGGGAATCTGTGAGAAAGGCCTATACTACTATCACAAGCAATTGTACTGCCAACTCATTCAAAATTGAAGACCTCCCTGAAGGTGGAATATTCTATTTCAGAGTGTGTGCTGTCAATGCATATGGTCAGGGACAGGCAGTTGAAACTAAAGAAACCAAAGTGTCTGAGGTGCCTCAACCACCAAACAAGGTAACTCTTGTGGATGTAACAAAAACCAGTGCATCACTGGCCTGGGAGAAGCCTACTCATGATGGTGGCAGCAAAGTAATGTGCTACAATGTAGAATTCAAACCTAAGAGTGGTGACAAGTGGGGGACAGCATGTACAGTCAAAGTACCAGAAGCAACAGTTCCTAATCTGAATCCCAATGAAGCATATCTCTTCAGAGTTCTTGCAATAAATGAGAAGGGAAAGAGTGAGCCAAAAGATCTTGGATTGCCAGTGGTGGCAAAAGATGTTGCAATAGAACCATCCATAAATCTACTGTTTACAACATATAGTGTCAAGGTTGGGGATGATCTCACTCTTGAAGTGCCTGTGAGAGGCAGACCAAAACCTGTTGTATCATGGAAGAAGGATAGCCTTCCTTTGAAACAAACATCATCATTAACAATCATAAATACAGCAACATCATCTAAAATTGTTATTAAAGGAGCTAGCAGAGAACATGTTGGCAAATATGAGATTACCTTGGCTAACACTGCTGGAACAGTAACAGCTAGTATTGGAGTTGTTGTCCTGGACAAACCCGGTCCACCTAAAGGAATTAAGGTGGATGCTGTGACTTCAGACAGCATTACACTGTCTTGGTCCCCACCAGAATATGATGGTGGCTGCTCCATCAGCAACTATATTGTGGAGAAGAGAGATACAAACACACAGGAGTGGCAAATAGTGGCAAGTAATGTTGCCAGAACATCTTTCAAAGCTGGCCGCCTTACACATGGAGCAGAGTACCAATTCCGCATATATGCAGTTAACCGTTACGGAAAGAGTAGTTTCCTTGATTCCCCAGGAATTACTGCTCAATATAATTTCAAACAACCTGGACCTCCATCAACACCTATTGTCAAACTGGCTACTAAGTCATACATGTTGGTGACTTGGAATGAGCCAGTCAGTGATGGTGGTAGTCCTGTTCTGGGCTATCATTTAGAAAGGAAGGAGCGTTCTAGCATTCTTTGGACAAAGATGAACAGAGGAATGATCAAAGACACAGAATACAAAGTCACTGGTATTGAAGAGGGAATGCTCTATGAATACCGTGCCTATGCAGAAAATATTGCTGGCATTGGTAAATGCAGCAAGGCCTGTGAACCTGTTGCAGCAAGAGATCCATGTGATCCTCCAGGCACACCTGTGGTTACTGCTATTACAAGAACATCTGTCTCATTATCTTGGGATAAACCAGAGTATGATGGCGGATCCAAGGTTTCTGGCTACATCATTGAGCGGAGAGACCTTCCTGAGGGTAGATGGACCAGGTGCAACTTTACCAATGTGCCGGAGACTTATTATGATGCTACAGGCCTTACAGAGAACAGTCAGTATGATTTCCGTGTAATTGCAAAGAATGCTGTTGGACAGTTCAGTATCCCATCATTCAATACAGGCCCAATTACTGTCAAGGATGATGTAGATCCACCACGCATCATGATGGATGTCAAGTTTAGAGAGACTGTGTTTGTGAAAGCAGGAGAAACGCTGAAGATTAATGCTGACTTTGCTGGACGTCCTGCCCCTGTCATCTGCTGGACAAAGGATGACAAAGAGATTGAGCTGAGAGCCAGAATTCAGATTATTTCAACAGACACAAGCACTTGTGTTGTTGTAAAGGACTGTGTCAAAAGAGATTCTGGACAGTATGTGCTAACTGTCCAGAATATTGGGGGAACAGTCACTATGCCAATTAATTGTGTGATAATCGATAAACCAGGGCCCCCCGCAGGCCCTCTCCAGATCACTGGTCTTACAGCTGAGGACTGCACTCTGTCATGGGGTCCTTCTCAGGAAACTGGTGGTGCTAAAATCACACATTATGTTGTTGAGAAGCGTGAGACCAGTCGTTTGGCATGGACATTGGTAAAGGGCGATGTCACAAAGACCTACTTTAAAGTGACAGGTCTGCTTAAGGGTAATGAATATCTCTTTAGAGTTCTAGCTGTTAACAAGCATGGCGTTGGGGAGGCTCTGGAGAGTGAAGTTATAAAAATTACAGATCCATACACAATTCCAACTGCTCCCGCAGGTGTTGATGTCACTGATATAACTGGAGATTCTATGACCCTTACCTGGTGTAAGCCAGCCAATGATGGAGGTAGTCCCATTGCTGGATATGTAATTGAACGTCGTGAGAAGACAGGCATGCGCTGGATTCGGGTGAACAGAGATCTAGTTAAAGATGTTACCATGGTGGTGACAAAACTTCGCAAGGGTTGTGAGTATGACTTCAAAGTCTATGCTGAAAATGCAGCTGGCCTGAGTCCTCCCAGTGAACCATCTGCAACATTCAGAGCACTAGATCCCCTGATTGTTCCTTGTCGTCCAACCAAGCCAAAAATTATAAATTCCACTAAAGACACTGTGTCTATCCTCTGGAGGCCACCAGCAAAAGATGGTGGTGCGCCCATCTTAGGATATAGTGTAGAATACAGAGAATTTATTCGCAAACCAGAGCCAGACATTGAGGATGAAGAGGAATATGAGGAGGAAGAAGTACCTGAGTCACCTGAAGAACTAGCCAGATGGGTTGAGGCAATACCTCTTACCAAAAGTTTGGAGTTTACAGTCACTGGATTAAAGACAGATGTAGAGTATGAATTCTGTGTAAAGGCAATAAATAAAGTGGGCAGCAGTGTGCGTAGCCCATACTCAGATCCAGGTGCAGCAGCAGACAGAACAGCAGAGCCATCATTTGATGCTGATATTGAGATGCGCAAGGTTCTCATTGTAAAACATGGTACGTCATTCACTCTTAGTGCACCATTCAAGGGAAAACCAGCACCAACAGTTCAATGGAGCAAAGAAGGTGTTGATCTAACAGTAAGAGGAACCATTGAAGCAACAGAATCCAGCACATCTCTGACTATTGAGAAGTCAACCAGGAATGACTCTGGAGAGTACTGTGTCACAATTGAATCACCATTGGGTAAAGCAACTTTGCCCATTGTAGTGAAAGTGCTTGACTCTCCTGGACCTCCAATCAATGTCAAAGTTTCATCTGTGACTAGGGATTCTGCAACACTGATGTGGGAAGCTCCAGAAAATGATGGTGGAGATGCAGTAAAAGCCTACCATGTTGAAAAACGTGAGGCAAGTAAGAAGGCCTGGGTGTCTGTGACAAGCAATTGTCACGCTTTGACCTATAAGGTGGAAGACTTGCAGGAGGGTGCTGTCTATTACTTCAGAGTTATAGCGGAAAATGAGAATGGAGTGGGTGTACCTCAAGAAGCGAAGGGAGGAACAAAGATTACAGGTATACTAGGACTGAATAATCAATGATAGTTGAACAATTTTTTGATATAGATCCTAATATAAACACAAATGTCTTGTTTTTTGCAGAAGTACCAAGTCCACCACTGAAACTTGGAGTTGCAAATGTCACTAAAGACAGTGTTACACTTGCCTGGACAAGACCAGAATATGACGGTGGAAGCAGGGTCACTGGTTACCTCATTGATGCTGTGGAGAAGGGTCAGACCAAGTGGGTGAAATGTGCAACTGTGAGGACCTTGACTCATACCATCAAGAGCCTGAGAGAAGGGGCTGAGTACTTCTTCAGAGTTCGTGCTGAAAACCATGCTGGACTCAGTGAACCTAAGGAAATGATTGTTCCAGTTATTGTCAAGGAGATACAGGGTAAATTTTCTTTATTTACTTTAAAATTTCCAAAAAACATAATTTGTTTTTGTTTTAGTAAATTTCACTATTTTAGACATATTAAAAGTTTGGTGTTTAATCAGTTAAGTGTGTGTTAATTTTAAGGTATATTTTATCATTCTTCATAGTCTTGTACTGTTTTTTTTTTTTCTAACAGAGGCTCCAGAATTTGACTTAAAGAATTACCCCAAGAATACAGTATATGTAAAAGCAGGATCTGACCTGACATTTGAGATTCCTCTTACTGGCAAACCCATGCCAAAGGTGACAATATCCAAAAACAATGTTGTCATCAAAGGGTCCAAGAGACTTCTGACAGAAGTGACTCCTGATAGCCTACTTATAACTTTAAATGAAAGCATTTCAAGTGATGCTGGAAAATATGAAGTCACTGCCTCAAATGGAGGGGGAACAACCAAGATTTCTCTTATTTTCATTGTGCTGGATAAACCTGGACCTCCAGTTGGTCCAGTTCAGATTGGAGAGGTTGGAGAGACCACAGTATGTCTAAAGTGGGATCCTCCAGAATATGATGGTGGAAGTCCTGTTACCAACTATGTTGTTATGAAACGTGAAACAAGTACTCCTGCTTGGGTAGAGGTGTCAACTAACATCGCCAGGAGTGCTATCAAGGTGACTAAGCTAACCAAGGGGGAGGAGTATCAGTTCAGAATCAAGGCTGAGAATCGCTATGGTCTAAGCAGCCACATTGACAGCAAACCAGTCATGATCCAACTACCTTACAGTAAGTCATTGAGTCAGTTTGATAAAGATTTATCTGGTTTTATGACTCATTATTTTTCTTAACTGCTTTAACAAAATGTTGGTGTCTTTCAGTAATCCCGGGTCCTCCATCCACCCCATGGGTTAGCTTTGTTTCCAGAGAGAGTTTGACAGTGTGCTGGAATGAGCCAGTCAGTGATGGCGGAAGCCCTGTAGTTGGGTATCACCTTCAAATGAAAGAGAGAAGCAGCATCATCTGGCAGAAGGTTAATAAAACAGCAATACCAGGAAACCAGTGGCGAGTTACAAATATCTGTCCAGGCCTCATCTATGAATTCAAGGTAGCAGCTGAAAATGCTGCTGGTATCGGAAAGATGAGCAAGACATCTGAAGAGGTGCTTGCAATTGATGCCTGTGGTAAGTCTTTAATTTCATAGTTCAATTTTACCCTTATTAGACATGTTCAATGTATACATAATTTTATATGTAATGTTGGTAGATTTCTAATAAACATAGTATCCAAAGCTACTTTTAATGTATCCCTTTTTTCATTTGACTTGGATGTTTTCCACATTGATGTTGTAGATCCCCCAGCAAATGTTCGTGTCACAGAAGTCACAAAGAACTCTGTCAGCCTGACTTGGCAGAGACCAGCATTTGATGGAGGCAGCAAGATAACTGGCTACAGTGTGGAGAGAAGGGAAGCTCCTAATGGCAGATGGGTGAAGGCCAACTTTACAAACATCATTGAATTGGGCTTCACTGCATATGGACTCACTCAAGATGAATCTTATGAGTTCAGAGTTTATGCTAAGAATGCTGTTGGATCTGTCAGCAACCCTTCTCTTATTGCTGGCCCCGTCACCTGTGTTGATGCATGTGGTAGGCTATGGATTCATTTTTGCATATTTATGTTTTGTTGATAACTGTGGTTGATATTTACAATTATTTTTTTCTTACAGGTGCCCCAGCTATTGATCTTCCTCCTGAGTATCTGGATGTGGTCCAGTATAAAGCTGGGGCTTCAGTAAAACTTAGAGTAGAAATTTTTGCCAAGCCTCTGCCAACTATTGTGTGGCTCAAGGATGGAAAGGAGCTGGTATCCTCTTCTACAGTGTCTGTTGAAAGCACAACAGACTCTTCTGCTGTTTTGATTAAGGATGCAACTCGCTTTGACACAGGCTCATATGAGATTAAGATAAAAAATGTTTTGGGATCAGCTTCTGCTACAATAAGGATTGAAATCCTTGGTATGTTGAGCACTTAAATTTCTGCTGAGATCTCCTTATTTTATGAATCACCCAGTTTGTCAGAGGTTGATACAGGGATATACAGTTGATGATCATGTGTCTTTTGACTCTCTTTTTAGACAAACCTGGACCCCCCTCTGGCCTTATCAATTTCAACTCCATAACAGCAGACCGGATAATCTTCAGCTGGGAACCAGTTCCAGAGTCTGACCAGGGAGGTTCCAAAGTTACCCACTATATTGTTGAGAAGCGTGAAACCAGCAGAGTGGTCTGGTCAACTGTTTCAGATAGACATGAGAATACACACATCACAGTCGGAAAGTTGGTGCGTGGAAATGAGTATGTTTTCAGAGTGATGGGAGTTAACAAATTTGGAGTTGGAGAGCCTCTCGAGTCTGAACCGGTCATCGCTAAGAATGCCTTTGGTAAGTTTTTTTGTTCAATTACAATAAAGTTAATCCTTTCCTCATCAGTCATTACTAAATATCCTATTTTTCCATCTGTTTATTCTCACATTTATTTCATTATTGGCTGTCATTTTCATTTCATTTGCCTTAATATTTAATTTTGTCTTTTTCTATAGTAACTCCTGGCCAACCTCATACTCCGGAAGTAAATACGACCACCAAGACCACAATGCTAGTAGAATGGGACAAACCTGGAGTGGATGGTGGTAGCCCTGTGACTGGCTACTATCTAGAGAGACGGGATAAGAAGAGCTTGCGCTGGATCAGAGTGTATAAAGATCCGATCACTGACATCAAACAGATGGTGTACCACCTGACAGAAGGAAATGAGTATCAGTATCGTGTCTGTGCCATTAACAAAGCTGGGGAGGGACCATTCTCTGATGTATCAGACTATTATAAGGCTGCTGACCCAGTTGGTATGTGAAAAATAACTTTAAAAACAAATCATCACACTTAAGCTACTCCCCCAACTAATGATTTTAATTTCACAGATCCACCAGATGAGCCTTGCAAGCTAAAGGTTGTGGACTCAACAAAGACATCCATCACCCTGGGTTGGTCTAAACCTGAATGGGATGGAGGTAGCGAGGTTACTAGTTATATGGTGGAGAAGCTTGTTGAAGGAGAGAAAGACTGGGCCATGGTTACTTCCAAGGGTGAGGTTAAGACTACAGAGTACACAGTTCACGATCTAAAACCAGATACAAACTACTTCTTCAGAGTCTCTGCTGTGAACTGTGCTGGCCGCGGAGAACCTTTAGAGATGACTGAGCCTGTGCAGGCCAAAGATATCCTGGGTAATGTAAAAAGATTATTTAAAATTGCTTACATGCTTTGTTTGTTTTTTGTCAATCTGTGTAACACTGTAAATTTGTATGCCCTTCACAGAGGAAGCACAGATTGACTCAGATGTTGCCATGAGAACTCATTATATTGTCAAGGCTGGTAAAGATGTGGAGTTGTCTGTTCCATTGAAGGGCAGACCTGCTCCCACTGCTTCCTGGAGCAAAGGAGAAGAATGCATAGATCGCAATCCCAAATATGAGTTCCATCACTCAGACACAACAACTGTGCTCATTATGCGTGAAGTGACCAGACTTGACACTGGAAAATACACAGTCAAGATAGAGAATGGCGTCGGACAACCAAAAACACTATCTCTGTCTGTGAAGGTACAGGATACCCCAGCTCAGTGCAGAAACTTGGTTATGAAGGATGTTACCCGTGGAAAAGTCACCCTCTGCTGGGACCCTCCACTCCTTGATGGTGGTGCTGAGATCACAAACTACATTGTTGAGAAGAGGGACTCCTCTAAGAGATCATACTCTGCAGTGACAAACAAATGCACAAATACTACATACACTATTGAAGATCTCTCAGAAAAGACAACTTTCTTCTTCCGTGTCTTAGCAGAAAATGAGAATGGTATTGGTGATCCATGTGAAACACAGGAGCCTGTCAAGGCTACAGAAACTCCAGGACCAGTCAAAGAAATTTCTATGAAAGATTCATCTAAGACCTCTGTGACACTACAGTGGCTAAAGCCTGATTACGATGGAGGCAGCATCATCTCTGACTATGTCATTGAGAAAAAGCTTAAGGATGATGAGTGGTCAATGGGAGGAGTCAGCAGACAATGTGAATTTGAGGTCAAGAATCTCAAGGAGCACTCTGAGGTGTTCTTCAGAGTTGCAGCCAGAAATGAGAAGGGACAGGGTGATTTTGTTGAGCATGGCCCTATCAAGGTCATTGACTACATCATCACTCCTGAGGCAGACCTCAGAGAATACCCAGGTGGTAGCCTCAGTGTGCGTTTGGGTCATAATGTTCATATTGAGTTGCCATACAGAGGCAAGCCCAGACCTGCTGTGCAGTGGTTAAAGGACAGCCTGCCTCTGAAGGAAAGTGACCAAGTTCGATTTAAGACAACTGAAAACAAAGCCACTCTAATGATTAAGAATGTAAAGAAGGAGAATGAAGGTAAATACACCCTGAGTCTTGACAACAAGATCAACAGGAAATCTTTCCACATCTTTGTCGTTACTCTTGGTCCACCATCAAAGCCAGTTGGTCCCATTCGCCTGGATGAAGTCAGAGCTGACAATATCATGATCTCCTGGGATGAGCCTAATGATAATGGTGGTGGAGACATTACTTGTTACATAGTGGAGAAACGAGACACCTCACAGTCTAACTGGAAGATGGCTTCCTCCCATGTTGAGGGTACTCAGTTTAGAGTCCCCAATTTGATCAAGGGTGTCCAATACCAGTTCAGAGTGTGTGCTGAAAACCGATATGGTGTGAGTGAGCCTCTAATCTCACAAATGGTTATTGCCAAGCACCAATTCAGACCTCCAGGACCGCCAGGAAAACCAGTTGTTTACAATGTTACTAATGATGGCATGACAATCCAGTGGGAAAAACCAATCTATGATGGTGGAACCCCCATCCAGGGATATCATGTGGAGAAAAAAGAAAAGAATAGCATCATGTGGCAAAAAGTGAACACTGTCCTTATAAAAGAAATGGATTACAGGATTTTGGAACTCATAGAAGGTCTTGAGTACACTTTTAGAGTCTATGCTCAAAATGATGCTGGCTTTAGCCGAATGAGTGATGAAAGCAAGCCAACAATGGCTGTGAGTCCTGTTGGTAAGTCTTTGTGAAGATAATGCAAAATTATTTTGTTGGAATTATGTGTTTAGCATGATAGCTTATTAAATCTAATATAAATGCAATGTCTTTTAGACCCACCTGGCCAACCTGATTACATTGATGTAACCAGTGACTCAGTAACACTAAAATGGGATGCCCCTAAACGTGATGGCGGTAGCAAGATAACAAGCTACAGCATTGAGAAACGTCAAGGACATGGTCGCTGGTTCAAGGCCAATCTGACTGAAGTACATGACTGTCAGTACACTGTCACCGGGTTGACAACAAATGAGCGCTACGAGTTCAGAGTCATTGCTAGAAATGCAATAGGCATTGTCAGTCCCCCATCCAACTCTTCTGGTTTTATTGCTGTACGAAGTGAAAATGGTGAGTTACAAAAATTGTAAATATATTACACTAAAACTAATAGGTATAATGTATGCACACCAGTTTTTAGATTAATGTATTCAAAAAACAACTTACTATTTTTTACTGCTGCACGTTAAAAACTAACATTAATTTTCTTCAATCAGCTCCTCCAAATATTGAGTTTGGCCCCGAGTACTTTGAGGGTTTGACAGTAAAGGCAGGAGATAACATCCGGGTGAAAGTGACTGTCACTGGACGCCCAGTTCCGAAAGTTGTCTGGTTCAAAGATGATGTGGAGATTACCAAAAAGATGATGGACATTATTACTGTTCCTGGATCCAGCACTCTGTTTGTCCGAGATGCTGACCGCACACACCGTGGCCTATACACTGTAGAAGCTACCAATGGATCTGGAACCAAAAAGGAGACTATTCTAATTCAAGTACAAGGTAATACCAATATTAATTAGTCTGGTAATTAAATGCTTTTTGCCAGTGTGCTTTTTATTTATCCTTCTAGTCTGTTTTATTTTAATTATCTCAATGTGACTCTGTAATACAGACACTCCAGGGGAACCAGTAGGACCAATCACCTTCACAAATATCTCAGAGGGCAAGTGCACTCTGTCTTGGAATCCACCAGAAAATGATGGCTGCTCTGAGATTACACATTACATCATTGAAAAACGGGAAACTGCCAAAATTTCCTGGGCCTTAGTGTCTGATGAATGTAAGGAGTGTGCTTTTAATGCCACCAAGCTCATCAAGTCCAATGAGTACCAGTTCAGGGTGTCTGCAGTTAACAAGTTTGGTGTTGGTAGGCCCCTGGAATCCAGTCCTGTCATTGCACAATTGCAATACAGTAAGTAGAAAATTCCTAAAGTCTTGAAAATATACAAAATATTTTCTACATTTTATAGATTCTACTTAAATTGTTCATGTTTATTTGATTATTGATCTCCAAAATGTTTTCTCCCAGCAACTCCTGATGCCCCAGGAACTCCTGATGCCACTGAGGTGACAGGAGAGAGCATAACACTGTCCTGGACTCCTCCAACATCTGATGGAGGCAACCCTATTCAGCACTATATTCTAGAGAAAAGAGAAAAGAAAACCGTTCGGTTCTACAAGGTGATCACCAAAAAACCTATCATTGAATGTGCTCACAAGGTGCTTAACCTATCAGAAGATATGGAATACGAGTTCCGAGTCATGGCTGTCAACGACGCTGGCGTTGGGCCTCCTAGCAACATCTCTTTGCCAATCAAGGCTGCTGAACCTAAAGACATTCCATGTGCTCCATCTGTGGTTTGCGTGTCAGACTCCACAAACACTTCCATTAGTTTGGAATGGACCAAACCAGTTGATGATGGAGGCATGGAGATCATTGGCTACATCATTGAAATGGTGAAGGGAGAGGGCACTGAATGGAAGAGAGTAAATGAGGAACTTGTGTCAGAAACTAATTATGTGGTGAAAGGTCTACAGACAGGAGCTGAGTACAAATTCCGTGTTGCAGCAGTTAATCATATAGGCAGAGGTGAAGACAAGGAGATTCCAGAACGTGCTCAGGCTGTTGATAGGTTAACACCACCACAGGTGGACATTGATGCCACATTTAAGCAGACACACATAGTCAAGGCTGGAAGTTCTATATGTTTGGGCATTCACTTCCGAGGAAAGCCCATTCCTTCTGCTACATGGGTGAAGGAGGAAGGAGAGCTAAGTGGAATGTCAGAGATCACAACTATTGATGGTTACAGCTCTTTAAGCATCGAAAACTGCTCTAGATATGACACAGGCAAATACACAGTTAACCTGGAGAATTCCAGTGGTAGTAAGGCTGTTACCTTTGTGGTAAAAGTAATGGATACACCTGGACCGCCAGAGGCCGTAGCTTTCAAGGAAGTCTCCAGAGGATCAGTCACACTTGTCTGGAAGCCACCTGTCAATGACGGTGGAGCTCGTATTCATCACTATATTGTTGAGAGGCGTGAGGCTAGTCGACGGACATGGCAGCAATCTGGTGGCAAATGCACACAGGGTATTCTCAAGATCCAGGATCTGCTGGAGGGAGTTCCTTATTTCTTCAGAGTCTCAGCTGAAAACCACCATGGTCTGGGTGAGGCCTTTGAGCTAACTGAACCAGTCATTGCCACAGCAGAGCCATCATCTCCAAAGAGACTGGATATCATCGATACCACAGATAATTCTGTGTTACTAGGCTGGTTGAAGCCAGAACATGATGGTGGCAGCCGCATTCAGGGTTATCTTATTGAGGCTAGACCAAAGGGTGGAGACAAATGGGTAGTGGTTGGAAACACCAAGAATCTTACCTTTGCTGTTGAAAAGCTCAATAAGGGTGATGAGTATGACTTCCGTGTGAAGGCTAAAAATGAAGCAGGTTATAGTTTACCAAAGAAAACTCTGGCGCCTGTGCTGGTAAAGGAGCCTCATATTGAGCCTGCTGCTGACCTTAGTGAGATACCCAACCAGCTTATCACATGCAGGTCTGGCAGCACATTCACCATTGATGTTCCTATCAGTGGTAGGCCTGCTCCTAAGGTCTCATGGAAGTTGGAAGAAATGAGACTAAAGAACTCAGACAGAGTCACCATCAAAGTAACTAAAGACAGAGCTAGTATCTCAGTCAAAGAAGCCATGAGAGGAGATGGAGGAAAATACTATCTTACGCTGGAAAATGTAACAGGAACCAAGACATTTACGGTTGAAGTTAACGTTACAGGCAGACCAAGTCCTCCATCTGGACCAATTGAAATTTCCTCCATCTCCTCTGAGTCCTGCATTGTTAATTGGCAACCGCCTGAGGATGATGGTGGCACTGACATCACCAACTACATTGTGGAGAAGCGTGAATCTGGCTCCACGGCTTGGCAGTTGATCAACTCCAGTGTGAAACGCACATCTCTTCATGTTGGTCATCTGACCAAATATATGCAATACACATTCAGAGTCTCAGCTGAGAACCGATTTGGGGTCAGCAAGCCCACCGAGTCCGAGACGATCGTTGCAGAACATCCCTTCTGTAAGTGTTACCCTCAAGTTTTTTCTTTCTTTGAAATTATGTGGTTTTATACTACATTAATACATATCTCAAATCTTACAATCATTACTACACTGTAATAACCAAACTCTTTGTTTAAATACAGCACCTCCAGGACCCCCAACAAAACCTTCAGTCTTTAATGTCACAGCAAACACAATGACTCTAAGATGGGAGGAACCCTACCATGATGGTGGAAGCAAGGTGACAGGCTACTGGATTGAAAAGAAGGAGAGGAACAATATATTGTGGGTTAGGGAAAATAAGATCCCATGCTTTGAATGCTACTACAAGGTGGAAGGCCTAGTTGAAGGCCTGCAATACCAGTTCAGGGTTTATGCCATGAACAGTGCAGGACTCAGCAAAGCCAGTGAGGCCTCTAAGGGAGCAGTTGCTCAAAATCCAGTTGGTACGTTTTGCCAGAAGTATAATGTTACATATAGTATGATGTTTTTCTGCTAAGAAATGTGTTGTTCTATCCTATCTGACAAAAATCTTTTGACTGGCATTTAGATCCACCAAGTAAACCTGAAGTTACCAAGGTTACAAGAACCACTGTCTCCTTGAAATGGTCAGCTCCATTGAATGATGGCGGTAGTCCAATTGTTGGCTACATCATCGAACGAAAGCCCTACACTTTGACAGGCGAGGGCCGCTGGCTCAAGTGTAACTACACCAATGTAACAGATCATTTCTTAACTGTTACCGCCCTGGGAGAGGGAGAGGCCTATGAATTTAGGGTGATCGCAAAGAATGCCAACCAAGTCTTCAGCACACCATCTGAATCCACAGGGTCTGTGCAGTGCAAGACTGATTTTGGTAAGAGTTTATTCCATGGAAATCTCCAATACTCTATTAAGCACAACTTCAGACATGATAGTTAGATACAACTACATTGATTTTATTTTGTGCAATGTCTGTTTGAACATACTAACAGCCAGACCATGACCAAGGTACATCTGAATATGAGAACAGTAAAACTGAAGTGACGGTTGATAATTGTCAAATTTATGTCCACTTAACAGAACCACCAAAGGCCAATTTGGACAGCAAACTTCTCTCTGAAACTGTAATGGTCAGAGCTGGTTCAGACCTGGTTCTGGATGCTGCAGTGGGAGGTAGACCTGATCCAAAGGCTTTCTGGTCCAAGGGCAACAGGGAACTGGAGATGTGTGAAAAATATCACCTGCAGTACAGCCCTACCAGAGCTATGGCCATTATTAAATTTTGTGACAGAGATGATACTGGAAAATACATCCTAACAGCCAGAAACGTGAGTGGAACCAAGACTGCAGAGGTCAATGTCAAAGTGCTTGGTAAGTATTTTGTTTATTTGTTTACCATCTGAATTATTTGTAATTTGATAACTCTTGGCACATTTTTGCAAAGTGACTTACTCTAAATATGTCTGTTTTTGGCTAGACACACCTGGAGTGTGTGAAGGCAACATTGAAATCAGCAAGATAACAGAAGAGTCATGCACTCTAAGCTGGAAGCCTCCTCTTGAGGATGGCGGAGATGACATTACACACTACATTGTAGAGAGGCGTGATACCAACAGACTGAACTGGGTGATCATGAATGCTGAGTGCAAGGAGCTGACATGCAACATCACTGGTTTGTTCAAGAACACAGAGTACTTGTTCAGAGTTCGTGGAGTCAACAAGTATGGTTCTGGCGTTTATCTCCAGTCACAGCCGATGGTGGCCAAAAACACATTCAGTAAGTACAAGTGAAACTATTGAAAACAAATCCCTAAACGTGTGGATTTAGAATATCAAAATGCCACTTTAATTCACCCAGGATTATGTTGTCTATTCTATTGTCTCAAGGTATTTAAACTACAATCAAAAAGACTAATCTTACCAAAGAGAAAGGCATGAAACAAATCAGCTCACTACCACTAAAGTCTCTTTTTGTTATCTGTTCCTTAGCTGTGCCCACTCCTCCTGGAACCCCAGAGATCCTAGTTTCAGGAAAGGATTTTGCCACTATAGAGTGGCTAAAGCCAGAAAATGATGGTGGTAGCCCAATAACTCATTACCTGGTTGAAAGACATGAGAGAAAGAGTGCCCGCTGGGTAAAGGTGAACAAGGATGGTGCTCACCTGGATACCACTCTAAAGGTGGCCGGTTTGACTGAAGGCAACATCTATCAGTTCAGAGTAACAGCCATAAACAAGGCCGGCGAGAGTGAACCCAGTGAGGTTTCTCTGTATGTTGTCTGCAGAGTGCCAACGAGTAAGTTTCATCATTGCCTTGAATAACATGTTACTTAAGATGTCAGAATTTACCTTCATATTAACTTTAATCTGTAAGTGTCATGATATTTTTTAAGACAGTAGTAAAGAGTAAAACCATATGTTATTAGTAAATAATTTAGAAGAGCTCATATAAACTTACCTACCTTTTCGTAGGCACTCCCGCACCTCCTTCTATTCCTCGAATCATCGACACCCATGCTGACAGCATCAGCCTTGCTTGGTCTCGACCTGTGGAAGATGGAGGTGCTGATGTCATTGGCTACATTCTGGAGATGCAGGAAGCTGGAGCAGAGGAATGGAAGAAGGCCCATGAGAAGACCTTGCGTTCTGCAGAGTATGTGGTGACTGGACTTTCTGCAGGCAAGAAGTATTGTTTCAGAGTGGCTGGTATCAATGTCAATGGAACAGGAGACTTTAGTGAACCATGTGCTGAGACTGAGCCAGTGGAAAGAATTGGTAAGTGTTTGAACAGGCCTCAGAAAATAAGTCTAAATATCAGCTGATTTCATTGATTTGTTTGCATTTGTCCCACAACAGAAAATTTTGTGTACACTAAAAAAAGTTCCTTAGACCTGAATTTTGCAACACATCATCTATCTCTTACAGAACCTCCTGATTTTGAGCTCCACGATGACCTCAAAAAGACAATCTGCTTGCGTGCTGGTGGCTCCCTCCGCTTATTTGTCAGTGTCACAGGTCGTCCTGCCCCTACCATAACATGGAGCAAACCTGGTGTTGACCTCCATAATAGAGGCTTCATTGAGGTCACAAACAAATCCACCACTCTCATAATTGACAAGGTTCATCGCTATGATGCTGGCAAGTATACGCTGTTGGCTGAGAACACTGCTGGGAAGCAGGAAGTCAGTATTCTTGTCAAGGTTTACGGTATGTTAGTATTACTATCTATAAATAATATTATTTAATTCTTTGATTTCCATTATATATTTGATAGTGTTTTTATGAAGTTAACCCGATTTTTGAAAGTTTGTATTTTGACTAGAGACACTTTATATTCTTAGACACACCTGGACCAACTGGGCCAATCAAGATGAAAGAGCTCACTAAGGACTCTGCCACCATTTCCTGGGAAGCCCCAGCTGTGGATGGTGGTGCTCCTGTCAATAACTACATAATTGAAAGACGAGAGGCCTCAATGAGAGCCTACAAGACAGTAACTTCCAAGTGCAGTAAAACTTCCTATAAGATTGATAATCTGATGGAGGGAATGCTATATTACTTCCGTGTCCTCCCTGAAAACATTTATGGAATTGGAGAGCCCTGCGAGACTCCAGACGTCGTCCTGGTTTGTGAAGTTCCTCTTCCACCACATAAGTTTGAGATGTCAGATGTCACTAAGAGCACAGTCACTCTGTCTTGGGAAAAGCCAGAGCATGATGGTGGCAGTAGGTTGACAGGTTACATCATTGAAGCTTGCAAGTTTGGTACTGACAAGTGGATGAAGGTGGCAACACTGAAGCTCACAGACTTTGAGCACACCGTAGAGAAACTGAATGAGAAAGAACAATATTTGTTCAGAATTAAAGCTGTCAACAGCAGAGGAGCCAGTGAGCCAAAAGAACTTGTTGCTGCTGTCACTGTCCAGGAACAGAGAGGTAACAAAAGAAAAAAGCTCTGCTGCCCTTATTTTCATTTAAATCATTGCATAATTAAGATTTAGTGCAACATCCTGGCTGTTAATACTTCCCACTGAGGCAAACAATTTTTTTTTCTTTTAGTGATGCCTGCAGTAGACTTGTCCAGCATTCCCCAGAAGGTTGTTAATGTTTTGGCTGGTAAGACATTGGAGCTGGACCTCCCAATCATTGGCAGACCTCCTCCTGTTTCATCCTGGTATTTTGCGGACAACAAGATAAAGATAACAGATCGGGTGAAGGTCAAGAGCACTGGCAAGTTCTCCAAGTTAACTGTGTCTGACACTACCATTAATGACAGCGGTGACTACACACTAGAAGTCAAGAATGCTGTTGGAGTCATCACTGAGGTCATCAAGGTCATCATTCTCTGTAAGACATTTTTCCAACTATCATTTATTTATTTATTTATTCATTACTGTATTAATAGCCAAGTCAACACCAAACACATAACTGACATTTACTATTTAGTTAACGATCGTAGTCCACTTGAACTTTGTGTGTCATGAAAATATAACCTACAGGACACGTGTAAACTGACCATCATTTCTCTTTCTTCACTTTTTCAGCTAAACCAGATGAACCTCAAGGGCCTATACGATTTGATGAAATTGATGCCACTACTGTCACCTGCAGCTGGGATCCCCCAGTCAGAGATGGTGGAGCTCCCATTAGTGGTTATTTAGTAGAACAGCGTGATGCTCACAGGCCTGGCTGGGTGACTGTTTCTGACTCTGTGAGCAGACCGTTGTTCAGGTTTGAGAACCTCATTGAGGGAGATGAATATGTCTTCCGTGCAGCTGCTGTGAATCGCTATGGCACCGGAGAGTTCCTCCAGTCTGAGATTGTCACTTGTAGGAGCTTGAAAAGTAAGACTCTTAACATTAGCTATACATTATACTCTTGCTGTAAAATGCAGACCAGTATTATATGACAGCAGCAAAATGGTAACACAAGCTTCCTCCACAGATGTGCCTGGACCTCCTGGTCGTCCAATTACCTTTGATGTGTCTCGTGATGGAATGACTGTTGCTTGGGAGCCACCAGATGAAGACGGAGGTCTTGAGGTTTCTGGATACATCATTGAGCGCAAAGAAGTAAGGGCTGACCGATGGGTGCGTGCAAACAAGAACCCTGTCACTATGACCAGGTACAGGTCAACTGGGTTGATTGAAGGCCTGGAATATGAACATAGAATTACAGCCATTAACGCAAGAGGCCTGAGCAAACCAAGTTTGCCATCCAAGCCAGCAGTAGCAACAGATCCCATTGGTAAGCAAAAACTAACAAGACTTAAATATATAATTGGTTAAAATAAATATTAAAAAATCCCATCATTTAAAGTGTTGCCAAAACGAGAAGTAATGTTAAGCACAACTTAAGAAAGTCACAACATCTTGCATATGTTTTTTTCCTGTGCAGATCCACCCGGCTGTCCTCAAAACCCAAGAATCACAGATACTACCAAGTCATCTGTGTCACTTGCTTGGAGTCCACCTGATGATGAGGGAGATGCTAGAGTAGATGGTTATTTGATTGAGATGCAGAAGGTGGGCTCTGTGGCTTGGATCAAGTGCAACACCACTCCATCTCTCATATGCGAGTACACGCTGACCAACATGCCACAAGGAGAGGAGTTCAAATTCCGTGTAATGGCTTGTAATGCTGGTGGTTCTGGAGAACCTGCAGAAGTACCAGGAACGGTCAAAGTAACAGAAATGCTTGGTAGGAAACCACATCTACAACTGTGCAATCAGGTTTATGACATAAAATGAGTGCTCAGATCAAAACTAAGTTTTCAAAAATTATTGTTTTTCAGAATCCCCTGATTATGAACTGGAGTTGAAATACAAAGATGTGTACGTTGTCCGTCATGGAGGAGTGGTTAGACTCTCTGTACCCATTAAAGGCAAACCCCTTCCAACTTGTAAATGGTCAAAGGATACTGGAGCTATCGCTGTGAAGGCTATGATTGCCTCCACCGAGGACTCCAGTGAGTTGGTGATAAAGGGAGCAGAAAGGAGTGACTCTGGTCTGTATGAGCTCCTGCTGGAAAATAAGGTTGGAAAGAAGAAAGCCCAGATTAAGGTCAGAGTCATCGGGCGCCCAAGTGCTCCAGAGGGACCGATGGTCTTTGAGGAAATCCAAGCCAACTCTGTAAAGGTCTCCTGGAAGCCACCCAAGGATGATGGCGGCTCAGAGATTCTTGGCTACATTGTAGAAAGGCGTGAAGCAGCCAGAAATGCCTGGTACACCGTGGACTCTAGAGTAACTGAGACCCAGCTTGTTGTTAAGGGCTTAAAAGAAGGAACAGAATACCACTTCAAAGTTACTGCTGAAAACTCATTTGGCATCAGTGCATCTCTAAAATCTGAACAGCCGCTAGTACCAAAGACTCCTCTCTGTAAGTTTTGTTTTCTGCAAACCAACTGTCTTTGAAAAGCTTTAAATTATGTATTTTATTTACAAAACCTTATCTGCTTTTAAAATTAGGTCCTCCTGAGCCTTCAACTGCACCACCTGAGATAATGGATGTTACCAAAAGCTCAGTGGCACTTGCCTGGTCCAGACCAAAGGATGATGGAGGATCTGCCATCAACGGTTATTTTGTTGAGTACAAGGAGGTTTCCACTGAGACATGGATCCGCCACGAGACCAAGATCATCTCTACTATGTTCACTTTACATGGACTTACCCCTGATACAGACTACCAATTCCGCATTATTGCTGTTAACAACATAGGTGAAAGTGAGGCTGGTCCAGCATCTGATCCTGTGACATGCAAAGATCCATTTGGTGAGTATTGTGTGCTGATAAAGTTCCACTCAGGATTTATGTAGTCATTACCATTTAGCAATTACAATAATAAATAAAAAAAATCAATTAATTACTTCATTAATCCCTAATGTCTAGTGTTAAGTCCAAATAATGTTTAGAACTAATAATGTTTTAAACAATGTTTTTATTTTATCTTATTTTATAGATATAATAATTAGTACTGGTAGACATTAGCATAGTTTCTCCTTTAGTTTTCCTGTTTGAAAATTCAAAAGAATATAGACAAAATAATGAACAAATTTGACTTAATGTTTTTTCACAGACAAGCCCAGCCAACCAGGAGAGATTGACACAGTGAATGTGAGTAACAACTTTATTACTATTTCCTGGCAACCTCCTGAGTGTGATGGTGGAAAGGAAGTCCTGGGCTACTGGGTTGAGTACAGAAAGTCTGTGGAGAGCACCTGGAAGAAGTGCAATAAACAGAGGGTTAAGGAAAAGGAATTCACTATGGTGGGCTTGGCTGAGGCCACCGAATATGAGTTCAGAGTCTTTGCTGAGAATGAAACAGGAATGAGTAGACCCCGTAGGACTGCCACATGCATCAAGACGAAACTAATAGGTGAGTGCAACTAAAAACAGTTTATAACATTATTAAACACAATATGTTTCGTTGTTTCATTAAGTTGTTTTTACCAACAGCTGAAAGTAAACCAAGCCTTAGGAAAGAAATGGATGAAACCACCGCCAAGCTTGGACAGCCTGCTGTCATGAAATGCCAGATTGTTGGCCGACCTGTTCCAGAAATTAAGTGGTATCACGCTGGCAAGGAAATTGTTGAGTCCCGCAAGTATGAGATGAGCTCTGATGGCCGCAACCACTCCCTGTCTATCATGACAGACCAGCAGGAAGATGAAGGAGAATATACCTGCAAGGCAGTGAATGAAGCAGGAGAAGTTGAGACCACTGGCATTCTAGTGTTGGAGGCTGCTCCATCCTTCCACCCCGATTACCCTCTTAAGGAAACATATTATGCTGGACTGGGAACAACTCTACGCATCCATGCCGTTTATATTGGTCGTCCTCAGCCAAAGATCATGTGGCTGCATGGAGCTAAGACACTGGAAAACACAGAGGATATTAGCATTGAGACCACTGAGCACTACACACACCTAATAGTAAAGAATGCTCAGCGCAGAGTGAATGGAGGAAAATATAGGATCAGATTGCATAACCACTTTGGCAGGGCTGACACTGCATTCAATGTTGAAATTTATGGTATGTGAATTAAATTGTTTTTAGTACTGTACAAACACCTTTAGTGATAATAAGAATACTATTAGATTTCTGTACAATAACATCCTGTACCTTTGTCCACAGACAAACCTGATATACCTCAGGGACCCATTGTCCTGGATGCCCTCCTTAAGAACTCTGTCATTATCAGCTGGAAACCTCCCAAGGATGATGGAGGCTGTATGATCACCAACTATATTGTAGAAAAAAGAGAAGACAAAGAGGGCACGGAGTGGGAACTTGTGTCTTCCTCCATTAACAGCACATCTTGCCGTGTGCCCAACCTCATTGACAGTGCTGGATACTTTTTCCGTGTTTATGCCCAGAATAGATATGGCAACAGTGAGCCACTGGAGCTCATCTCCCCCATCCTGATCAAGAGCCAACTGGGTAAGACAGTGTCACATTTTTTTTATTTCACAAGGAACAAAGAAATTGTTTTACAACCTAAACATTATTGCAAAAGAGTTGACAAGTGTTTCCTTAATATATGTCCACAGAGAGACCATCACCACCTTTGTCACCAGTTGTTTCTGGTATCACTAAGGATTCCTGTGTGGTTTCCTGGAAACCCCCACTAAGTGATGGGGGATCTAAGATCAAGAGCTATTGCCTTGAAAAGAAACATAAAAAAGATAAGAAGGAATGGACCGAATGGACTCCAGTTACCACAGATGAGATCAAGCAAACTGTGTTCTCCGTCAAACGCCTGACTGAGGGCATTGAATACATCTTCCGTGTCAAGTGTGAAAACCTTGGAGGAGAAAGTGATTACAGTGAGGAGACCCCTGCCATCATACCTGCAACTGCCATAGACGTCCGCGCTCCTGCCTTCAAGGAGGAGCTGAGGAACATGAGTGTCAAATACAAGAGCAATGCTACCCTTGTGTGCAAGATTACAGGGCAGCCTAAGCCTGTGATTAAATGGTTTAGACGAGGAAAGGAGATCCACTCAGATGGAAAGAAGATCAAGATCCAGGAGTTTAAGGGAGGATACCACCAGCTGGTCATCACTGAGGCTGATGAGGAAGACTCCACTGTTTATCAGATCAGAGCCACCAACCAAGGGGGCTCAATATGTGCTACAGTCTCTCTAGATGTTGAAAGTAAGCTTAAAACACTTAATTTCATCACTAAAGTCAATTACATATTTAATGTTAAAGTGCTGTTAATATAAACTCACTATAAAATGTAATTATTTTTCTTCTTTTTAGTCCCTGCCAAGATCCATTTGCCAAAGAACCTGAAAGACAAGGAAGCCATCCCAGCTTTACGTGGGGAGGTGGTCAATATCAAGATTCCCTTCAGTGGTAAACCAGATCCTGTTATTACATGGCAGAAGGGACAAGATCTTATTGACAGTAATGGTCACTACCAGGTGATCGTCACCAGATCGTTCACTTCCCTGGTTTTTGCCAATGGAGTGGAAAAGAAGGATGCAGGTTTCTACATTGTCTGTGCCAAGAACAGATTTGGTATTGATCAACAAACCGTTGAATTGGATGTTGCTGATGTGCCTGATCCACCTCGTGGCATCAAAGCCAGTGATGTATCCAGAGACTCAGTCACACTGAACTGGGTGGCTCCAGCCAATGATGGTGGCAGCAAGGTTGTAAGCTACATCATTGAAAAATGTCCGACCACTGCTGAGAGGTGGGAACGTGTTGCACAGTCCCGTGACACCCACTACACTGTAATTAATTTGTTTGGAGGTACAAGCTATCAGTTCAGAGTTATTGCTGAAAACAAATTTGGACAGAGTGCTCCATCTGAAAGCAGTGGACCTGTCATGACTAAAGAAGACAAATCCAGAGTTTTGCTTTATGACAGGGAGGTTGGTGATACTGAACGAGTTCCCAAGGGCAAAGCTCAACACTCCGACACCAAGAATCTGCACAACAAATATTCCATTGCAGAAGAACTGGGCAGAGGCCAATTTGGCATTATTCACCGCTGTGTTGATATTAGCTCTGAGCAGACCTACATGGCCAAATTTGTCAAAGTGAGAGGTGCTGATCAGGCAATAATTAAAAAGGAAATTGCAACACTCAATTTGGCCAAACACGCTAACTTCCTGCTTCTTCATGAGTCCTTTGAAAGCCCAGAGGAATTGGTCCTGATCTATGACTTTATTTCTGGCCATGACATCTTTGAGCGCCTTAATACAGCAGAGTTTGAGCTCAATGAACGGGAGATTGTTAACTATATCAGGCAGATTTGTTCAGCCCTGGAATATTTGCATTCTCAGAGATATGGGCACTTTGATATCAGACCTGAAAACATTGTATACACAACTAGAAGCAGCTCAATTGTGAAGATTATTGAACTGGGACAATCCAGACACCTGACACCTGGAGAACAAATCAAGATTCAGTACACTACTGCAGAGTATGCTGCCCCTGAGATCCACCAGTGTGACATGGTTAGTACAGTTACTGACATGTGGTCTGTGGGTGTCCTTACCTACGTGCTTCTCAGTGGTCTTAATCCATTCACAGCCGAAACCAACCAACAAATGATTGATAACATTTCAAATGCAGCCTATGGCTATGATGATGAGTCATTTAAGCAAGTCAGTGTAGAAGCCTTAGACTTTACAGATCGTTTAATGACAAAAGAACGCAAGCACCGTATGACTGCAGCTGAGGCTCTGCTGCATCCATGGCTAACAAAACCTACAGAAGAGATAAGTGCCAGGGCAATCCCAGTAGGTAGACACAAGAGATACTACCAGGCAATGGTCAAGAAAGAATGGAGCACTGTAGTTTCTGCTGCCCGGGTGGCCAGCGGTGGTTCAATCAGGTCCCAGCGTGGTGTCTTTGTCTCTAAAGTAAAGATTGCTCCATTTGAACATGGTCCTCTTGCAGGCCAAGTTAGCCATGCAGTGGTCAATGAAGGAGACAATGTGAAGTTCATCTGCAACATTGAAAATTATGACAGCACCACTGAAGTTACATGGTACTGTGGTGTCAGGCAACTTGAAGCTGGAGACAAGTATGAAATTGAATATGAAGATGGTCTGGCTGTCATTACCATCAACAAGATCACTAGAGCAGATGATGGCACGTACAGATGCAAGGTTGTGAATGAGTATGGTGAAGATAGTGCTTATGCAGAGCTTTTTGTCAGTGGGGTTAGATCCTACCGTGACTTCTTCACTACTCGTGTGGTTAGAAGAACAAAGCGAAGAGTTGACACTGCTAGAATGCTGCAGAAGCCACCAGAATTTACTCTTCCTCTGGTCAACCGCACAGCCTATCTTGGTGAGGATGTGCGCTTTGGAGTAACCATCACTGTTCATCCTGAGCCTCGTGTTATCTGGCATAAATCTGGACAAAAGCTTATCCCTGGACATGATGACAGGAAATACACCTTCACTACTGACAAAGGCTTGTACCAGCTTATAATCCACAATTTGGAAAAGGAGGATGATGCTGAGTACAGTGTTGTAGCCCGTAACAGGTATGGAGACGACAGCTGCAAGGCCCGCCTCACTGTTGTTCCTCGTCCTAAACCAGCAGACCTCACTTTGAGGCCCATGTTCAAACGGCTGCTTGCAAACATTGAGTGCAGGGAGGGTCAGAATGTTCGTTTTGAGATTAGAGTTTCTGGCCACCCAACACTGAAGTGGGAGAAAGATGGCACACCTTTAGCCTTTGGACCATCCATAGAAGTTGTTCATGAAGGCTTGGACTACTACATCCTTCATGTAAGAGACACTCTCCCTGAGGACTCTGGTGTATACAGGGTTACAGCAACCAACTCTGCTGGATCTGCCAGTTGCCAAGCAACTCTTAAAGTGGAGAGAGTAACTCATGTGAAAAAGGAGTATGAGCCCAGTGAAAAGGAGAAGCAAAAGATAGCTGGACAAGAGGAATTGGACAAAAAGGTTAGACTGGCTCAGATTTTGTCAGGCACTGTTGTTACACCTCTTCCACCCGCAGCAGTAGAAGCTGTCAGGGAGGCAGCCACTATGTTTAAACCTGCTGTCACAACTAAGAAAGGTGAGAAAACTGAGGCTGAGATCAAGAAAGAACAAGAGGAGAGAAAGAAGAGAGCAGATGAGAAAAGGCTTCGTATGCCATATGTTGTTCCTGCACCTCGTGTCATTAATCCAGCTGTTCTTGAGGAAGATGTAGAAATTAAACACTTCCAGCCACTGTCTGACATGAAATGGTACAAAAAGCTGCGGGATCAATATGAATTCCCTGAGCCAATGGAAAAAATCAGGCAAAAGAGAATGAAACGTATCCGTCTGTCACGGTGGGAACAGTTTTATGAGGTGCCCATCAGGATCAAGGAACAGTATAAGCCTAAGTGGCGCATCTCTTCAATGACTCAGGATGACTTGGAGACTGTGAGACCTGCAAGGCATCGCACTCCTTCTCCTGAAATGGAGGCCTACCGCAGGCTCAGGAGACGTTCTCTGGGAGACCTCTCAGATGAGGAGCTGCTGCTCCCTGTAGGTGAATATCTCTCTATGAAGAGAACAGAAGAAGAAAGACTCCGTCTGGAGGAAGAGTTGGAGCTTGGTTACTCTGCTTCTCCACCTAGTCTAAGTCCAGTTCGCTTTGAGCTGTCTGCTTTGCGCCCAACATCTCCACGGAGAGTCTACAGTGATGAGGAAGAAGGAGAAGAGATTAAAAGATATGATTCATACAGAATTCCTTCTAAATATGAGGCTGGCCCAAGTTTTGTTGATCTCCGCCAACGTCATGACAAGACAACATACAAGCCTCCAAGACAGAAACAACGGGTGTATGAAGAAAGAGAAGATTTGGAGCTGCTACGTCCACATGCAACCACTCAGAGAATCTCTTCTTACAAGAGTCAACTCAAGCACATGGAATTTGAGGAGAAGACACGCACCTCTAAAAAGGAAGCCGTTACAGTTTCAACCTACTCTGAGAGCACTGAATCTGAGCATCTAACAACTTTTGCAACAGAATATATTCCTAAGCCTATTAAAAAGATTCCATTACCTGAACCACAGGTAGAAAAGTCATACGAAGCAGAAAAGGCTCTAAAGACAGATGTCACACTTCCAAAAGTGGACTTTTTGTCCAGGTATGAGGAGAGAAAACAGGCACTCAGATCAGAGAGAAGATCTGTAGAGAAGAAAGTTGAGGTTGTAACACAGGCTCCCTTCAGCCTGGACCACGCCCCACGTATTACCATCAGGATGCGATCTCATCGTGTACCCTACGGTTCCAACACAAAATTTACCCTGAATATCCAAGCCAAACCTGAACCTGAGATCAAATGGTTCCACAATGGCAAGGAGATTCATCAGAGCAGCAAATACTACATGACCAACATCAGTGGAGTTTTAACTCTCCAGATCAACAACTGTGTGACAGAAGATTCAGGTACATACCGTGTAGTCTGCAAGAATGCTAAAGGAGAAACTTCGGATTATGCTACATTAGATGTAGCAGGGGAAGAGTATGCTGCTTTTTCATCACTCCGCAAAGATGAGGAACCACCATCAGCTCATCTGCCAGAGATGACACGAACAGAAGTGTATCATGTTTCTTCATCCAAAACAACTGTAAAGGAAACGGTCACTGAAATTGTAAAAGAGACAACTACTGTTGTTGAGGAGCCAAGGGAGAAACCAGGAGTCCCTGCCACAATCCTGACTAAACCACAGTCCTTGACTGTGGAGGAAGGAGACAATGCCCGATTTGAGTGTGATGTGGCTGGTGAACCAGCACCTTCCATGTCCTGGCTTCGTGAAGGAACCACCGTTGCTCCTTCTGCCCGTCACCACATTGTATCCACTCAGTACAATTCTACCTTTGAGATTTCTGCAGTTGAGGTGTCGGATGAAGGGAGTTACACCTTGCTAGTAGAAAATGCTAGTGGAAAGCAGGAAGCCCATTTCACTTTAAAAATAAAAAAGTCTGAGTCAAAGGAGAAAGTAGTTGCTACTCCCAGAATTACTTCTCCTGAGGCTAAATCACCATTACCCAAGTCCCCTGAACCAGTCAAATCCCCTCAGAGAGTCAAGTCACCTGAGCCAGTCAAATCTCCCCAAAGAGTAAAATCTCCAGTTTCCCCAAAGTCCCCGACACCAAAGTCCCCGACACCAAAGTCTCCTACTCCGAAGTCCCCAACTCCCAAATCCCCAACTCCATCTGAAAGGGAGCAAGTGATCCCACCAATCAAGTCACCCAAGAGGGTGATGTCACCAACTATTGCAAAGAAGCCCTTTTTTTCAGCAGGACTCAATGATGTCACTGCATCCTGTGACTCTATTGTCAAACTGTCTGTGAAGGTGACAGGAGAGCCCAAACCTACTGTGTCTTGGTCAAAGGATGGAAAGGTAAAACATATAAATGCTCAAACTATTCAAAACATTTCATAGGATTTGACAACCGTAACTATCTTGTTTTATGGGTTTTCAGGCACTGTCTCAAGGTGGAAAGTATGAATTATTTGAGGACCAATGTTCAGCTCATCTAGAGATCTATGAATCAGAGGTATCCGATAGTGGTGTCTACAAGTGCACAGCCATAAACTCCTCTGGAGCAGTATCAACAACCTGCACAGTCACAGTGAAAGGTAAGAAAAGACCTTGTGGTGAAAGGATTTATAGCTACAAATGTTTAAATGTTACAAATAAACTCCTGAATGTTTTTCATTTCAGAATTAAAGAGCCCAGTTCCAATCTCTGAGGAAATCCTAAGAAAGAAAATGGTGGATGAGGAAATATTGTCTTGCATGAAGGATGTGAAGTCCTCTGAAATCCAGAAATCCATCAAAGAAGGTCAGTCTGTGACTCTTAGGGCCAACATTCATGGGGCTTCTGACATCAGATGGATTCTGAACGGGCAGGAACTGGACAACTCAGAGCAGTACAAATATGGGGTATCTGGAAATGACCAGACTCTGACCATCAAGTGTGTAAGTCAGCGAGAGCAAGGGATTATCACCTGTCAAGCTCAAACAGAGCAAGGCCTGATTCGGTGTCAGTTCAACATCGATGTCACACTCAAGAGCTCTGATGCTCCCTACTTCCTGGTGCAACCAAGGTCTCAAAACGTGAACGAGGGACAAAATGTTACGTTTACATGTGAAATTGGTGGAGACCTTTCCCCTGAAGTGGAGTGGTTGAAAGACAACACAGTTGTGAGTAGTTTTTGCCTTGACAATTTGTGATAAGAAGTTGTCAGTATTCCAATAAAAGGAAACATGTTTTTCCAGATTTGTGTCACTCCAAACATCAAACTGAGCCGTTCGAAGAACTTATACACACTGGAGATTTGTGAAGCCACAATTGCAGATAGTGGGAAATATACAATAAAAGCCAGGAATAAGTTTGGGCAGTGCTCTGCAACATCATCGCTCAACGTCCTTAGTAAGTTACATCTGTATTTCAGCTTAATTCAATTGACTGCACCTTTGTCAAAGGGCTTTAAATGGCTTGCATGTAAAACTTTATAATAATTTAGTCCTGGAATGCTTAAAAATGCTTTAATGTTAAAGTTTGTATTAGATATTTTCCCTTCTGTATGCATTTATTGATGAAGCTGTTACAATTGTATCACTTCTTTCAGATATTAGTTGATATATTCTTTCTGAATTTGTTTTTCTGTTTTTTTATTATGTTGGCAACTCTGTGCTTTAATTTCAATGGAAAAAGTTAAATAAATTTAAATCAATTGAATTGGTACTGAGAAATACAAGGCATGACAGGAACTTCGGCTTTCATTCAGTCTCTGCACTCAACACCTCGTTGTTTGTGATCTTAGCCATCTGCTTGTCATTTGCATTTTCACAGCTCTTGTTGAGGAACCAATACAAATGCCTATTGTGGAGCAAAGAGCTTCTACTGAGGCTGCTATGAGCATGCAGAAAAGTTTCTTAGCCTCGTCAGTTCATGTGGAAGCTTCCTCAATGCAGGCCAGCAGTTACAGCAGCAGTTCCCACTCTGCTGTTGGCCAATATTCGTTTGACAGCATGTCTGCAACAAGCATGTCTGCCATGATGGCTGAGTCAGTGGTTTCCATGAGCTCCAGCAGCAAAACAACTGGAATGTCTGCCTGTTCGCATGTAAAGGCGTTTTCTACCGGGGCTAAAACAGGTGAGACTTTACTTGCACATCTTTCTGGTAAATCCAGGATGTGAATTCTAACACCTAACTTGTTTTTTCTCTGTCTTTGCAATCTAAAAATAACATTTAAGATGTTTGGTGTGATGTGATGTTCTTTCTCTGTTTATTTGATGTGGTGTGTTTTCTAAGAATCAGCTAACAGAGAAATTCCTGGTCATGTTTTTCTGTGTGGCATGAACACTAAAACAGTGAAAAGAGATTAGTTAACTAATTTTTTTTTTCATTTTCAAACTAAGCACTAAATTGTAAGTTGCACATAGAGTATGTTAATTTCAACAGTTGTTACCACAGCAATAAAATCTGAAACAGTTTTTAAATTCAGATTTTGTGGGCCAGAAATCTAAAATATGGAAGCTCTAAGACATGGTCACTGACTTCCTCTCTCCGTCCACAGGCACTCCACCAAAGATCGAAGCTCTTCCACAGGATGTTAGTGCAGAGCCGGGGAAGTTTCTGACAGTGGCAGGCCTGTTCTCTGGAGATCCTGCCCCCTCAGTTCAGTGGGTCCGCTCAGGTCGGACCCTTCCCAATGGAGATGAGCGGTTCCACGTGGATAACACAGCAGATCTCTCCACCCTAATGATCTCTGGGGTGAAGGAGGACGACGCCGGAGCATACACACTCCGACTGTCCAACGACCTTGGCTCTGACTCTGCAACTGTCAACGTGCACATCCGGTCCATGTAAAAAATGAGAAAAAAAATCATATCCCCTATTCCCTTAGTCCTCAACTTTTTATTTACAATAATCTTACTTGATAAAGATCTGGAATATTCTTGTAAATAGGAACTATTTTTGTACCAAACTTGACGTTAATTTATGCCAAACTAGACTAAAGTCTAAAGTTGTAAAATGTGCCATATTGGATAACTATGACTCAATTTTTCTGTGACATGTACATAATGTATATAGCCGAGTTTACCGGTTATGGGAAATGTATGCATTGTTATTTATGACAATAATATTAACTGAAACTAAAAGAAAGTAAAAGTAGCTAACAGGAGAAAGTTTCCGCTGGAACGAATACCCTGTTAAACTAAGAAACTAAACTCTGTGCCTCAACGATAAGTTGAAGTCGCAAGATTGCCTCAACAGGTAGAGAGGCTCCCTGTTGATGTTACAAAGCAGAAACAAAAAGACAAAGCTCTTGTTTGGACACGCATCTGTGCGTGTGATATTACAGTTTAATATGAGTTGTACCATGAGCATAAGACCCTGAGTGCTGTTTGCATCACCCTCATGTAAGCAGCATGAACCGGCCTTGTGCTCAGACTGACTGTGTCGTACCACCACGATTTGATGACCAGCAAAGAGGGCGAGCGGCCTGCTCTCTTTGGGTTTAGATTAATTTTGATAAAGAGCGCTGTTTCTGGCACAGGATGGCTGGATTGGCTTCACTAAAGCAACATCTCCTGGCCATAAGAAAACAGGGAGTCAAAACCAGTCCTGCTGTGCAGAAGCAGCGCCGTCTCTTGGAGGATTGTAGCTGATTTGTTGTTGTTTTTGAGTGTGAGTGTCTGTAGTTTGTAGATGTTTCACCTTGTCAGTAGTCAGGGTTTTTTTTTTCTTTATTCACATCACTGAGCCCATCTGTGGTGAGAAGAGAAGCAGTTATGGTTTTACCCTGCACTTTGACTCTATTGATCTGCTGATGTAGAACTTATATATCATCCTCCTTGAGTTTTACTGATTTAATAAAGCATGATTTCAGCACTACTAAAGCTCTGTGATTCTGACTCTTCTGTATCTTTGGTTTGTTTTCCTGTCATCAGATTGACATCAGAGGCATCACTGAAGTTTTGAGGTTTTACATATCAAGATACATGATATTGTCTTTGTTGGATTGTACAACTACTTCAGTCTAGCCATGGGTGCGTTAAACCCAAATGAAATGTAACCACAGTCATGTTTGTCAGAATGAGTAAAATACCTGCTGAAGGTTTCTGTTTCCTCCAGGAACTTCCAAATGAACAAGGCAGAATTATCTAATTAAAAAAACGTCCTGACATTGCTGATTTTTAATACAAAGATTTAAAGTGTTTGTTTCATTTCATCATCTACCTCAGTCCATCATGTCCTTACAAACTGTAATTTTAAACATGGAATCGTAAGCTGGAAGCAACCAGATTTAAACACCGGTGTTATGCCCAGAAACGCTTGCCTGCCCAAAATTGCATCCCCTCTCGCGGGAGCGCGCATCGCTCTAAGCCCT